CAAGAATGAGTGCTCCCTGTCACTAGTCGCCCTCCTTTCCAGGGGCTGAGAGCTGTTCGGGCATTCCCCGAAATGCCGGGTTCTTACAAACACCAAGGCCTATCCTGCTTTCGATCAACTGCAGGCCTCTAGCTTGCGGCATCCAGTTCCCGAGGCTGGACGAACTGCCCTAACACAGACTAAGGTTATAAAAAACGCCATTGCTTATGTGAAAACCCACCTCCTTGTCTGTCCTGCTCCGCCTTGATGAAAGGCTGCATTAGCCTAATTGCCCTTTGGAATGAGGACTAACTGGAATTCGTCCAAACTTCGGCCGATGACAAAATCCTCTGTCATCGAGTCAGTGACAACAGAAATTAGATGATCTCCCGTTCGGTTCGCATCAAACGCCCGAATTAGAGTAAGCTTCATCTCTTGGTGTGGTTAAATATTGGCCCCAACTAGGTCCAGCCTCACCTCGCTGAACAGCCCCGGTGAAGGGTAGAAAAAGCGGCGTGATATGGGGGAGACAAGCTTGAATTTGGCAGTGGTTTAGGAGATCGAGGCCACGAGCGAGCAATGTAAGCCAGGAACAGGCCGCCATGTTAGTTGCATTGGTTCCTTGCCCTAGAGCTTCGCCTCTCCACACCTCCCTTAACCGCATTCATGCCGACTTTCCCTTTTCATCGTAGAACCTGCAGCCAGATACGATGATCTGGAGAGCGAGGCCGAATCCGCGGCCGCCTTCCCCCTGGACGAATAAATATTTCCCAGTCTAGAATCCTTTTGGGGGTCCTGACGCCCGTTCCGCCATCCTGGACCCAAAAACGAACGTGGCAAATTCCGTGGCAAAAGAAAAGAAAGAACGAAAGAAGCAGCCTTACCCTCCTCCCTAATCAATAATCGTCCTTAATCAATAATCGGAGACGTCGGGCAACCTAAGCCAAGCCACTTTCCTGCGCGCGCATAGGAAGGGGGAGAACGCATTGTGATATCTTATATCCCGACATACCTACCCTCGATCCCAACTCTCGGAATTCCTTTTCTTCGTTTTCGGTCGATCGTCCGTCCTCGCAATCACGGCAAGATGAGCGAAACCCAGACTAGTGCTGTCGATCCGGCCAGGGCTGCGGAGAGTCGCGTGGCCCAGATCGTGGGCGTGACCACGGTTTTCCATGTCCTCGCCCTCATTATCGTCATCTTGAGGTCCTACACTCGCTTATTCCTGGTCCGATCGTTCGCTTTCCCGGATGCGTTCATGATATTGTCCGTGGTAAGACACTTCTCCGCTTGCGCCCCTGTCCATGCGTCCCGTGATGGTGACATTCTCCCATCAAACGCGCGGGGAGCCGCCAAGTCTCGTTCGTCCTGCTAATTGCACGACAATTAGCTATGCTCATTGCTGGGAGGCACCGTGACAATAATCATGCAGGTGCCCTATGGACTGGGGCGCCACCAAGATACCATCCCGCCCGCCGATCTCATTCCATTCACCCAGCTCAGCTTCGTCCAGTCCATTGTGCCCTTGATGGGCGGGATCGCATTCCTCAAGATTGCCATTGCGCTCGAGCTCATGAAGCTCAAGGGCAATGCGTTGGCATGGTACAATACCGTACTATGGTGCCTCATCGGTCCGTCACCAAGCGCGCCCCCTTTTTCGAACTCTCATCTAACCCCGGACCAGGATTTGTGGTTGCATACACATTGCTGGCGTGGTTCAGCTTCTTCTTGTTCTGCAGGCCAATGGCCAAGTACTGGGATCCAAGCATTGAAGGTTCATGCTATTCCGTTAGCTTGTTCGTCAAGTTTGGCTTGATCAACACGGGTGCGTAGTAAATGTGACCCGGGAAACTTTGACAGATGTCGCTGACCCGAATTCCAGCCTTCAACATCTTCACCGATGTCGCCTTTGCGACTCTTCCAATCCCCATCGTTTGGCTTCTGAAGATGCCCCTCAAGACTCGCCTGTATCTCGTCGGCGTCTTGAGTCTTGGATATGTGTAGGTTGAGCCGTGCTCGCTGACCAAGACATCGCTAATAAGCCTCTAGTGCTGTTATCATGGGCATTCTGAAGGCCGTGGCTCAAATCGACTATAATCCTTTTGGGGATGGTACCTTGTAAGCAGGCTTCCGGGACACGAGTCTCTGTACTTGACTAACGGACTTATCTTCAGCACCTATGACATCCAATTTTGGGGCCTGTGAGTCTTGCCTGATCTCTCCAGAAGCCGGAGTCGCCATGCTAACTTTTTTCCAGTCTCCAGCTCAACCTCGGTATCATCGCCGCGTGCGGTCCGTCGCTGAAACCATTGGTCAGGAACATCCTGCAACTTACAAGCCTAACGCCTCGATACGGCTACACCGGCTCCGGCGGCTACAACAACCAGCGGAGTGGCCGGACGGCGGGGCTCTACACCATCGGCGGAACCGGCTCGAAGGGGTACACAAAACAGAATAGCAGGACGGACGGCACCGAGTTTGAGCTGCGGTCTCAGTACCGCGCTACTGTGAGCGGAAGAGATGCCGCCAGCTCCCCCGGCCCGTATGAAACGCAGAAGGGCAACGGCTCTCCTGAGAGGTCCGGGAGCCAAGAAACGATCCTGCAAGAGGAGGGCGGGAAGAAGGCTATTGTCCGAACGACCGAGGTTACCATCACATACTAGATGTGCTTCTTCTTTCTTTCTTTGCGTTAATGATACGAGTATGCGAAGTTAATGATGATATCGCGGGGTAAAATAGAGCGAGTGACTATCAATAGAGACAAAAGTTACATACCAAATCAAGATGGTTTTTTTACTGGCAGTGCCGCCACAGGGGACATACATACATCTCGGAAAATGGAAGGGAATCACCGGACCGGTCGCCGTAGAGCCGTGCTGGTGAGGATCTCTTGCAAGTTATTAAGCGTCACCAAACCTCCTCTTGTAGGGAGGCGTGACAAGAAACCAGCATCAGCCCTCCCTCACTGCTTGCCTTCGCGCATGATTGGAAACCCCCTCGGCTTGTTCATCAAGGCCAGACTGGAGGAAGGTCGCGATGGCACCTTAGCCAAATAGTGATGGGAACGAGTTGGTACTCTGGGTTTGCCCACCTTCTCTTGGAATCTTCGTAGACGCCTTAGCATTCGGGTGATATCGAGCGCCGGAACAATCGTCAAGCAGACTGCTCGGCATGCTGAAAACCTATGCGATCGCGGAAGAGGCTCGTCACTGTCAGCCATGTTGCCAAGATAATCCATATCGAACGGCTCGCTTACCTTGCATGTCTCCTCCAGCTGGATGCCCTCTCAGCCTAGTACCTACTTTCAGCCGTAGGTCATGAGGCTCCTTGAATAGCTGGAAGTGTGTTCTCATCCACAGAACGCCCAGGCTTCCCTAGGGTTGGCCCTTGGCACTAAGAGTCCGGCCGGCAAGCTCCATCTTATCCTTCATCCAGGTCTCATTCTTGAACTCTGGTAGCTAGGTCAAGAAGCATAACACCCCCTAGGGAAAGGCGACCTGCTCTACCCAGTCTCGGAATAGCTTCTCCATTGCGCGATCGATCACGCCGTTGGCGCCACTCGCCGTCAAGGGTACCAGCTCCTTGAAATTCTCGAACACCCGGTGCGTACCTATCGAAGTAAACTCCCTATTAGCGGAATGCGTCGATGGTGGATGTCAAGACAGTCCTCAAGTTCCTCCCGGGATCAGGTTCATTCCTTGGTTGTTGACACTCAGCAACCTCGAACCGCCGGAGTCGCAAGTGGCCGGTCGCCATGTTCCCTCATAGGGACTCAGGATAAGTGAAGAAAACAATCTTGCTGCTCGTAGCGACCATGATGCTGGGCGACTTTTGGCTGCACAGCTAGTACGGGCACATCGGATACAGTGATGTGGTCTACAAGCGAGTTACAGAGCTTGAAGTGGCGGCAGCTCGTCAAAGCGGTGAGCATATCTGCCCATGAGGTCGGAGTTTCTAGTCGGTCCGATGCGCGCGGCAGAAAGCCGTGTGCCGAGGCTGCGTTGATGAATGAATACATTAGGTCCCTACCCACTTACAGCTAGGTGCACGCACTGGAAGACGAACTGCCCATATCAGGGCTGATCAAGTGCTACTGTGGCTTGCACATCGTGGCCGCCCCTACAACAAAGATCAATATAGGATCTAGGAATCGATTTAGGTAGCAATACAGACGTCCGCTCTCTCGTTGATGTTTCAAATTTGCCTAACCAAAGAGCGTCCCTTCGGTTTTGCCAGAGTTAATAACATTTACTGCTCTTCAAAGCAAGCCCTGATGAATGGGTACTGGTGATGAACCCGGAGCAAAGTCCTCTATTCACAGTCATACCCCTTTCACTGGTAGGAACATTAAATCTCCAAATAGTCTCTAATTCCTTTCTTTCGTCTCATTTCACAGCCGTGTTCTATTCAGTATCTAGGCCAATCGTGAATGTGACTGGTTCATACTCGCAACCTAACGATGCTCGAGAGATCCAACCAAGTTTATCGCGCACTCCTTGCTGTAGCAATACCACAAGATATTCTCCCGGGTGTTTCCAAATTTGAATATTACCCCCGGAGCTCGTGTCCGGGTTCTGACAACCATAGAGGAGAAGTAGCATGGAATAGCAGTGTCAATAAACAGATGCCCGATCTGGCTGCCAATTTTTGGGGTTTTGAGACTTTGTCTGCTCACTTCACCTCATTCATATCTGTTTACCAAAGGTTATCTTGTGCACTGGAAAACCAGACCGCAGCTCCGATGCACTCTTGATGCCGAATATAAATATGAACGTGACCGCTCTCCTCGCTCCCAACAGATAGTTCCACATTCATTTTGTGCTTCCAACTCTATCAACCTTGCGATCTAGAAACCAATTCTGTAAGTCACGGATACCTTACTAGATCTATTACTAGTTGCAACCATAAGGCGACTGACAACCCCTTCAACAACTATCTATTTATCACCACAGTCCCAAAGCTGTACCAACGTCTGGCCGATAGTTTACATCCAAGAACTCACGGTTCACATTGCCGATACCATGGCCAACAACGAAGATCAGGTATGGGATATCAAGCGGGTTGAATGGGGCGTGTTTAGTTTCGGAATTCTAATCCAGAAGTGGGGGGTAATGGATGGCTCACTCCTATATCAATTGGACCCCGAGCAGGGTAACAAATGCGTGGTTTCAGAGGGCAACCATGCCATAGACTTTGCAGGAAAGGTCACTCTAGGCTCTTTCCGCGGTTCTCTGACCAGAGCTAGAGAAATTGGGAACACAATCCTGGAATATACTCCCAGAGATCCTGAAATTATGCGAACGTGGATCCAAGAAGTCGACATCGCACTCTGCGAACTCATGGGATGGCCAATTGTCTAGAGGGTTCCAAAACCCCTTTAATTGACCTCGGTGTTATGATTCAGTAGATTATTGGGGCTTTGGAAAATGTTGCCTAGATTAGGATTGAAATTGACCAGATTTCCTACACCTTAAAAATCATTCTGTGACTCTGTGGCTCTGTGAATACTGGAACTAAACAAAACCCAACGTGCCCTTTGTGGTAGAGAGTACGAAAATAATGATGCTAAACATATCTTATTACAATCGTTGATACTGCTTCTGTAAGACAGTGACTTGTCTTAGTCACTGCTTAACCGCTCTCAGACTCTCAGACGCACTCTATCCCCCAAGTTTCTGGCTTGCTCAAAATGGAAGACCTTCACTTGCTGGTGTCATTTGGCATCTTATTTCTTCGTGGAATAGAGTGGTCAGTACTCATACTTGTTCCTGGACAGTCCCTGTAACAACGTGCGATTAGCTTTTGCGTGATATGAGCTGAAGGTTCGTGATACCACATAAAAGATGTTCCTCCGCTACCTACTTGGCAACGCATCCATCACTCAAGCTGTCACTAGTCAGGTTCCAGAGTGCTCAAAGCTCGTGCTCCGTATCATGATCACGAGTGAGTGAGTGAACCGAGGTTCATCACTTTCTATTGCCTATAACTCATCTTGCACGGTCCAGTCAGCAGCTAACTTGAATCACTGACACGCTATGCCCGAGTTTCCCCGGAACAGATAAATCCAGATACTAATAGCATTGAACTTTTGATCATTGTATCGTTGTCCTTTCATTATTGAAACGTGGTGCGCAGGGGCCAGGCCCAGAATTAACTGATGAGAGCAAAGACTTCAAGAGTCAAGCGTGTATACAACTCAATAACCACCTTGGTCAGTTTTTCCGATTGCACAAAACAGAGCCTATAGATCTCGCTTCTTGCATTTCTCAATGTCGGGGTTAAAGGCAAGGAAGGGCTGGTCATTGGGCCCACAATTCTTTCACCTCGGGGGAAAGAGCGCTCAAGCAGATTCACCTTCTCGTCACCTTGTCATCACCAATTAGTAAATAAGTTCTTCCAGTCTAACTCAAGCCATTTGAGCTCATAATTATTGTTCCCATCTGCTGAATAGCAAAGGTACAGGTTCTGCACAAGGACCATCTGTCTGCATTGATTCACGCTTGAGCGCCGCACACAGTTCAAGCTCATCACCAACCCGGTAGAGACAATTCTCAAGAGTGGTATTGAATTCCTACTTTCAACTGACCTTACCATAGCATCTATCGTCTAGGCGACACGGAGCATTAGAACCCACAGCCAAATTATGATTGATCTCATCGAGCAGCACTCGCCCTCACTTGCAACGTCCAACTTCCCTCCAAACGCACTAGAATCCAAAAGGCTATTTGTTGTCTACAACAAGAATAAAGACTCTACATTCCTGGTATCCATGATGCCGGACAATATCGAAACGACGACGAGCGATATGGGAACGATGACGGACGATATCGAAACGATGCCGGGCGATATCAAGACGATGACGAGCGATATGGGAACGATGACGGACGATATCGAAATGATGCCGGGCGATATCGAGACGACGACGGGCGATAAGGAAACGATTCCGGGAGATAAGGAAACGATGCCGGCTGAGAACGAGTTTACTTGGGATGTCAAGCGGGTCGTATGGGGTGACAAGGCCGGAATCTGGGTTCACAAGCTATCCGAAGAAGTCGGAACTCTTTACGACAGGGGCGATGTACACCCGAGCACAGGGGTTGTGAAGGACGAGGGAGTCGCTAAAGAGATGTTTGAGTCGTTGGCTTTCTTGGGTTCTTTCACGGGGGACGAGGCCAAGGCCACATGGGTTGGGGAAGAGGCAATCATGAAAGTTCAATTGGGCCTCGCGTGGACTCTTCCAGCGCTTTGGGTCGATCAAGTGTACTGCAAACTGCGCGATACGCTCATGTGGAAGGGACACGCCAATGAAGCGATGGGAATTGATCCCTGGGCTGGCGCAACGGAGAGAGCCCCCTCGGCTTGAATACGTTATCATGGATGCTAAGAGTGCCCTCGTGTTGTACTGACGGAAATGGCCCAGGCCGCAGAACCACATTGGGATTTGCCAATGGGGTACTAGTTAGAAACAGCAATGTGACAAACGTAACGACGCACCTATCATTGCAAGATAAAGACTGCGTTGTTCATTCGGGTACAAGAGTCATGCTAAGCCATATCTACCATCCTTCGGTAGGCAAAAGAGTGTCCTACTTTCCCATAGCCCTCTTCATAGCCTGAAATTCTAGGAATTGCTGATATTCTGCCATATCATTTCCACCAGAACTCTTAGGATCCCCTGACTTGATGGCTGCAGATACCCCTTGATCCTCTCCGTTCTCCTCCTCGTCACCGGACTCCTCGCTATCACTCTCCGAATCACTCTCTGTCACACTTAATTCGCTTTTTGCCGACCTGAACTTTGTCTTTAGTTTCCTCGTTGTCAGTAACTCATTTCTGAGGGGTGTCGCGTGTCCTAACTCTTGCAACTCAAATGTGTCATCGCGCCACTGGTCGCGGATAGCAATATCCGCGTCCCTCCCTTGCAAAGTTCGCATGAGGTAGTCATCGAATTGCCTAGAGCCCTCGGCAACCACTTCAAACTGTTTCTTGCCTAAGTAAGGCTTGGGGTCACCAGGTTGCATCTGAGAAACATCATATTCAACCAATGCAATGGCAGTCTGAAACGCATTGCGAATTTGTCTAGATAAGTTATAAGTATCAGTATCCCAAGACAAGGCTTCGAAGACAATATGCATGAGGCCATGACTTACCGACCGTTCCATGTGTTGAATCCTGACTTCTTAAGACTCCGGTAGTTGTTTTTAGCAAAGCGGCTTATTTCCTTGGACTTGATGTCGAAGGTGGAAACTCCAGACTTCCGCTGCTCCTCTTTGGTCTTACGGAGGAACACGTCAAATAGCTTCTGTGTTCTATCAAGATCGAGTCGTGGATAGAACACACTCAGATGGATTCGGGACTTGAATGCCGGGTCAATTCCGCCGACCCTGTTAGTGGTCAAGAACAGAATACCAGCATAATAATCCAGGCTCCGTAGAAAAACGCTCGTGACAGCATTCCGTCTCAGGTCCGTCTTGTTCCTCTTTGCCAAAAAGATATCACTTTCGTCGAGAAGGAGCACACATCCCCACCTGTGGGCTAGACGAAAGTTGTGCTGTAGGTTTCGTTCGACTTCCATGGCTGCTTCCCCAATATCGCCGCAAGTGATGGGGAATAGAGGGCGTTTAGTTCGATCGGCAACACATTCTGCCGTTGAAGTCTTGCCCACGCCTGATAACGCTCGGTCAGTGACTGATGGAAGCGATTCGTTTTCACAGTTACGTACCTGGTTCGCCATGTAAGAGCAGGATCAAACCCGTGCCCTTCCCTGTCACGAGATCGAGAGAAGCCCCGATTGAGTGTTTGTTGGCACCTGGCGAGAGTCTCGCCTTCTCGTGGGTTTCCACCAAGGCCAAGATGGCCTGTTTTTGCTTCTCGTTCATCATCAGATTATTGAAATCATTGTCAAATGTCACGTCTGACAAGTCCTGAGTCTGCACTGTCACCCACTTTCGAATCCTCAGAACGAAGCCGTGCACCGAATTAGGAAGAAGAATCAGGTCATCACCAAGCTCTCCTTCCGTTCGTGGCCTCATTAACTCCGTGAAAGCTTTCAATTTTGGGTTACGCTGGTCAATGTTCAAAGTCTGGTCTTTGAACGCGATGTCACCACCACAACAGCCTTCCGTATGACCGCCTTCGTGTTTACACGGTTGGATCAAAAATGTTTCTCTCAAGTCCGGCTTGGTCAAGTTCCCTTTATTCAAGTCAGAAGGAGGCCTCCAATCCGGTTCAGTCCTGAGGGCCATTGCAACATCAATGACAATCTGGCCCTCGATTTCCTCTGGAGTATCATCAATTGTCCGACCACGAAACATCGCATGAGAGTATGGGACACGCGTGAGATCCGTATACTTCGCTCCGTTTGACATCAATTGATCCTTAATTGCGCTACCGTCGGGGTCAAAACTTATTGGATAAACTTCCAAAGCATGTATCTTCTTGTGGCCGATAAACTTGCTGATAATGAATTTGTGCAGTCGCGGCACATAAAAAGACCCGTCGTAAGTGATACTCATGCAATCTATTGCAAAGCCGTAAATCGGGGGTGACCGCTTCTCTTCGGAATTCATTCTCGTTGTGAGTGGCTCACGGCCACCCGCTATGCCCAGCACTTTGAATGCTTGATGCTTAGCATCTCTTCTGGTAATAACGTCACCTATTCGGAACAAGTGCCATAGGTCCGGAAAGCTAATGTCTTCCAATGTGGCCTCGGTAATGGATTGACGCAGTTTGTATGTTGGCTGCATTGCCGTGTCCATGACTTCGATCAGCAACTTCAAGTCCGCAAGCAGGTCTTTCCACTCAAACGCCAAAGGATCCCCAGAGCCGGTCAATATTGTGTTTATTTTCCCCTTCGCCTTCATGTTGTCCACTTCTTTTTGCACTCCCAAGACGCTGTCTCGAATAACTTGCTCGAATATAACCAAGGCCTTGAATGGACGCAGGAGAACCAACGCGGACCTTGGTTCATGTGATACGAGAGTACTCAGACTAAAGCTTTCTCCACAAACCTTCTCCAAGTGCCCAAGCAATGGCCAGGACCTAATTCGCAGCCTTTCTGGAAATTTGTCTATAGCTTCTTGGTACTTGTATGGGTCGCTTGTGAAATCACGCTGACCATGATCTTGAGAATCAATCAATGTAGACCCTTCGGAATACAGTATCTCAATGGCGGGCAGTTGGCTCGGAGGTAAAGTATCGCTTTCACCTGGAGGGCGGAGCTCATCTATTGGCGTCCATTTCAGAGCCGGCATAAATACTGGGCAATCTTCTCTCTTTTGATCTTTATAATCGTTACGGCCCTTCTCCAACTTTTCCTGAAGCTCCCCGAGCTTGGTCTCGAGATCCGAAATTCGATTTTCAGTGTATCCGAGATGAAGCATGGCCTGTCTTGAGCGCAGCTTGACAAGCCCCCAGCGCTTTTCCTTCGGGATCTCCCGTTGCCAATCTCTCGAGTATAAGAGGTTTCTCATAAGCGGCCTTGTCTGGAGGATTGTCTCCGATTCATCATTATCGCTAATGCATTCATTAGGCTCGCTAGCTGTCTTAGCGTTTGCCTCTGAGTGGTCACCGTTTGCGCGATCTTCCACAGCAGTTGGGATCTTGTTTGACGTGCTCGTATGGGTTGCAGCGAGGCTTGGAGTTGCCATTGCCTCGTTCAGCAACGAAGGGTGGCCGCCCGACGATTCACTTTTCTCCATGATGGAGACCTTTGAAGATTCATCCATTCCAGGAAGAAATAGGATTATCGGCGATTTGCTACCAGGAAGCTTGTAGTTTCCAATTCACCACTGGGCCGTTGGAAAGGGGCTCATCAATATATCTATGGGGCATGGAGAGTCAAAAACAATCTGAAACATCGACGTCGCATTGAGGGGTTCCATTTGCGAAGCCAACGAATAGATGGCTGCCATGTGTACCTTGGCGTATGCATCTCACCCTCTAGAGGCAAGAATTGAACCAGGCACAGCGCAAGGCGCAAAAGCACAAGTTAATAACCCCTCACAGAGGCAACCGTGGGGCGCGAACCATTATTATGTCTACAGCGAAACCAATTCACACTCCGACTTTCGAAAGTTGGGTCGTATCGTTTCGACAAAATCCAATTCATTCCATGATGACTGAGGCCGAAAGAGAAGACTACTTGGCCAGTAGGATGGAGCATCCTTCCACCCATACGGCCGCCTTTATAGAGAACCAGGTTCGAGTAGCGGGTGAACCAGCACCCGTTTTTATTAATAAATTGAACCGTATCGACTCGCTCGAAGTAGCAAAAAAACAGCAAAAAATAAGGTAAGGAGTCTTATTTCTATTTCGGAGTACCATGCCTATCGATTGGTACGTTTTTCTCATGATAAATCAGCGACGAGCTGTGGAAAGAGGCGAATGCGGAAAAGACAACCTTGCTGGCTCTCATGGAACAAGTCCGTGCCAAGCTCGATAAGAGCAATCCCGTTACGGCACACATATCGAGGATGGACGCAAGAACGTGCTCCTGGGATCAAGTTCTGCAAGAAGTAGAGATCTTAGCTTCCCGGTGGTCGTCGTCGCCGAAACGAGCTTCGAAGATGCTCTATTTGGATCGCTTGGGGAGAAATTCCGAAGCCTTCCAAGCATGGATAGGGTTGCTCCCCACGGGGGATTTCGGATCAAGGTCAGTTGCTCAGCTGGTGTGTTTGCGCGTGTAAATTTGACTGACAAGGGCTGTAGCATATGCGGCGTTTTCACGATTGCTCTCAATGTACACTATCTGCTCTTGGTGAGTTGTCAAACATGAGCTAATAGATAAGTAGGCTGCTGGTCAATACGTGAAGGTAGAAGACGCAATTATCGATGCACTTGCCCAGATACCAGAGGCGGTCAGCGACACCAGACGATACATCAAACTCTACGCGGAAACCAAAGACCACCGACTTGAAGAACGGACATTTGATCTTTACCTGTCGATTCTTAAGGCACTGAATCACATTATGAGATTCTTTGCTGAGCGATCTGTCAGTGAGTCGACCAAGCCTCATTACCCTCGTATATGTGCTGTCCAGCGTATAATTGTTTTTAACACAACTTTCCCAGATAAATTTGCTGGATCTCTTTTCAAGCAAAGCTCATACCAGAAGGAACTCTTCTCGAGCATAGAAAACATCAAGGTCCGGGTCTCGCGGGTCAAGGAAGAGTCTGAGCACTGCATGCAAAGACGTGTAGCAGACATGCAAAAGTCCATCGTCAACACGGACCAGAATACCACCAAGTCGTTACAACTTCTTCAGGCATTATACAACCAACTTATCTTGCAAGAACCACGCTCTTCATTTGATCAAGGTGAACATAACCGAAAGAATTGTTCCAGTGATGGGTACTGATAGTGAGTTCACCAGAGACAGTCCTTGCGAAGCCTAGCGAGCTTGGTCAAAAATTGGTAGGGCCTTCAATAGACAACATGGCTCCAGCAGGAAGAAACCTCTCGGCTACTGGTACACACAAAATGCACAGCTCTATAATGCGTTCCGGAACTGACGGTCGATTTTAAGGAGCACCTGCTTCGTATAATAGGAAGCAGTTGGGCAGCCTTTTAACAACACTCCAATTTGACGATGCTGCCGTATCAAGAGACATTCAAACATGCCAACGCAATGGTTATGCCTCGGACGAAGCTTTCCAAGCCAAAGCAGCAAAGCTTATCCAAAGCCAGGAGCTCAAAAATTTTATCACCAGCAATTCCAACTTGGGAACGTTGCTCATCAACGGAAATGAAGACATGTCTGCAACTGAGGGAGCATCTCCTGTTAGCCTGGTGTCTGCAAGAATAGCCCTTGCTTCCGCGAATACGCCCCAAACCCTATGTCTTTCGTTTTTCTGCACGGAGCATCGTTCATATGGTGGCCCTCCTGGCCCACCTGCGCCGGCAGCAATGATGGCTAGCCTGACTGCCCAACTTCTCAACAAAATGGCAGAAAGATCTTTCAGCGTCGACCTCTCCTTTTGCGATGACCTTAAGACAGAGGATATTTCCGGGTTTAATCTGAAAACCCTGTGTGTAATATTCTCGGAACTCGCGAAACAGATACCCGAGGGTACGATATTGATCTGTCTCATTGATGGGATCGACCTGTACGAGACGGGCGATTTCCGCGAAGATGTCGATACTATCATGAGAAGAATGGCGAGGCAGGTAGCAAAGCGAACCAACATGATATTCAAGTTGATTGTAACTTGCAACGGTCGAGCAAGGGCCATTCAGACCCATTTTGCGTCTGTCATCAACATGGAGGAGTCAGTCGAGCCGGATGACTCATCTCAATGGAGAATTGACAATTCTAATATTTTAAGAGACTTACAAGACGCGGAATCTTGACAGATATCTTTCGTGGAAAGAAGGGGTAGGGTTAAGGGCGAATCAGAGACTGGCTTTGAAGCTAGGTACATGTACACAGAGAAAGGCGCCTTTTCAGGCCACCTAGAGTGAGACCTCGCGCCATGAGCTTGAGCATAGTGGTCAATGAAACCTCGCATGTAACAATACTATTGGGCTATTTGAAAAACAGCTGAGATAGCAAACATTCATAATCACCAGCCTTGTTTCAGAGATGGAAATGCAAGAAAGATAATTCCTCGCTCTAGGACTAATTACGTCATTCAAGCATAGGTCGTTCCTGCTTTTTCTCGTGCAGTAAATAGATAGCCTACCCTAGAGCTCTAAGTGGCACCCGGCCCAATACGTTTTTTGGTACCTAGGTAGGTAGGTAGATTCGGCTTTCAAACACCGCATCGACAGTTAACCAAGAGGCCGGTCTTCTATTTCTACGCGCCAGTTATGTCCCTACCTTCAATTACTAAGTTTCTACAGCCCCTATCCATGGATACCGTGCGAGTTAATCTACCATCACTATACTACAAAACGCAATGCTGCAATCTACGAATTTATCTCCTCTCCTCAAACCTAGACAAGCCAGAGACATGATTTCGATATCTACTTTTCATGAGTGCGGTTCATAAAGAGTCTTGGTGATAAAAGGCCAGCTACCTTCCACACTTCTTGGACTAACATCTAGTTTTTGGTGACCAAATTATACCGATTGCCTGCACGAACGAGCTAACAAGTGGCTTTCTGCAGGATACACTGAGCATCGATCAAAACCTAGACCCGGACGAGCGCAGGGAATGCCGGAAAACGATAGCAACGGCCGTCATTGCCCGACTTGATTTTCGTGCCGGGAATAAAACCCACTCTATACGCTTGTAAGCTTATCTAGACGACGAATCTTGACAGGGCACGACGGTCACTCGGCAAATGACGTATACCAGGGGTACGGGCAGATAACGCGCTGAAAAGGAAGGTGATGGCCTCCTCCTAGGTCGATGCCGGGGAGGAGGAGGGGCACAACTGGCAAACCCGGCCATCGGACAAAACTCCGACAACTTTCTGCCAATTGGAATTTGCTGAGGTGGGATCGTCATGATGGGTAAGCCCCCTCCATCTCCATAATTTGATCAATTAGCCTAAGAGACCATGTAGGAGGCAGCCGGATGATGCTTTCTCATGGGACCCCGCATGGAGAAGGACGATGTGATAGCACTGTGTGGTATGGCGAACAGCGGTTGGAAGGGAGTATAAAGCTCGGCCTGGTTCCCGGGAACTGGCCCAGAGTGTTCCAAATGCAGTTGAACATCGATATCGGCATACATCTCCCACAGACGTCCCAACCGAGTCACCATGCGCCAGGTCTTTTCTCGCGGCTTCCACCGCTGCTGTGCTCTGGCAGTCCTAGTCTCTACCGCAACAGCACAATCTGGCGGCATCCAAAGGGGTCTGCAGTATGGCGAAAATTGGGTCCCAACCACAAAGGATTCTGAGCTGGTAGCTAGGAACTTTCCCGACGTAAACATCACCCTCCTCTCTCCTGCGTTCCTCAATCCAGAGACGGTCCCCGACGCCTTCTCTGAAGGGCAAGATGGGCCCACGGACGATGCTGTGTTGGGTAAGTGAACTCGAGAAACTTATGAGTTGCAATTACACCCGCTAACAGAATAGACGCTTTCATCCACAAACTGGCTGACAGCAATTCTTGGATGAATTATCAACCTTCTGATTTCAAGTCGGAGGAGGGACGCACTCTCCCGTACGTCCACCTTTCATCGGGCTCTAACAGCACGAAACTCCGAGTGTATTTGCAAGGCGCCATCCATGGAAACGAGCCCGCAGCCGACCAATCTATCTTGGCATTCCTGGGAAAGCTGGATGCAGACAAGGCTTGGGCCGAGTCCATACTTGAGCATATAGATATCAAGGTTCTTGCTCGCTATAACGTTGATGGGGTGTCATATTTCCAACGGCAGCTGGCATGCAACCTGGACCCCAACAGGGATCATATTAAGCTCATGCGGGAGCAAACGAGAAAGATCAAACGGATTGTGAGCGAATGGAACCCACATATTGCCATTGATATGCGTAAGTCCTCGACACCACCCTCTGATGCGTGACTAACACACCACCTAATAGACGAGTTTACGGCGACAACCATATTCGGTGGAAGCTACCAGCATGGCGCTGATGCCCTACTCTCGGGAGGGATCAACCCAAACATTCACCCCGAAATTCGCAAGCAAGTTTTGGATGTCTTCATCCCACACATCGGGGGTGCCTTGGAAACGTACGGGATCCGATGGGAGCCCTATGTGACGGGATCCTCCAACACGACGATAGGATCCCCCATCACACTGCAGGAAGCGGTCACGGAGGCACGGACTGGTCGCAACGCAGTGGGACTTACCCAGACCATCTCTTTTCTCTGCGAAATGCGGGGAATCAGGATCGCCAACCAGCATTTCCAGCGCCGCGTAGCTACCGCCTTGACCAAAATCACAGCCATACTGGAGCTGGCGAGGGACAACTATGCTAGCGTTTTGTCTACCGTGGAAAAGGCGAGGGAAGAATTTATCAATAGCGATGATGACATTGTTGTCACCGACTCATACGTTTCCGAGAATAAGACATTCACCATGGTTGACCGAACGAACGGCAGCGTAGTCCAAGCACCCATCAAGTTCATTAGCACTACTCCCTCGGTCGCCAACCTCACGCGGCCCAGGCCTGAGGCGTACATCATCCCAAGGACGTGGTTCGACATTGCCGAGAGGCTACAGATCCTCGGTCTCAAGGTCGAGACGATGAAGGAGCAGTTCACGGGAATCGTCGAGACCCTGGTTGCCACATCGTCAAGCGTGGACACTGAACTCTACGAAGGCCAATTTCTTAACACGGTGACGACGAACTCGTCGAGCCGGGAGATTGTCCTACCGGCTGGCAGTTTCTACGTGAGCACGAGGCAGCAGAATGCAGCACTGGCTTTTATTGCATTGGAGCCGGAAAACATTGATAGTTTTGTCACGTTTAACATTATTCCTCTTGAGACCGGCATGGAGTATCCCGTCTTTCGTATCCCGAGAGATTGATATCCTGGGTGAGAGCAAGATGAAATTAAGGTACTTGGGATAGCTAGTTGGATTCATTACTCAATCCCTTGATCAGACTTGTCCGTTCTACAATTCCAAAGCCAGTTGTCGTGAATATTTTCTGAAAGACAAGCGTCGGTTGAGAGCATCCTTGCTGGGTTCTAGTACATAATTTTGGTACTCACGCTCCAATTCCGGCTAATGAGACTGTTTGAACTTTGGAATTGCTATCAATTTACACCCTGTTGGCTCGATAGAAGATTGAATACTACTGGGCGATGTCGGCGACATTCCGAACCTCCGGGATTCGGATTCTGTCTGGATCACCGAATCAGGCAGCGTAGGGATTGGTCCGTCCATCACCTAGACAAAAGGACATGGCATGGAGGGTCTTTTCATTATGTAAGCTGCAGGGTCTCGCTGCGGTGGGTGTGTGTGTGTGTGTGCGCGCGTCAGGCTTGCCGGTCGGTCAGAGTCGCAAGGCACGAAACTGAGAAGATGCCTTGCGGTCCGTTGAGTGGGCGGTAGAGAAGCCTCATACATGTACTTTTACGGACTGGTCCGTAATGGGACATTTTGGGGGATTGAGTCGTAGGTAATTTGTAAAGTGGGACGGACCCCAGGCAAGCATACCGCAAGCTAGCAGCCAGTACATAGTATGCGCTTCTGTGGAGAGTCGCAAGGGCCGCAAGTCGGAAGGGGGGGAAACAGCACAGAGCAGGGGAGAGTAGCCACACAGGCCAGACACCCTTGTCCGCCAACCGCACTCGGAGTACGAAGGCAGTGCACATATGCATGGGCATTGGCGATTGCATCCAATCAAAGTACATGTCCATGCAGGGTAAGTGAAGGGGAGCCCACCTGCACGGCTGCCCACCACCCCTGCTTGGATCCTGCCGCCCGCCCCAGTTGTTGCCTTGTTGGTTGATTTAGGCCGGATTCTCGTTTCCAAGTCAGAAGCCTCCAAAATACTTTGACGTGCGCCAAATGCCTATATAATGCATAGCCCAGCCCAGGCTTAATCTCAAATCTCTGGTCAGTCATCCCCCAGTAGCATCTTCTCTCCCATGTCACAATCAGGACTCTCACCAAATCGCGCCTACTCTTTCGCTACTATATAAGCCATGTGGGTGTTCACTCGACCGTCGCTGTCTGGCGGCAGGGTGCAAATACTTCATATTTACTGATAGGTAGTATTCCAACGAGGGCCCAGCAAACCCGAGACCCAATCTACCTCCAGCTTGCGCAACCATGCCCAAGCGTTCAAGCGCAGCTGCTACACCTGGCGGTGGTGGCCCGAGTCAGAGAAAAACCGTCACCACACCGGGATCCCGCTCAGACACGCTCGCCCATGACCAACTACTTGTCCCCTCCAAAATGGTAGAGGTGCGGCGCCCATGGGGTCATCAACCTAATCCCCTGCAACCTTCTGTGCCCAGTGCCGGTAATTCTCTGGCAGCGGATCAAAATAGTGGCAGCCAGATGCTCAATGCGTGGCTCCTCCAAGACACGGCCGAGGACCCATTCCATGCCATTGCCGCGCTTGTAGTCGGTACAGGGACGGCTACAACGAGCAAGTCGACGGCAATTTCTCAGACCGCCGACAGTTTATCCGTAAATCGATCGGAGCAGGAAGGGACCGTTGCAACATGTGGTAGCTGGACCGAAGGCGATGGCTAGGGTTCTCTGAAGATGTCATCTCTCGGTTCGTGGGCGTTTTGGTGGTGATGAACACTTGCATGTAAATTCTTGACGTCTTTTGTAGCATACTGGATAATATTGCACCTTAATCAGAGTTAATCATAGTATTCTGCTCGATAAAATGATTCATCAAGATGCTCCTGGCCCTCTTGAGTTTTGGTTGCTGTCTCGAGTGGTGGGTCCCTTGTCCTGGCATGGGCAATCTTTCGTTGTCCTGCGCTAATGCCCTGCACCACTTCCAGGGCTTAGGCTCCACCAACCGAGCTATCCTTCCCTATCGGGATATGGGAGTGTCTGCAATCAAATGACTAAGCTGTCCGAGCTGCAGGCCACGGCGACCCACCCACCTGCTAGCTGCAGGCCGCCAAGAGTGGTTGAGTGGCAGGCACATCCGTCTCCGCCTTCCCAGCGCATCGAATGGGTCGCACAGTGGTTCGATCAATTCCTCATCCCTCCATCAAATCCCCAAGCACGACAAAATGCCCTCCACACCCCTCCGCTACGTAAGCACCTCCGCCATGGCCGAATTACACAATAGCCTACCAGGAATACGAGCAGCTCGTCGCGGGTGATGTCTACCGCCAAAACGATTGAGACGATGCAGCATGCGGGCATGTTCGACCACGATAGTGCTGACGGTATCGACGGCCAAAAAAAGCCAGCGTGACAAGAACAGTCAAGGACTTGATCGAGGATAGGGTGGCCGAGATCCCCGCGCGATTCCGTGAGTTGAAGAAAGAGGTATTGAGCGCTTACGTCAATGGTATTATGCAAGGGAAGCCAGTAGCGGAAGATGAGGAAGCTTGGCTGGCATCGTTGGAAACACTCGAGATATGATAGATGGTTCGTAGGTACCAAATGTAGCTCGTCCCTAGATCATAGTAAACTTTAACAACAATAAGAACGATGATGCTTGATCATTTTGGCACCAAGAACTTCGTGCGCCTGTAGTGACATTTTGTTTGTCTACCTATTGAGAGTTTTGTTTTCAATTACTAGAGTAGAAGCATTACTCTGCCACTAAAAATGCTTTGCTTTCCAAGAAACAATACTAAATCTTGTTCGATTAAAATCATGCAAATAGCTTTCGAGTAACATATCAATTCGTGCCTTTGTGAACACGACTCCTATTACATCACGACGCAGCCCGGTTCTTCTTCTTTCCGAGTCCTGTTCATTCTCTCTGTTCTTTCGTCACAAGTCTCGATCTTGTCCCAGAACGTGTTTTCGCCGAACCCGCAGCGGCATTTTTCAAAGAGCTCGGCAATCACCTTCATACACTCCTCATCCTGAGCCTCCAAAGCAAGCATAACCAGCCGGGTGCGTTGATCTCCTCGAAAATTCGGGTCCTCATATGCATCCACGTAGACCGGGTTGCGAAGCTCCTTGAGTTCCTCCTCGAGCATCTCGAACCACACGTAGATGGAAAACGTCACAAAGGGGAAGCTGAGTCCCAAAACGGGCGTGTCGCCGCACACGCTGTTGTATACATCCCATCCGCAGAGCTGCATCATCTCCTCCGGGTCCATTGATCCTCCGGGCGCATTCTTCTTCCGCATCTCCTGATCTCCGGTAACCACCCCTTTGAATCGTTCCGGGTCGGCTCTTTGTATGTTTCTGATGATGTTCTCGGTCTCAGACTCGTGCTCAGCGGCCGCATCGCCCTGCCATGGATTAGCTGACGAGAGCTTGGCGATAAACTCCTCGGTGTATCCACGACCCTTGGCACGCTGGAAGAGGGGCGACTCCGGATCGGCCAATACCATGCGCCCGGCCAGGCCATCCTTCTTCATCTTGAGCTGGCTAAGACGCAGCATGCAGGTAAACGTATCAAGGGGGATCTCCTCGTCCGAGATTCGATCTGGGTCCCACTCTGCTTGGTGGAGGAGATGCACATACGGCTTGGACTTGAACAAAACGTTTGATTTGGGGTCCAGCAGGCCGGGGATATCTGCAGCGTTCTTTGAAGTCTGAAGCTTCATCGTTCGGGCGGTGGAGCATTTGTTCTGAACGTTCCTAGAAAGAGACTGAAATGCCTGGGCAAACTTGGATGTTGGTGCTGTGCCCGTCGGAAACATTGCCTTGGAAAAGATTTGCCCAATCGCAAGCCAAAGCTCGACCGGTGTCTTCAGGTGGCCTTTCTTCACCACCATGTTGTGTAGATGAATGAGCATCGTAGGTTCGGGAAGTTGATCCCAGATGTAGGTGCCGATCAGGTAATTCAACTCAAGTGCTTCTAGCAATCCGACGCCGCATTGGAACGGCGAGTATTCATATAGACCGTTCGCATTGGTATTCGAGAATCGCGAGGTGGGAATCGTGTCTAGACCGGATGCGTACTTGATTTGGCCCAGCCAGTCGTCGAACTCGTCTCCAATCTGCTTGAGAATCGCACATCTTGCGCCATGCAACTCAGGGTTGCCCCTTCTTATGCCATCACGCTCGAGCATCTGCTTCAACACTGGTTCAGCTTGCAAAAACCCGGTAAGGGCTCGGTCGCGAACCAGGATAAGATCCAAGTCTCGTCTGGGAATAAAGTTATGGCTGGAAGGTCGTAGCACATGACCATGAAGGAAACTCAACGACCATCCGCGCGACACGGTCCAGGAATCCACGATACACTGGAGCTGAAACACATGGTGGGGGAGAATCTTGCTCTTTATCAAGGTACCTGGCTTCTGCCACGCGAGCGAGCTGACGAAACCGGCGAATTCGTTTAGGCCAAAGAGTCGACGGTGTGCGTGCCACCGGCCAGCGGAGGACCAGTCGACCTGGGAAAGATCATGGCCTTCGCCGTTCAATGTGTTGCGCTTAACAACAGCAGAGGAGAAGACATTGACCAAGTCGTAGAGCCAGTTGATAGTGTAAGCACGGCGCCACTGAATCCGTTCCTCCTTGGTGGCATTTGCGAGGTTGAGTTTGGGGTTCCAATTCCCAATCTCGGCCTGCATCCGCTTCGTCGGTTTTCCTGTGCGGTTCAGCTGGAAGTCGGTCACAAAGTCGCAGAGGTCTTTGTACGAGTATATGAGAAAATGCTCCTCAATGTCCAGGTACGTGTTGTGCACTTGACGAGCTGCCTGCCCACCAGGGCCGCTTGCCCACATATCAACTCGGAAGTTGTTCCTCAACTTCTCAGGACTCCCTCGTGTCATGGCGTTTAGAATAGCGTCGAATGAATCGTTGCCGGGATACTCAACGAATATCGAGGACTGCATTTTCTTGATGGTGGCGATGGCTACGTTGGACACAGCACCGGCGACGGCGCTGTTGAGATCGTCGTACGCTACCTCAGTCCACTTCTCTTGGATCGATGATCGAAGGACGAGAATGTTTCTGAAAATGGTGTAGACGTCCATAAGATAGTCAGTCAGCAGGCCGGTCCCATTCTCACCAGCCCCAGAGTTAAAGTCATCCACGATCTTGTAGCTTTCTAGAGGTAGATCCTCCAGAGAAATCTGTGGAGCAGCTGGTGCCCGGTGCTTCTTGGTGCTTTTGCCCTTCTTTCCTTTCCCGCTGCTCTTCTTTCCTTTACCAGACCTATTTGTCTGGCGCCGTCTTGCCGCAGATGCCTTAGGGAGCTCGACCTCTTCTTCAGAATCCTCATCAATGACAGCACCAATGTCGAGGGCGGAAAATTTGTTCGAGAAGATGACTTCCTCAATAGTTTCTTCGTCGTCTGGGCGTTGACCTGCTTCTTCTCCTGATCGCCAGGCGAGCCCTCCCAGTACCTCGAAGGTCTGCTTGAGCATATTGATGAAATGTCTGTGGGAGGTGTTGCTCTTTTCTAAGTCAGGGTCTGGATCTGACCTGGCCAGCTTTTCGAAAATCATATGGGCCTGTGCACGATCGGCAATAATGGATTCGAGCAGCCGGAAGACAATGGCGGGAATCGTGGTGTTGTGCTTGGCGATAAGTGACGACATGGCCACCAAGCCGGAAATCGTAGTTTGGCCAGACGTGTTGATCGTGAGAGACTCATCTTGTTGTGATATGATGATGCGGTTCGATGTTTGAACCAGCCAGCAGACGAGATATCTCTGATCCCTCTTATACGAGGCGTAGAGGTTGTGGTCAGCCATGGTTCTTGAGAATGTCAGGGACCGATGGAGAGAGGCGCGTGGTGGATTGGATGATGTTGGAAGAGAAGAGTAGGTCAAACTCTGAGCGCGGGTTGTAAGTTGTAGGTCCCACATGAGTTTGGGAGCGTGCTAAGGTTACGTTACACATCGCAATCCCAAACCTGTGCGATGAAAACAAGGGTCTATCTTATCGCTACATTTATGAAACGAAGGAAAACTACGTGATTCAATGTTCAAGCAGCCTGGACGCGATCTTGCTCAAAACATGTAACTCTACAAAATGGGGCCTTGCTCACACATGAGGCTGGTGAATACGCTACCCAGAAAGAGGTTCAGTGAAACCCGACGAAAATGGCTGTCTTTCACCGGATGAATAAGTTAATTCAAAGTACCTCTTGTAAAATGATATTCATTTCTTTTGGAGTTACGCAATCTGTATGACAAAGATCTAAACCACAAGTGAATAGCCCAAGAGCCAGGCGTTCCTCATTCCCATTTCTGTGTTTCGTACCCTGACGCCGATCCAAATGAGCGGGTCAAGCAAATAAAATCTCATTGGAGCAGCATAGATAGCAAGCAGTTCAAGTGCTGTTTCCAGTTTTTCAGCATGATGTCAGCTGTACTCAAGGCTACTTGGGAGCCAGAACGCATGCATTTTTTTTAAATGAGAATGGAGTATTAATTGTCGAAAAGAATAAAAAGAAAATGAGAAAAAAGGAAGAAAAAAACAATATCATTAGAAGTGAGTATCTATCTCGAACGTTGGTCTTAACAATTGGATAGCGTACCCTGTTACGGATGGATACGTCACCACCTGCCTGATCATGATTGGTGAGACGCGATTGGCGGACAGGGTGGATGCGGAGCCTTCCAAACGAGGTGGCCTCAACAATTGATTACACTATTAGTCAGCAGATCATCGTAAGCGCTCAACCTCGAGTCATCAAATCACTTGCCTAACGATGCCAACGGTTGCACCAATTGACCCTCCGCCAAGGTCCACGGCCCCGAGGCGTATCAACCGTCTTCACCATGTCGAACCTGCTCTCTCCGTCGGGGAATGATGCTCCTCCCATCCCTAACCCCCTGCCGTCTCCTCAGGCACCGAAACCGTCGCGCGTCTTGGCTTGCGTCTTGTGTCAGCAGCGCAAGATCAAGTGCGACCGCAAGTTTCCCTGTGCGCACTGTCTGAAGCAGGGCCTGCAATGCGTTCCCGCCACACAGGCCCGCAGGCGACGCCGCTTCCCTGAGAAGGACCTCCTGAGGCGGCTTGGGCAATACGAGGATCTATTGCGCGCCCACAACATCCGCTTCAATCCTCTCCATCAAGCCCCGAGCACTGCGGGGAAAGGGAACGACGCCGGTGCTGATTCCGATAGTTCGGATGATGAGCAATCACACTCGCACTCAGCGGCGTCGCCAACGCCGTCCTCGAAGCCTTTGGATGTGTTTGATACCAAGTGCGTGGTTACAGCTCCCACGTTCCACTAATCGGTTATGAATGACACTAACGAGGACCAGGAGCATCTGGCTAGCCATTTGCCAAGAGGTAACAGCCGCCGACCAGCAGGCCTGAATCCAGCACTAACAGATTGCCAGGGTCAAGCATCACCTTCTTCAGGTCAATTAGAGGGTGCCGACAACCTCGAACGTACTGTGAAGGATGCATTGGAAATGGAGCGAACCAGTGACTATGATCTTTTTCTATTCGGATCTCCCCAATCATCTGTAGACCTTTCTACATTCCACCCCCAGCCTGTCGAGATATTCAGGCTGTGGCAAATTTATCTCGACAACGTCAACCCCCTCCTCAAAGTCATCCACGTGCCCACCATGCAAGGACGCATCATAGAGGCCGTTGGCAATGTTCACGGGATCAGTCCTCAAATGGAGTCACTCATGTTCGCAATTTATTGCATAGCCGTCACCAGTCTAAGCAACGACGAATGCCAGTCCATGCTTGGGATGTCACAGGCAGACTTGCTAACCAAATATCAATTCGGATGCCAACAGGCTCTGATGAATTCGCGGTTCCTGGTTTCTAGGGAAAGAGACACTTTGATCTCTCTATATCTATTCCTCGTTGGTCAGACCCTACCTTGTCTTACGTTGCGATCTCTAACAGGCGCCGCAGCTATCTCTTCGCCCCGAGATGCATCCGCGATCACTCAGCGCAATGTTCGCAATCGCCATACGAGTTGCAAAAGGTCTCAAGCTCCACAGAGAACCGCCACTGGAGAGGTGTTCAGTTTTCGAGTCCGAGATGCAACGAAGACTTTGGTGGTCGCTTGTGGTCGATGATACTCGCCGCTGTGAGGTAGCCGATGTTAGCGATGATGCATCATTGTCTCCAACTTGGTCACGCAGAACCCCTGCTAACGTGAACGATTCCGATCTGCGGCCTGATATGAAGGAAATCATAGCCGGGGGCGCAAAGGTATCCGAGTCTATTTTCGTCGTTGTCCGGAGTGAGCTAGCCGACTTTCTCCGTCACACGCCCGCGTTCCTGGATTTCCACCACCCCATGCTCAAACCTATTGCAAAGGATTTGCCAGATGGTGGATCTCTCCTCTCTTTGCGCAAGCGAATAGAGAATGATTATCTCCAGTACTGTGACCCAGAGAACCCCATCCACTTCTTGACGATCTGGACAACACATGCTTTCATCGCCAAACAGCGCATGATACAATACTACGCGACCCTCGCTCATTCCGGCCTCCCAGCAACAGAAACCGAAATGGATGATGCCATGATTCTAGCCTTTGAAATGCTGGACTGTGATACCAAACTCTTATCCTCACCCAAAATCAAGCCTTTCATTTGGTTCATCAAATCGCACTTCCCTTTCCCTGGATACATGCATATCATCTATGATCTCAGACGCCGCCCGTTCAGCCAGTACTCCGACCGCGCTTGGGAAGTCATGGCGAACAACTACGACTTCAGAATCCACACCATGTCCAAGATGAAAGGCCCCATAACCAGGGTCTTTGGAAAGTTCATCCTACGGTCCTGGGATGCTCGTGTAGCCGAATGGAAATCGGATCAGCCGCTCAAAACTCCACGGATCGTCCAGCAGATATGGGAAATGGAGGCCAAGAGCAATCCCCCTGCCGATAGCATGAGTTGGGGCAACCTGGGGAATACCCCGGAAGTGAAATTAGAAAATACCTTCAACACGATGCAGCCCATGACCTTCACCGGCAGCGACTTGTATGACCTGGCTGGGCCGGGGGGCATGAACGGGCTTATTCCAGGCGACTACACCAGCTTTTCAGGTCAGGGCGCTTTTGACTTTATGACGGACCAGTACAACTGGCCCTCGGGATCCTAGGGCTTCAAGCCTGTGTCGGATGTTGAATTTAAAGGCGTGGTGATTTTCCCTCGTGCGGCCCGTTGATAGGGCTCTAGAAGTATTTGTCATAATAATTATCTCATGCTATGTCGTTGTGTCAATAGAATTCATTTCCCCTCTACATCTCAAGGATCATGACAACCAACTCAGCTAATCCAAGATACAAAGCAATGAGTCAACAGTGGGATGCATGATTTATGTTCGTAGGCCCACTTTGGCGAATCTTGTCGTCAAACCGCTTCTTATCAAACCGAAAATGTAAGAGGTTAACTCTACAGAGTCGCATCACAACAGCCAGCTAAAATTAGCCACATTCTTTATCCCAATGTACCATATTACAGAAAAATAAGGCAAAGGACGAAAAGGACACATTTCAACCAATTACCAATTGATTAAAAAAAGAAAAGAGCAGTGAGCCCATGTATTGAAGATATGTACGAGATCTCCCAAAAAGGAGTCAGTTGTAAAAATAAAGCAAAAAAGAAGCTGTTAAGCCATGCTACCAGATACCGTAAAGCACGAATCCGGCCCATCAATAAACTCCTATATTTACATCCTCCCAGTATTCCTCACATCACCTTGACTTTATCAAGAGTGTTTCTTATATACAATCCCCAGGGATAACTAACCGGGCATGTGTTCCTGACTCGAGTCCCATTTAGGCCTTCTGGGGCAGCTTGGTGAAGTCCTTCCAAGCGCGGCTGATTGACCAGTACTTGTTCTTGCTGAAGGGGGTCTTGGGGGCCTTGTCCAGCGGGACTGCTCGGTTCAGGCGGGCCTCGAGCTCGACCTCTTCCTCGACGGCGCGAGGTCTGTTGACACGAGGACCAGAGCCGCCAGTTCTGCCACCCTTGGCTCCGCGGGTCTCGAGCTCTTCCTCAATAGAGCGAGGAGGTCTGTTGACACGAGGGCCCGAGCCACCGGTCCTGTGGCCCTTAGCTCCACGGGTTTCAAGCTCCTCGTCGATAGAACGAGGAGGTCTGTTGACACGAGGGCCCGAGCCACCGGTCCTGTGGCCCTTAGCTCCACGGGTTTCAAGCTCCTCGTCGATAGAACGAGGAGGTCTGTTGACACGAGGGCCAGAGCCACCAGTTCTGCCGCCCTTGGCTCCACGAATATCGAGCTCCTCATAGATATCGCGAGGACCAGGGCGGTTAACGTGGACGCCAGCGCCATTGCGATGGCCACCCTTTGATCCACGAATCTCGAGCTCCTCGAAGTCACGCTCGTCAAGCTCTTCCTCAAAGTCACGCTCATCGAGCTCCTCCTCGATATCACGAGGACCAGGGCGGTTGACATGGACACCGGCGCCAGTACGATGGCCGCTCTTTGATCCGCGAACCTCAAGCTCCTCGAAATCACGCTCATCAAGCTCCTCGTCGAAGTCACGCTCGTCAAGCTCCTCTTCGATGTCACGAGGACCAGGGCGGTTGACGTGGACACCCGCTCCATTGCGATGGTCGCTCTTTGATCCGCGAGTCTCGAGCTCCTCGAAATCACGCTCATCAAGCTCATCATCGAAGTCGCGCTCGTCAAGCTCCTCCTCGAAGTCACGCTCGTCAAGCTCCTCTTCGATGTCACGAGGACCAGGGCGGTTGATGTGAACACCGGCGCCATTGCGATGGCCACCCTTTGATCCACGAATCTCGAGTTCCTCGAAGTCGCGCTCTTCAAGCTCCTCGTCGAAATCACGCTCGTCAAGCTCATCGAGGTCACGCTCATCGAACTCTTCGAAGTCGCGCTCCTCGATCAGTTCTTCGAGATCTCGCTCATCGAGTTCTTCATCATCCCGCTCATAAATGTCGTCGTCATGCCGCTCGTATAGTTCGTCCACATCACGCTCATCGAGCTCCTCATCATCTCGCTCGTCGAGTTCTTCGACGTCACGCTCCTCAACCTCCTCGGCCTCTCGCTTGCCGGCGTGGGAAGACGGGGGGTTGGGCACGATCTGGATGCTCATGGTACGGGTGTCGAGAATCGAGGCTTCCTCGACGGCGCGGGCCTCGAGAGACTCGGCTTCGGCTCTCTGGACTAGGGTGAGGTCGTTGGTGCTCTGGTCGATTTCCAGGGCGAGACCGCGGCTGGCGAGGCCAACCCACAGGAGGGCGGCGAGGCTGAGGTTTTTGGCGGCGACCATTTTGAATATTGAAGTATAAGAAGAAGGATCAATTGGAATGAGGAAAATGGAGGTGGAAAGGAGTTTGCTTGAAAAACGAAGGCTAACGCTGAATGGACCGACTCAAGGAAAAGCTAGAAGACCAGCTGCTAGGTTGTTTGATACTGAGGTACTGGTTGATGATGGGAAAGAAGATCTTAACCCCGAGCAGAGAGAGGAGAGAGAGGCCTAAATACACTCTGGCGTGGGATCATTCGTGTGGCCCTGGCCGGCAGTTGAGCCATGGAAGTCGTCAGGATCTAGAATCCCTAAAATTAGAGATCACGCGACATGGGGCAGCCGCGACTGTGAAACTCGAATGCTAACCCCCTTTTGGCGATGCTGGGGACCTGCGAACGATCTGTGCTTGCGCGTCCAATGCCGTCTGCAGGCCAAGAGAGCGGAGATTGTCACGCAGAACAGGGTTTCTGCTCACCAAGGTGCCGGCTTCTCCTGGTCTGTAGGATCACTGCCTGTCGCAAACGGCCCCAGGACCCAAACAAGCCAAACTGCCAGCATCGAAATCCTCCACAACAATCGGGACCGAGAACGATTGGCCGAAATAGGACTCCCCCCTGCGTCTCAGACGTTTACCTCGCTGGACAGCCAATCCAGCCCCTGGTAAGAACGTGCTACAGGAGCTGTGCTAGGCTCCGAAGGGTTACCGGCAATTCTAATGTTATTAATATCTCTTAGTGCCGCCCCGATATTGCTTGCAATCTCCTGCAAGCCCCGATCAACCAGGCACGTCATACCAACGATCATTGATCTCCTTAGTGAACGCGTGAACTCCTTCCAAGATTGGTCTAAGCCTGTGGATCTGGTGAGCTGCAGGAACGGGCAAGTCAACTACGAACGACGGGGATAATCGAGTGGATTGTACGAATGCGGGACGTGTGGAGGAGTAGTGCATCAAATCTCGTTGAACCTCCAAACCCAAGTCAACAAACATGACACCCATACACACACTATGATCGAGCAAGAATGCGGATGAAAAGCAGATATGATTCAAATCTCCACGAGCTTTTTTAGAATTGGCTTGGAGGGTCAAGCACGCGATCTTCACGATTCCGGGGGGACGGGGCTTCGAGTACAGGGTAGGCTTTACTTGGTGGAGATTCTCTTGAGCATCCAAGAATATTTGACCAACAGAGCCAAGAAGCTGTCTCAATTATTAAAACATGCCCCGTTGTCTAGGGAAATAATTCAATATTTGTCCGATTGCTCATTGATTTGCTCACTTATACTGACGTAGCAGTGAATCGAGATAACGAAACGGATGATGAGGTTTTTGTTCTACTTGGCGAAATTTCTTGAAGTTATACTCACGCCGTGCAAAGGAATGGTTCGATTTAAAAGAAAGCGGTGATTAATTTCAGTTCTCCCTATCCATATTTTACCCAACATGCCAACAGTCCAACTCAGAGCCTCGCTACCAGCGTACACATTTTTCGAGTCGTAAAACATCTACAATATTCATTGAAGCTCGCGCTTCTGCTGTCAATTCAGCTCCAATTTCTCCTGCCTTCCCCGGCAAGTGTGATCACGGCTCTCGGGGGCACTCGGGGCCGACCACATTGAGCAAGTGCGTAATGATATGGGAAAGAGACTATTCCTCTGCTCCTTGAAGAAGAATTCTTTGATAGAAAACTGGAATTCCTTGGAGACCGTTTCTGCCTCCAAGAAATGTTAGCAAACATGATCGAACAAAACCAGATTGTCTGTACTTACTGTCATGGCGCTTTGAGCCAAGCATACTAAAGCTATCGCTCATGGGCGTTCGAAGCCGTTGGTGTGGGGCCAACCATCGGCGACCGACCGAGTGTTTTGGTTGTGGTTCTTGGAACGGTGCTGCTGAGGTGTGATGAAGGTTTGATCTGAGAAGATGCGAGGTGTCAGCCAAAGTATTGATACGAATGAATTGAAGGAGTGTTCACCTACCTTGAAGTGAATTTCTTTTGGGAAGTGCTCCCATATTGGTTTTTCCGAGATGTGATGAAGTGTTTGATCTATAAGTACGAGGTGTGTCAGCCTGGGCGTTGATATGAATGAATTGAAGGAGTGTTTACCTACCGGAAACTGAATCTGCTTTTCGCGATCTTGAGGGCCCCAAAACGGGCCCTCATGGAGGGTTTGCTCTCCCGGCCGCACCGATTGGCTGAATGTTATTTGGTTCGGTGCGGCCAGGAGAGCTGCCTTGCCCAACAATCGACCACGGAGGATTTGCTCTCCCGGCCGCACCCATGGCTTTTCGATTGCTTGCATGTCATTTGGTTTGGGGTGCGGCCAGGAGAGCAGCCTGGCCCAACAGCCATCATGACTCTATCAGTTTGACTGAATATTGAGCCACGACAGCCGTCGGGCCGGCTGAGCTGAGTGCTTTGGTGTTTTTTTTTTTTTTTTTTTTTTTTTTTTTTTTTTAAAAAAAGCAAAAAGATTTTGAAAAGAGTGGTGAGGAAGTTGAGGGTCTGTGGAAGAGAAGAGGGGGGAGAAGATTGTGGCCGGGGGGGGCGGGGGTTTTAGTCGAGAGCAAGTGGGTGAGCCTTAGGCAACAACAGCAACACACGTCTGCGAGTTCAGAAGGCACGAGGGGCTTCTATCTGGCAGGTACCTTCGGCGGTACTTCTCATAGCTGCATAATGTAAACGTCATTCTGGGCCGAGTTTCTGAGACTGGTTGCTGGGCGGCTCACTTCCCCCCACCCCTGACAACCAATCTGAGCTGGCCCAGCCGGTACACTCGAGGAGTTGCTGCCCCTCTCCCTCCGGGCTGTGCCAATGAGTAGAGGATATCGCGTACGAAGCTGGCCGCCTTTATTCATGAGCAGTTTTAGGCATTTAATATCGAGTAAGTGCTATTTCATCGAATATTGCCATGCGACTTGATATCACTAACGATCATGCTATGCAATAGAATACCGATTCCTCACCCGAACCTGTCACCATCCAAAGTGCTCGTCTTGTAACACCGACTCGTCCCATTCTTCGATCGATTCGAAACGTGTAATTATCCGACGAACTCGAAAACCCCCTCACAAGCCGTCAACAGAGCGTTTTTTGAAGTCTACAGATCTCCGCCACATGATGAAGCTTTCTAGTACACGTTGAGCATCTCAAAGCTGGTCTTTTCCATGCATGGAGCTCCTCATCAGCTAGCTTTTGCCGTAGAGTAGAGAATTGTGAATGTGCTTGTCAAAGTCGTGTGCCTACACGAGCAACCCACGCGATCTAGAACCCATTCTCGTAGGCAGTGCCAGATGCCCAAATAAATCAATAAAATCATTGGCTGTCAGATTCCCTTTGCATACGTAGACTGTTGAAATTTACACAAGTTTTTGCATCACGTCTTGGTCTCAGTTCTTGCTCGATCGCTCACCATGCCCCCCCCTTTTTTTAATGCAACACTCAAAGCGAGATGGACAATCTGATCGGCAAGATAGAATGACGCATGGCATTGCAAACTCAGGCACTGGAGCACGAGGGGGTACTTTTTGGATATCACCTTCGCCTCAGAAAGGCGGCAAGCACGCGAGAACAACAGTGGTGCCCCACGAAATGCACAACACGCACCCGCGTCACTCGCGCATTCAACACGGTTGTTATGATTTTTACGACACCAAAACTGGATCAAATTATGAGGGAATGGAACAGATTGTATTTTAGGCACGATGTTTTGAAAAACTTCTAATGTACATATTCTGATGAAAACAAACACTACACTGAATACCGACACACAAATGAAATTTACCACTCCACATTCAGACTTTGAATCTTCATAGCAACAAGATGCCGCTTTGGAAGAACTGTTTTTGTCATCACGATGCGGGAGTCTGCAAAAGCAGACTCAAAGCCCCCAGAACCCATGAGCCCCCTGAACGAATTGATGTAAAGCCCCAGAACCCACGAGCCCCCAGAACCCACAAGCCCCCTGAACCCAATGGTGATGGTGATGGAGAGGATGATGACGGTGATGGAGAGGATGATTGCTGAACACAATATTAAACAAAAACAAACGAACTGGAACGGGAATGTGGTCCAGGGCCGACCACGGGAGATGCCACAAGACCCAATCCTGAGCAAAGCCCAAGATACAGTCAGGTGAACTGAGGTGCAAGGTATCTGACATTCTCAGACCTGGGTAGAACCCAAGTAAACACAGAATGCAGCAGGACAGGGGAATGGGCAGGCGGTGGTAGGGGAGGGAGAACAAAAAGGTAGAAAGGACTCACTTGTGAGGAAGGAAAGAAGGAAGAAGGAGGAAAGAGGAAGAGGGGAAAAGAGGGAGCTTTTATAGTTGGGGGAGGGACGCGCACAATCACTCCCACACGTGACGGCCGGTCAGAGATCACTCAGTTGACAGCAACTGTGCTTCCCAATTTGGACTGCAGGCTCGTCGAATTTCACAGACCTGGCTGCTCTGAATTCTCATTGGCCCATTAAATAAAATGGTTTTTGAAAATGAGCACCCGGGTGCATTTGTTTTGCATCCCAAAGGTGAGCAGAACGTAGGGAGGTATCTTGTACCCCAGCACCAGTCCTCCATAGCCCACATGAGTACACTCGGCCGTCGACGCCCTACTGCCACTATTTTGAAGCTGGGAAAAAGATTTTGTTGCTCCATGGTAAACGTAGAATGATAATTTAATATCGTCGTCGTGCAATCTGACAAACAACTTTTCAAAATTTCGACCAACCTAGTAGGAGTACCACCTGCAAGCCCTCCCCTCAGTGAATTGTTTTGATTTGGCTTGCCCTTCCAACTGACTGAACGTATCCCACAGTGTATTCCAACGACTGAAGCTATTCGCAGCACCATCCCACAAATCCTCCAAGCACAAAGAAGAAAGTCACACCCATGTCGATCAAGCTACCATCCCACTTCCTCCAGCGTCCTACCCCCTTATATTTTCGAACCTCAAAGCAATGTTGAGAAGGATGAGACACACACAAACAACACGGAGTAGATTATTGGAAGGACGATAAATGCATTTTGGAGGACTCCAGCTTGTCGGATGGTTCATCTGCAGGGCGAGTTTACAGTATCAAGGGTGACAACTGGAGATACCTGCCTATGTGAAGGCACAAATCACCACCGTTGAAGTTTCATGCTGTTTTCGGGCAAGATTACATTTCCCTCCCCGAGAGATAGTCAAAGCTGCAACCAGGAGGGATTGTTCCAGCTGGGAAGCCCGATCATAGAAGACACACAGTAGAAGATAATCCGCGGGAGGAAAAAATACTTGATTATAGGTAGTAGTACTGCAGTCTAAAATAATGTGTTGACTCTAGAATATAACCAGGATCACTCCTGGATCGAAGGTAGTGTCTCTCTAAACCAGTTCTTCCTCTTGTTCCCTGTCGGTTCAGGAGCAGGATCTTCCATAACATATGATGTGTTTGCATCAGGAATTCTTTTCATCGGGATTGCCTCGGAAAGTGAGAAGTCATTCACAATATTTCCCTGTGCCTGCATTTGATTCCTCCTTCGCCTGCAGATGGCGCCATCGACCAGCGACTGTAACGTGGGCAGGCAAAATATCATGAGAACAATGGTGCATTCGGCCAGCTCCCACAGGTATATTTCGGAAATAAGGTTTGACCCTTCGTCTCGATTTCGATCTCGATGCAATGCTTGTAGTTGGCCCACAGCGCAGCCAACACCCCTAAACACAAAGTTAGCTGGTCGTATCTTTTCGCATTGAACAGAGGGCATGAACCAGAGGACTTACAGGAAACCAATCGAGTAGGCTACCCAGACTTCCCACATCACCTTTCTTGATCTCTGTGCCCACAAAACCTGCTATGGCAAGGCAAACATTGTGAGATCTATGAAAAGGTTCACATATACTGTAGTGAAGGCAACGGGGGCGTTGGTAGTGCGGGAAACCGGGATCCACGGACTGAAGGCCTTCTCCAGCGGTCGACATCGCAGACTCAAGAACGTAATGATTGCTGGAAAGTAACCGAGGATGAGCACGATTAGGATATAGCAGGTTCTGGATGCAGCGGGCGAGACGCCGCGATAGAAGAGGCCTCGGGCCCATTGGAGGAGGATTGCGCACTTGGCGAGTATACAAATCGCGTAGAACATCATCGTTCCAACAAATGAGAGCTTTGAACGATGGTTAGCACGATGAATGGGTGAAGTAGCGGCTGGAGGATGATCATGCTCGTTGAGGACATACAAAGAACAGCTGTCCAAGGGCCTCTCGGCTCATATTTGACTGGGGTGTAAGGAAGATATGAGCGTTGAGCTTCTCATACCCGCACCACAGCATCGCGCAGAATGGGACCTATAAAGTTAGTATCTTTATGAAGCGTTTTCGAGAACGAGAAAAGACAAACCGCCGCGAGGAGGCCAATGACTGTTAGTAGATGGATTGATTAGTTGTTGACTCATTGTAAGAGCATAAATTGGGAGCAAAATGGATGGAGATCTTACCATCGTGTGCCTGGACCCTGTGCTTTCGACAGAATAGACAGCCACCAAAACAAATCAACAAGCTTGCCGAACCTAGAAAAGTGAGGAGTGCAGTTATTGTGACCCCCAGACCATAGCCCAGAGACGGGCCACCAGTGCCCCGAACTGCAACGGGAAGAGGATCACCAGCTGGGTGTGGCTCAGCTGTGAAAGCTTCGACGAACCCCTCCACCATCTTGGCAAGTAAGAAACGGGGATGGTATCTCGAAACCTGGTTGAAGCGAAGAGAAACGGAGAAGTGGTTACTGTAAGACTGTTGGGAAAGGATAAAACCTGATGAAAACCTCGAGCTTCTCGTCTGGAAGTCTTTGAAAGGAGAGATTGTGGGCGTGGGAGTGTTGGGTGATTTGGGCCCTTTCGGTGGACAAGAGATAACTGGTGCCTACGTGGCCTCGACTTCCGCATAGAATGGGAAGGCACGTCTTGAAGACTGGAGGCAGTTGGCTCTGTGGGAAACAGATGCCTGAGGCGAGCTGCCTCCCGCCTCTCGCTCCAATGACAGCGAGGGCTACGGAGTGATGCTCGCTTCTGGTCCTAGGTTAGTAGTTACCTACTCAGCATGGCCCGGTTTTTGGGGAGCACCACGCTTAGTAGCCACTGCTCCTTCCCTTTCACTTTGCCCTGCGTTACATTCCCCATCTGCCAGACCTGCCAAACTCTTCACAGCAGTCAAACCGCTTGCCCAGCCGAATGCATTCAATTATCAAACACCAACAGCCCTGTCCTGTTAGCACTGAGTTCTACCACCATACGCATTACCGTCTCAGTGCTCTACACTGAGTTTCCATCTGTGCCATCAATGTATGCATTATACATGAAGTGGGACGCCCTCGAGACGGAAGGATGGCAATTTACGCTGAGTATCACTCTCGGACCCTGGCCCGAGGATGCAGATTTCATTTTCCTTCGTATGGGTATGTTGCTGCCTGTACGGGCGCTCATGTTGCTGACGGCCTGGACTGACGAATTTGCTAGAGCTTTACACCATTGAATGATCAGCACAAGCCTCTCCGAGAGCGACTCCATCCGCAAACCGTCTGTCCTACGCGAGAACAAAGAACAATGATCCACTATACAGAATTAATCCACGCCCGAAGCCTTCCGAATCCCTGCCCCTGCAATTTCCTTTACGGACCAGGTTCCCCAGACTGGGTGAGGAGTTGAACATGGGTGGAGGGAGGTTCGTTTGGCGCAGTCGCAAACAAGATTCAGATATACAGGCAGTAATTACAAATGACTAGCATCGTTTCTGTCCTCTACATCTTCCTGCATTAGTGACAGGCCAGAATCCGATCCTCTACCATCCGAAAGCGCTGAGACTTGCGACTCCCTAAGTCTTCGGATTTCTCCCGCATTGTTCCCAAGCGGCCCGGCCTCTATCCGAGCTTTGTCCCAAACTCTGCCACTAGAATCTTGAGACCAGAAGACGTATTCTCTACTAGCACGGTAAAAGGGGGGAACCTGTATCTAATTGGACCTGGACGTTGCCTCTTGTCGGGACCTGACGTTTATTGAACTTTCAGCTCGTGGTCCTCAACGTCCGTGTTGTTTGTTCACCTTCAACAATTAATTAATTTGACCGACTGAGACACGCAAAATGTCAGAGAACGAAAGGAGAGTCGCCGAGTTTGCGAGCATGACTCAGTTTTGGGTTGGGATCGAGCACCAGCAAATAATAGGGGGCAGATCATGATCGGAGATTCCTGCAAAAAAAAAAAAAAAAAAAAAAAAAAGAGGAAAAAAAAGGGAAAAAAAAGGAAAGAACAGGAAGAAGAGGGATGAAAAAAGCAGCGAGAAAACAAGCCGACAGAGGGGAAAGAAAGTGATTGAATTCGAGTGTGGCCCCATCCGTTACAATTTGTGACAGAATAAATGGGCGCGGGAGAGGATGGTTGCTGAACGATAGCTCAGCGTACTAAGCACCAGCGTTCCACGACTGGCAAATGTTCCCTAGAAATGGAAATTGGTGGCCAGTCAGATGCCTGGCAGGTCTTACGTCATTGGGAGGAACAAACACGCGCTGTTGGCTGTGTTGGCTGAGCAGTGAATGTGTGCGCACTTATTGCAGCCACAAAGCCATAGTCGCTCAGCTGGGCGCCCGAGCTCAAACGAGCGTCCAGCAGCTGTACGAGACTGACTGCCAATAGCTAGTCTCAGCTCTGACTTGGTTATGTACCTGTTCTGAGACAAGGTGATATCATTCGCGAGCGGGAGACTTGGCCCAATAGGCGCCCTCGCTCATAAATGACAAGTGACAGGCGGTTTTCAGTGAGAAATAAGTGCGAATTTCTTTTTCCCATCCCAGAGCATTTACGTATAAGAACCCGCGACTCTTCCTTTCCATTCGCGTCTTGCGGGATTCCCTGGGGAAGCGCTACCTTAGCAAAAATACACGCACTCGGCCCCCCACCACCATGTCTCGCCAGGACCACGTGTCGAGCGCAAGTATCACCGAGGCATACTACCTCAAATTGAAAAACGTTGAGTTGTACCTATACTTCTTGAGGGATCATAGAAGTACCCGTGGATGTGACAGAGATCAATGGCTGACCAGTTGGATGTAGCTCCCTCCCCACATCCGTCGGCAGGATATCGAGGCCTTCCTGTCGCGCATCTGCGAAGTCGATCGGGTTTTTGTCCTCCCCAAAACGGGCCAGGGATGGGTATGTGTTAAGCACAGGCATAATTTCCAGAGGGCATACGGTATGATTTATTCCCATGCACTATTCTCTTGCCCACGGCTAACATTGTGCTGTACTAGAATGGCTGCACGAAGCCAAATTTGGGCGACATACAATTCTCGTCTCCGAGCATAACAAGGACGGTCCTATCTTCATCAGGGTGCCTCTGGAAGCCGACGAAACTGACCGAGGGAGGACCAATGCGTCAAAGTTTACCATTAGCACCCTCTTTGAAGCTATGGAGCAGCTAGGCAACAACAAGCTGTAGGAGCTGCCTGGGACAACAGGGGGTGAACACTGGAGGTTGGGACTGCGATAGTAGATATCAAAGTCAACCTCAAGGCGTTTGTCTTCCAGGGCTCTTGGATTTTGAACTTCTAGTCACAATTGGGCATTTAGGTAGTTGGTGTGTGATTTATGACCGCGGGTCTTTGTGGCGAATCAGGAATCATACGTGCACAGTACTTGCACTTCGCACGGACATCTTTAAGCCTGACAGGATCAACAGTAGAATTCAACTTGAATATTGCAGTTTAAAGCCTGTCCAAATTAAATGCTTCACCCTGCCAATTCCTTCTTTTCAACTTGAAGTGGCATGCGGAAGGTGCACTACCACAACGAAGCAGGGAATAGCTAAATAGATTAAGTCAAACCAACACCACTTACTTAGCAAGCATACGAATCTATTCCGCAGATCCACCTAATGAAAGTCAGTTGTGATTTTCTTATGGCATTATAAAAGGTCCAGCACAGCATTGCTGGCTTAGTGGGCATGTAAGCTTGAGACCGATCTGGCCAGTGACTACACAAGATCCCTGTTAAGGTGGTCTGGGCTCAAGGGAAAGAGAAAGGGGTGGGTCAGATTAAAAACGGTTGAAATAAGCTTTGCATTCCAAAAACATGACTCAGGGAGTGTTGGATCTTGTGGGGAAAGATTTGTCTGTTCCTAAATGAAAGAGTAGAGCCTGCACATCTAAAGAAAGATCTTAGGAAGAGAGTCGTAGCAACTCCATGTATTGTCTTACCAGGAAATTTCACAGGAGCCCTTGCTATTTGATCTATCTATGTTGTCTACGGCTGTAAAATACGTAAATGACAACTGAGTGACCCTCATGTGAGCATGTCGTTCCAACGTTATGCCTTGACACATGGAACTGTTCCCCGGAATCCGGGATTGGATACTCTTATTGATGCCTTGGTTGCCTAGAACGGGCATGGATACAAACAAAGTAGGTAGCTACCATGTTTGTCCCCACGCACGTGGGCACCCGTCCCATTGTTCACCTGGGTTGGGTTATTCAGGCCACTGGGCAGATCTGTTATAGGTACCTGGTTCAGCTGTATCTTAGAAAGAGAGGCACTGTTTCTGAGGGGATGTAAGTAAACACGCGTTGACTGGCCAGCCCAGCCTCCTCGCCCCCCTTTCCCCTCCTATGAACTCTTACGCTTCCTCCTTCATTTTTCCTCTTCATTTACAACTCCTTCACATCAACCTCTTTCTCGGAAGCTCTTTGTCACGTTGTTCTTGAACTCACAAGTTAAATCATCTACGCATATCCAACCCTGCAGTTGCCCACTCATATCCTTGCGCAACTCAACGTCCAACCATCATGGCAGGGGTTGGTATGGCTCCATGCCCCCCGATTCAAGGCAACCTGGGCGGCCTTTTGTCCAGCAATAACTCTCGTCGTACGTCAATATTCCTTTATAGGCAAGGAGAATACCTCTAACCATTTTTGAAACTACCAGCATCCTCTCCAGTTGCTAGAAGCCAAGACCAACCCACCGAAACCGAGAACACATCTGAGTCAATGCTCAAGCACATCGTCAACTACTTGAAGTGCAACAGGCAGACAGAGGAACAGCCTCTCTCAGGGAAGAGATGTAATCCGTTTGCCTACATGCTCAAATTCAAGAGGCACCTAAAGTTCAAGGCAGCTACCAACTCTCGCAAGCCGAGGCTCGATATATCTTCCTACTTGGAGAGACTCAGGAAGCAAAAGAAACCAGACACAGCTCGGCCAAGCTTCGAACCACTCTTGGTGCCGGCCGAACAAGGCCAGTCTCTCACACCCGACAGCGTCATCTCTGCTCAGCCCAAGGTGCTTGTTCTGGAGGGCCACAACGATGATCCGATATGGTTTGATCATGCGAGGCCCAAAGGTGCGATCGACAGGAGTATGCGAGAGTCCGATATGGCAGAGGCGGATATCGTTCTCCTTACCGTCGGATCAGTTGATGATCCAGTCCTAACTAGGCGACTGTCTGAGATACCGGATGAAAAGTCCAGGGTCATTGTCGCTTCACGCACTTTTCGACTCAGGGGCATCCCAAACGACCGCTGCACCATTGTCACAGCTAATCCTTCCGCTGATTTTGCTGGAAGCTCAGCTATCGACACCTCGACCAGAGTTCAGTTGCCACCTTTTCCCCCTTCATCCTTCTCCATCGGTATTATTGCGAACGATCCGCAGACCGCACGCGACTGGGTCAACCACAGGCGTGAGATTCCGGAAACCCTGCAGGTGGGGGATCACAGGATCACACTGATTTCCAACCACAAACCTCAACAGGGCAAGGGCAGCCCAGTGGATGGATACATCGTCATCGCAACAGACAACTACGAGACAATCGCGCTGCCCGAAGGTCCTTGGCCCATAGTAGGAGTATACAAGGATCCAGACATGGATGCGCTCAAGCAGCTGCCTGGTGCGACCAGAACGAACCCATTGGTCCTCTGTCTCTCGGATCCATTGCCTGCCTTACTCAGGCGAATCATCTTCCGGAAGCTTGTAGAGAGCCAAAAGCGTGGCGAAATCCCACTTAGCAGGATCGATCCGTTTATCAACATTCAGTCACCAATGCCTTCCGTCAGCGAATAGACTGGCAGCCGTTAAAAAGGCGGCGAAGCTTCACGCAATACTAAAGCTGAGGCGGCATAACCATTCGAGACCATGAGACCAACCTCACGAAAAAGCTTCCCGATTGCAGTTACGACAGACACGTTTTCCCGTTACATAGATATTACTAGAGCCCGAAGCTCACAAGAGATGAATCACGAGCGATACCACGCTACTCAAGACATGGATGCCAAGTCACGGCCTCCTTCAGCCTAAGAATGCCGAAGCCCTTGCAACAGGACGGGTGATGAGGCTAATTGAATTTCTTTGATCGTTGGATATCCGGATGGAAAGGTTTACCGGCGCAAGGAGTGCGAATTGATTTCTTTGGTCATAAAGCTGGGGGGTGAGATTGGAAATTGAACGGGTTGGCGCCTTTGAGGCTAAAAGTCCATACTTGTACCTACCACCAGCTCAGAAAGTTACTTTCAGTAATTTAAAGTTTTGAATTTTCTAATACTTGTCATGTTTCGGCTCTCTAGATGGTGTGCGGACGTGACCAAACTTGAATGAATGGAAGCAGTTCTGCGGAAAAGGGGGAGCAAGTCTAGGGTAGCTAGAATACATTGCTGTATCTAGCGCAGCCCCTCGAAAGCCAACTCCTTCTCGAGAACTTCCCCCCGACCTTAACAACCAGGACGCGGGCCAAGCACTGATTCGAAAACCAAGTCATCTTCACCAAAAGTGCATCAAGAGACTCAACTAATCGACGTCGAATTCTTGATTGTGCTTATTACCACCTCTCCCTGGTATTGTGTCAATCTGTCTGTGAGACTATTCATCGTCCGACTTTTCCTTATTCCACCTGGCCTAACTACGGTAATAGATGGATTTAACCCCTTGCGATCGTTTTCGATTCTTTAGTTCCGATTGAACGACGGCAAACGCGGCCCTGAAGACTTAACGAGAAGCTTTTGGAGCAAAGAGACCAGACCGGGTGACCGATATCCTGAAAGAGCAGAAGCATACCAACAATGAATCGTTCGAGCAGCGGCGAACGAGAGACTGGAGAGTGTGGAAAAGCCCCGAAATAAGTACGAAAATGGCAATAAGCCCAGCGTGAAAGGGACGTCGGGATGCAGATGCCGGTTCAGCCGGTCATGTCAACGAGGGAAGGTGTGTACAAAGAGCAGGGACGAGATCAACGCAAGCTGATGACTTACGCTTACGAGAAAATCTTCGTTCAAGAGCAATAAGTGCAATATTCTATCCCAGCACGACGGAGCTTAACAAGAGGACCCAGGTCTTTCGGCAAGGGAGTACTTACTGGCTTCGTCAGTGTAGCGCGCGTGCCGCGCAGAGCATCTAAAGTCATCACCATGTTTCTCACGCCGCAGCGAGCCGTGGTAACGGGAGCTAGTAACGTTAACCTTCTACCCCGACGTGCGTTGGCCTGCCAGGCCTCGTCAAGATGAGCTTTTGATACCACCTGTTTCACAACCCGGAACTCGCCTACAAAATGTCAGCGGCCTTTCGGCTCTTGGCAGCTACTCCCCACCCCCACGAGGCTACCTCGACAGCGATTGACTTATCAAAGTCGTCAGCAGTGAAATTTCTTTACAGTATCGACTAAATCGAAACCAAAAGGAGCACACGATGCCTTCGAGGAGCATAAGCATGTCAACAAGAGAATGAGTCGTATGGATTGCGTTGTTGATGATCTGGTCATACGTCATCGGAATAACCATTCCCCTGGCCACATCTTATTTCTCAAGTCGACAAACAGATAGTGCTTTTTGACTAACTAAGCACACACTCGGGATCGGGCAATTTGAGTATTGGGTGGGAGGGGTATAAGTAGTGTGCTGATGGGTGTGATCTCTCGAGCGGCATTTTCGCACGTTGCGGGTATTAGCGTTCTTGAGTCGGCATTTATTGTCTTAGACAGAATTTATTTGCACTCCGTCACGGACACGAAGTAAGTTCATAACTAAGATATATTGATTTCTCTGACATCATTTACTACAAAGAGAAGCCTTGTTGTTACGATCTGCTGAGGGTAAGCCGTCCTTCGCCTCGGTTTCCCCAATATGGACCGGCCTTTATATAGCTCTAAGTTACCAATTGCTACCCCTGACCTCTTGAAGATGAGGTGAAATACTCTCACTTCTTATTCATTGTGTTGAGATGTCGGGTCTGGCACCTTCCATTGCTGTTTTTACTTTATACTCAAACTCTCTCACCCGTATACTCGCTTTTAGCTGTTTGGGTTATCCCGGATTTTTCTTCTTTCATAAACCACACCACTGAATTGCTCTCACCACTCGACCCTTCAGCGTGTACAGGAACATTCATCATCTCCAGATGCGTCCCGACGGCAAGTGAGTCATCGGCATGAAGGTTTATCGAGTTTTCCTTCTGCATGGCTGTAGCCTTGGGCTAGCAGAGCTTGTTTGTGCCTTCCGTATTCATTGTGTTGAGATGTCGGGTTTGACATCTTCCATTGCTGTTTTTTACTGTGAGTCAAGCTACTCGAACTCTCACACCCATGAATTGCTCTCACTACTCGACGCCCCAGGATATACTGGAAGATGCTGGGTATCATCTCCAGCTGCATCAATTTTCGATGCATCCATTGCCTTCGGGCAATCCTCCGTTGGTGAACCAGCAGAGGGATCATTATCGAGTTTACAACTCCCAAACCCATGTGAACATCGGTACCTATCGTTGCTTCGGCGGGATCGCCCGGGCGGCGCGTGTGCCCCGGATCCGATGCCGGCCTAGCAACCTCAACTCTTGTTTTGTTTTGGAATCTTCTGAGTAGTGTTGATAATAGATAAAAACAACGGATTCCTTGCTGCTGGTATCGGTGAAGAATGCAGCGAAATGCGATAAGTAATGTGAATTGCAGAATTCAGTGAATCATCGAATCTTTGAACGCGCATATGTCTGTCTGAGCGCCATTGCAACCATCACAGCACGGTCAACACAGCAAATCTCAGCCTTTTGTCCGGCCACGAAGATTGCACCCGACCGCAAATGAGAGTCAACCCCAGGAATGGCTTGTGCCCGGCATGATGTCTCTTTTCCTCGTGTTGGGTGAACGTCGCCAACATCTCCAGGGTTGCCGAGTTGCCTACTACTGAAAGACTTTTGTAGTTCTCAAGGTGAAGGGTTTGCATGTGTTGACCACCTCATCTGGGAGAGGAAATTCACGAAGAGAGGGACCGCATATTCATTCTGCTTCGGTCGTGTGAAGACAGTCGAGCTCGTCGATCGGTTGTTCGATTCTGGAGAATTGGGCCGTGGTCGGATTTCGTGGGACTCGGCGGCTCGGGGGGACTAGCAGGTAGCTTCAATCCGATTCATCTAATGTTTCTTGTTAGATACGGCTATTCTGTTCTTCGAGGGCATGGATAACATACCTGGAGGAGCAGCGCCATTCCGCTCCTCGCTGGATGGCGGGTTTGAGTAGTCATACAAGGGCAAGTCCTCATTAATACCGATCGTAAAATCATCAAAAAAGGGGGAATTACGCTTGGCTCTATTTTCACATGGCGAAAAGACATAGGAGGTGTAGAATAAGCGCGAGCCAATCTGGCCCAGGATTAAGGATAATTTTGTGGGGGAGAGGAAACATAAAGTAAGGCTTTATGCAACCGTCGAATCTGAAGCTATGGCTTAGGAGGCAAGTTTGGGGTCGGAGTTTTCGGGTTGGCATTTTCTCCCTCCCTCTCCACACCCTTTCTGTGTTTTCGTGGAAGGGGGATGTTGATAGTCAGAGCCCGGTGGATGAATATGAGGGATACCGGCCGTTCTTTGTCTCACAAATTTCGGAGAGTAGATTGCATAAAGAGACCAATTAGGCTGGCAAAGGAGGAGATGATGTGAAAAGGTGTAATCAATGATGGAAGGGACAAAAACTTGCACTGCTTGATGTTCGTTTTAGACTACTCCAAAGCGTGTCGTTTAGAAAGTATGACTATGCTGGATCTTACTGAAAAGGCTCCGCTGGAAGAATTCCGGATTGTTCAAGGTTGGTAAGTGCATGGCTCGAGACGGATAGCCTAAGCGCACCGTTTTGCGATCTTGTTGAACTGTTCATCAGCGAGAAGTCTGCTCATCGCCTCTGATTCTAGCCCGACAACAGCCTCCAAGCTGCCGTCTCTCAATCTTGGCAGGACAATGAGAGTACCATCTGAGCCCTCGCCCGGGACTCTCATGGAATCAATGAAACCTAGTGCACCCCAGTTTCTTTCGTAAACGTTTACATCAGTCCAAGAGGTGGCAACGATGTTTGGTCCAAGGAAAGCGTTGAAGGAGAGCTTGAAATCTGTTGGGTCAGGCCTGGAACTAAGAAGGCCGATTGTCAAAGGCACTCTGCTAGGCTTATTGAATGCAACCACCGACTTGCGAATGGTAGTGGCAGCTTGTGTCAGCCCGTCACCACCGAGTAGGGTAGACACGGCAAGTGGCTCCGTCGTTGTGCACATTGATCCATTGCCTAGATACGTTGGCGGTAGCGGTGGACTTGTACGGCTGCGAATGTTGATAGCATACCAAATCGAAGAAGATGTATTCTTGATGTCGTGCTGGGTAGAGGAGGCGCCACCGGTGAATCGGGCGACTGTCATTCTGTTCCACAAGAAAGCGTAAAGTGCGTCGTTGGTCGAGAAAGCAGCGGCGGAAGCTTTGAGCTCAGTAAGCGTCTGCGGGGAGAAGCAGAAGACGTGATTCACTAGTGAGGGGAGCTGAGCAGGCATCTGAGGTGGTTGCAGTTCGGATGATGGTATCAATTGGTACTCTGGAAAATCGGACAAGGGTGCTCCGGAAATCCCTTTCATAAGGGGCTCACGGTCGTGCGATGGGGAGTCATAAGTGCTAAAAGGGCCACAACCGCTAGCTGCGGCTGTGTTCTGTGCCCAAGTGCCGAGAATAGTCTCAAGAGCCGTGGCGTCTCCCACTGCGTGATGGATGCCTACTGATAGGAAGAGCCCGCCTTTGACAAAATTGGCCTGTGCCTTCATCACTGGTTGCGGAGGTTCTACCATCAGTCCGATTGGGCCTAGTTCGTCGGTTGAAAGTTTCGAAAGTGGGAAACCGTTCGTTTTAAGGTCCTCATAGGGTGGAAGAACGTCTGTAAGGTCTCGATAGCTAGTGGTTGTGTAAGTGGTGATGTTCTCAAGAGATGAAAGGCTATGCACTGACGAAAAGCTGAGGCCTGATAAGGACTCCACGATCTGAATTTTATTGTTCGATATTTCACTTCCTTCTTCGGGTCCCTATGAAGGAAAAAACATGTTAGCCCATGGGCGGCAACAGGGAACTGAGCAGAGTGGTGATACTGACAATCACACCAGCGATCCAAGGGATGGAGTGGATGGTGTGGGCAAGTCCGATTCTCAACTTCTCATACCTGTGATAACATCCAATGTTAGTAGTACTTTCGTCGACGAAGACTGGGAGCGATGGCCTGGGACATACAGTTCGTGGTAGTGGGCGTCAGTTTCCAGCGGAAAGCACAGTATCCACCTGGCGCCGTAAATTCTTGGCATGTTCATGTCCAGTGGTGTGAGCTTTTGGGCAGAAGGGGATTCTGGTAAGCCATACTGGCTTGGTTTCACAAATTGAGCCATCGTGCGAAGGAAAAGGTCAACCAGCGAGGTGATGGAGGAGAAGTAGAGTTAAGAGAGAGTGTGATTCCCGAGTGGTGGGAGGAAGGGCATATATAGTCCAACAACTAGTTGAGTAAGCCTGGGAAATCAGGCAGCGATAGACAAACATGAAGGAGCGAATGTCAATCAGATCCTGATTGTCACCGGAAGGAGAGTGTCCCGACCTTGAGCTTACTCTGCAGTAGTGGGTTCAATTATCAAAGTTCCTCGACGCTGAATGGGCATCTCAAAGCATACTCGATGTGGTTTAGTGTTGGGATGGAGCCAATATTCGGATCCCTGTCCTTTATGTGCGGTACTCATGAGCCCCTGCACACTCGCTGGTTCCACAGGCCACTCGCTGGCACAACCATTGAATGCTACACGCAATCAAACCGGAGTGATTCGGGGCGACCGAGGAGAGTTTGGCTTGGTGTAGTTAGAGCCAACTGCGCTTGCGAGTCTCCGTTAGCAGCAATGCTCTGGAGTTGCCAGCCGATCCATTGTCGTTGATTCTCTGGTATTGTGACTGCACTTGATGCCACATACAAGGGCCAGATAAGAGAGAAGCTTCCAGTCGAAGGCTGTTTGGCTTGATTCCCATCTCCTAAATCGACTTGGGGGCCGTGCCATTCTTGGCGTCGCTGACCACCTTTTCCCGCACCTGCCGGTACAGTCATTCTCGAAAGATTATGCCCTAAAAGGAATGGGACACTGGCACAAATGTCATCCACGATGTCTTGGATTTTGCTGTCTCTTTCTGCGTTGTCGGTGTCGATCGCCATACGCTGATTTGCATTGTCGCCTGTTTGTAACAAGGCCGTTACTCGACACAGCAGCGATAGCAGAATGAGTCGCGAAACGCGATAGAGATTCCAAACACGAGCCACATAGAAATCTGGATATCGGTGGATATGCTTGAGAGAAAAGTCTCGCGTATTTGAGCCAGTTTTGATTTCGGTTGCATGGGCATATGACCAAGAGTTTGGAAGGTCCCCTACCCAATGTGAGAGCTTCTCGTCCATGGCCCCCAAGCTCGTAACCAACTCCTCCGCGTGAGACTTATCTGCACCCTCCGAATGATTCAGAAGGAAGAGGCAATGGCTCTGTAGTGTGGGTATTCTGGATGCTATTGCGAAGAGCTGGTTCTCCGGGTCCTGGTATGCGCCGGGTTTGGTGAAGACCTCGTCGACTGGGGAGCAGGCTTGTATATGACTCAAAACCTAGGGGAAAGGTTACCAAGCTGATACCGGATTGGAACTTGTGGGAATAATCTTACAACACTTTTGCGAACAAAGCAGAATAGGCCTTGTGCCAGTTGTGACTGTAGCAGACCTGACCCTCGATATTGTACCAGAGCAGCTCCCCCGCTGACATGAGTGTCCCAAGCAGAACGCAAGGTTGTTTCCCGAGTTATGGTCTGATATGATGGTTCCTTGTTAGTCTTAATAAGGAGAAGCGATGCCAATCAAAACACGAACCTCATAGCCACAGAGTAGGAGGACTGCGTACAATGTCTCATCGGTTTTTACTTGGATAGGATCCTGGATTGCGTGTTGAATTGCAATGAGGGCCGCATCATATTTTTTGCTTGCCGTTCTCTTGGATTCTGGTACCAAATGAGGAATCAGGACGTGCGAGATTGACTCAGTTGCCAAGCGCAGAGCAGACCCGATCCTACTTTTGGCGTACAGGCTTGGGAGGTGCATTTGAAGCTGGCGTGCAGGGTCTTTTTCTGAAAGATTGCTCAACGTGGTGGTATAGAAATAGCAAACGGCAATATCCTGGCTTTGTGGAGAAAGAAGAGACGATGGCGGGGGAGCAAGGTGGTGAGGGAAGTTTGGGTCTCTGCCTGCATGCCTTCGTTGAGCTTTGATTTGCGTCCTCACGGTCTCGTCACGGAACATCAGCGTTGACTGATCCCTGTATCCAACACACGTCCTCTTCATCCGTACGCATCTTGAGCAAGAAGGACGTCGCTGATCACACTGTGTACGTGGTTAGCTTGTGATATGTGTATTGGATAACTGTTGCTTTTACCTTGGTGTGCAATCTCCTAAGGATAAGGGTGGTGTTAGTGGATTAGACCATTGACCTGCCAGCAAAACGTACCGACAGTTTTCGCATCCCCGGCTTGGTTTCCCACAATACACCATGCTTCTTTTCTGCTTGCGAGTGTGATGGACCGCAGAGTCAAGCTGTTACTCTGTAGGAAAGGGGTTGAGGTGGAGAAGCCAATAGCACCTGCCGCGATCCGATGTGGGTTACCTAATTTGTGAGTCTAGTTGGATCGAAATAACACGTGACCACCCGAAACCCCTATGGCTCAGGGCCTAAGGCTACTGCAAGACTCGCTACCTAGTGCCTTGACCCCTGTAAGGCTCACTATAGCCATACGCATACGCGAGGACAGGAAGCTTCCCCACGAGACCTTCCTTCTTCCTCGTTACAAATCCATACAAACATCAAAGTTGACGGTTTATTGCAACCGCCCCAATCCCAGCCCGATAAAGTTACATTTTAACTGGAGATCTCGTTCCCGTTCGTCGTCATGGTGTCCGCAAGGGACAGGGACGACGCAAAGCTGACGGGCTCCCTCAGCTTGAACGCGGTACTTGCAAGCACAAACGTTGTTTTCAATATGTCTCGCTAACAAAGACCTAGCCGAACAACTCTAAGCCCTTAGCCTCCTCCGTAGTTGGCAAGAAGAACAAGTCTCAAAAGAAGAAGACCAAGTCCAAGGGAAAGATGACCAGGGCCCAGAAGAAGAGGACCAGGTCTCAGAAGAAGAAATCCAAATCCCAAAAGAAGAAAGCCAACTCCCAGGAGAAGAAAACCAAGTCTCCGGAGAAGAAGATTAATCTCAACAGCGAACGGCCCGGGGAGGCCCCCGAGCTTGAACCTGCTGGGCAGGGTTATCTCGCCCTCGACGAATTTTCTTTGCGAGCACGCATTGCTCGCCGCTTCCCACTGCCGGCCTATCTCGAAAGCGGTCCACAATTCGATTTTATAGAGATCATTTGCCCCATCTGCAAACAGAGACGTCGTGAGCTCCGGTCTTGAGGGAACACGAAGAAGTCAAACCTGCCATGCTAGCCTTACTCCACTAGGGCACCGGATAGCTTTTTTTTGGCGATCGGGACATCAGCCGCCTCATGACCTTGGGCGCAAAGGCGAAGTTTCCTTTTTTACGTTTCAGCCGATAATAGTGTCGCAAAACAAGGGAGGGCTTCACCTCTGTCTTTCGCAAATACGCGGATAATGGGTTGAGAACAGATAAAGCTAAAAGTTTAATCACAAAGATTTCCTTGATGTCTGCGTGCTCAGCTATTTCTAGATGTGACTGTGTTGTTCCATGTCTTGCATCCTGTCCGGTTGACTCAGCTTCTCAAATCTGGAGCGTATGTGGTGATGTAAAGAACTGTAGACTACGCAACGAAGCTCAAGGCAAATACTTTAAGGGTTTGGTGTGCAAGACAAATGACCAATAGACTGCAGTAAGGGTCTCTATTTTCCCCCACCATTCTGCAAAACACCATTGCCAGTGAGTCAAACCTCTGAATGATCAATCTTGATCACCACTTTGGCAAAATGCTTCTTCTCTTTTAGGCGCCTATAAGCTTCCTTTGCCTCGGCCAACTCGAACACTACATCGTCCACAGCGGGTACAATCCGTTTCTCGTCAATAAAGCGCACTGCTTCTTTGAGCTGTGTCCTACTACCAGCCAGGATACCACGAACGAGACAGGTATGAAGGAGAACAGCGAAGAGGGGCACCGCATCCGCGTTTGCTCCAACGCCGCCGACCACTTGCACAAGGCCATCAACCCGCACCGAGGCCAAGGATTGTGCGAGTGTTTCATTGCCACCAATGTCAATGACAAAGTCGAAGCCCCGCCCATCTGGAGTGAAGCTGCGGGCTTCAGAGCCCCAGGAGTCGGGGCTAGTCCGGTAATTGACGGTGTGCTTTGCACCAAGAGCTTTGAGACGAGCGGCCTTTTCATCCGAGGAAGTTGTCGCGACCACGTTGGCCCCAGCTGCAGCGGCGAGCTGCAAGCTGGCAATACTGACGCCGCCAGTCCCTTGGACCAGGACCCAGGACTCAGGTCCAACATGATGGCCCTTCAGGCCAAAAAAGGCGTTCCAGGCCGTAGTCCAGTTGCAACTCAGCGTTGCAGCAGGCAGCCATTCCAGCGATTTGGGCGCATGAACAAGGCCAACCTCCGGGAACACAGCGTCTGACCGCAAAGTCCCATCGTCTCCTTGACCAAGACAGAGCACAGCGTCTGCCAAACCAGCCAATGCGTCATCACCGTCTCTCTCGACGAGCTTGGGTGCGAGGTATGTGATGACACGGTCTCCAACGTGGAATTGTTGGACAGCTGAGCCGATAGCCTTGACGACACCAGCGACATCGCATCCGGGAACGATCGGTGGGTTGATAGGTCCGTTGATGCCCTTGATCGGATGTTAGCATATAGAATGTTGGAACACGTAGCCATTCTTCGACTTACGGCCGGGCCAGAAATGACAAGCTCTCGATAGTTAAGGCTGGCTGCGTGTAGCTGAACTAGAACATCATTGGGTCCGAGTTCGCTTGCAGATGGAACTTTAACATTCTGCTGGTACTCGAGGGAGGTCTCGAAGCCTTCTTGTCCGGTTAGAATCCACTGTCGAGACATCTTGGGGGGAATTCTGGGATCGGCAATGGGTCGCGATATTGTCTTGTTTATTGTCTTGTTTATTCTCTTCCAAGGCTTGTGTGAGTTATGGGACTGTTGAATGGAATGTAGAAAGACGTACTTTCGAAGGGTTTATATCCTTCTCCTCCCGCTGGATCCCCTTCTGGCGACTCTGTAAGAACCGGGATGATTACGGATCCTCGGGAGATATGTCTCTGCGGACTTTTGGCAGCTACGATTCGCCATTTCTACGGTATGGCCGTGCGAAAGTGTGAATACGCATGATGCAATGGACCTCCACCGTCCACAAGTCCGCAATCACTTAGACGACGCCGTTGGAAAGGACGTTGAGGATGAAAGTGGAGTTCATCTGGGTGGATATTTTGGCTTTACACTAAAATCTCATTCTCCGAATCGGGTATGGTTCGACTTATTAATCAACCGCCCCCTGACATATCATCAGGTTATCAACCTCAGCGGGTTTCTCCAGCAATCTTGGCCCAAAACACCATTTTCCATAAACAGAAAATGAATACAGGAATAATAAATCAGCAAGGTCTTGTTTTTCTCAATGCGACGGGCGCCCCAGTATTGTCCCGTGCCGACTCGCGGCAGATGAGGGCACACATTACCAAATCCAATTTTGCCAAGCGGCGCCAGCGCATATCCCAGGTTGAGACCAAAGGGGGCGAGAGCAACAAACAGACCACTCAGCAAGCATTACATCGAAGAAAGAGGTCTCAGCAGAAGAGCCAACGAGCCGCCCTAGACACAAACCCCACAGAACTGCCAACCACGGAATCTCCCCCATGTGCCCCTTCTTTGCAACTACGTGCGTTAGAGGCGCTCCTGGACCCCCCCAACCATTGCTGTGTACCTGACACCTAATAGTCCGCAATTTCCGCTACCTTGTCTTTCTAGACATACGACCAACCGTTCAAGACCCCGTGGAAAAGGCTTGGTTCGACCTTATCACCTCGGAGCCGGTGGTGTTCGAAGCGTCGTTGGCCGGGGGCATGCGGTGCTGGGGCCCTGACAAGGAGTCGCAGCAAAATGCAGACCTTCATCTATCAAGAGCGACGAATCTCCTGGTTGACCGCATCAGTTGTGAGCAGGTCCCATCAGATGCGATGATAGGAGCTGTGATGACCATGGCTTTCGGGGAGCGCCTGGCAGATAATGACGTCGCGTGGAATGTCCACATGGAGGGACTGATCAATATGATGCAGCAGAGGCGACACCATGGCGTTAGCTCTTTGCCACCTGTTTTCCGCAGCCTCATTGCCTTGTTCGTACAGCCCCTTGAGATCTCAGTGAGTGGACGCTAATGATATAGGGACTTCATGAATCACCTCTTGGGCTTCCCACGCTTTTATCATCTGAAGGTCGTCGATATGTTGAGCAGTCATGGTGACCAGGTGTTATCCAAGCTAGCCCCCATACCAGCCGATTTATCTTTGCTCAAGACCGCCGTAGATGCTCCAGAAACAGGCCATATGGGACAAACTTCCCATGGCGTTGAAGAACCACTAGAAAGAGTACGGCTTGCAACTCGAGCTCTTCGAGAATTCAACGATCCCTACGTAAAAGCCACCTCCCGTTCACTCGAAATATACCTCAATCTACTTTGGCCTCTATTATTCACAATAGATCTCGAGTCGGTAGGAAGCGAACTGAAAGATGCGATGAGCGAGTTCCGTATCAAAGCTTGTCCCTACATGGACTTGACATCACCGCATTACATTCTGGGGCTCCTGGCTACCGAGAAGGACTCTGAAGCAAGTGCTTGGTTCCTAGATAGGATCCAAGGTTCAGTGCAGGTGATGAGGCAACGCGGGTGGTCTGATCCCCTCAGCGTGATGAAAAGGGGCTTGGTGCATGAGCCGCATATACATCATCAATTCACTGCGCTTTTGGATGACGGAATCAATGGATTGATGTAAATAGTCCATCTCTCTTCCTTCCAAGCTTAAAACATGCCCACTGGAAGCTCCGGGGAGCAAATACTATGAGATTCCTGCACGTTCAATGTTGCGTTGTCGGCAGATGATTTGGTCGAGGCCGGCTGCGACCCGTCACAGCCTAGAGGCCCAGAGACCAGCCACGGACAAAGTGCCATCGATAATCTAGTTAGCAGATTCTTCGGCATTGAGAACATTGGTTGGATTTTGGTTGCAAGCTGGAAGTCGAACATGAACCCTATGCAGCCCATCGTCTCTTAGTGATTCCTAATGTTTTGGATCGAGATGGGCAGTCACTGCATCCACTCGTCTAAAAGCCTTTCATTGTCGGTAAGGGGCTTTTTCAACAACCCCCGCATGGTCTGGGGCACCTTATATAGATCTTCCTCTTTCATGTTTAAGCAAGCGAATCTCCTGTGGGTTTGAGGATTTTCGCCCCCTTGCTACTAAGTATTGTCAGCCATTGTATAACCCCCTTTGAGGTTTCTTCGGTAAAGTCACCTCGTCTTCGTAGACATCTTGCTCCCGTTATGCGTCGGCAAATTCAAGGGCTTTGAATCTGATTCTATTGATGGTCTGCTCAGCCTCAGCGAATCAAGGCTCGAGCCAATCGGCTGTCGGTGCTATTTCTGCGTATGCGTATGGCTCCTAGGCAGTGCAAACGAATGTAATATCTGGCCATCTATAAGGTGACAATCGGTTATAGCTAGAGCCTGTCAAGGGTGCCGTGTCTTCGCGGCAGGGAAAGAAGAGGCGTTGCTATCACCCTTGGGCGGATAATGATCCTGACTCACGGCGTTATTCCGACTCTAGTCCTCTCATGGCGGCTCTGCTCGATAGGGCCAGTACCTTTTCCGGGCAGGGATAGCAGTGCAACGGCCTCTAAGAAGGTTTCCGACATTGGGGTGTCTGGAAACAGGGGTTAGTAGACCTCTGAGGGGTATATTGAGAAAAGATTTTGCAAAGTACTGTGACAACTGCCCCCCGAGGCCCAAGCCTGCTCATCCATCTTAGGAAGCTTTGAGCTGGGGGCTGCCAGGAGATGGAGAGGATTCCAGGGAAACTTTTTTCTGGTAGCGTAACATTTGTCTAGCTATTGTTTAGACGGCCTGCTGGCAGATGTGTGATGTCGCAAAATGCAATGCATGGGATGTCACGTCCCTACATGCATCCATCCTTTGGGGGCCAGAGTCAGCGCTGCACGGGTTTCGTCACCCCGGCCTGAAGACTCCCGTCTAGTTGGTGCATCAAATGCGGGCGAGGCGAGAACCTCAAACAACGCAGTTGCATTCTCAGCGGAGTGTCGCCCAGACGGTCCATATATGGAGATTTAGGCGGAGCGACATCCTTGCTACATGTTGACCGGTTCCTTTGTTGGCTTTGAGTGCAACCCATCCTATGGCGCCACGGACACGAGCGCTGGGGTACTTGCAGGTTGATTCAATGCTAATATATCGGCGATGATCGGCCTTTTGTTCGTCGGACTTCCAATCGCGGTCTGTTAGCACGACTCACGCATCCAAAATTGCTCCCAACGTACCTCTCTGGGCTTCCGGCGGCCAGCCAATCACCCGGATATGGCACCAGTTGTCTGCATGTGCGGGCGCTTAGACGCTGGGCAATGCATGGTCGAAGTATGTCTATGGGCTGGTTTGGACGGCGGTTGATGCAGATGAAACGAAGATGCGGAAGAGTAATTTGCATTAGCGAGGCAAGACGACGACACGGCCAACTGAACAGGCTCTCCAGGCATGTCCGATGCCCCCTAAGCCCGAGCACTGTAGTGGCTGCACCACTGGCCAAGCCCGGAGTCACAGATGAGCTCCCTCCCACTGATCCTCGCAGCCATCAAATCCATTATATTGATGTCAATATTGCATCACGCCTACTTAAATACCACCCGCCATCGTAACCGAAGCCACTCGTACTGTCGCTGTCACGCCACTACTGGACCTTTTTAATCTGCTGTGCATGGTGGGCGAAATCAAGAATCACATGCAACCAGCAAGAATGCCCAATATAGGATGAGTTTCTAGAATATAACCAACCATCGTGTGTTGAATACGGAGAGTATGAAATATATACAGTTATATTATAGCCCTCAATAAACCTGCCCTTGCAGTGGCTTCATTTTGTGACTTCGCATGGGCTCTTTCACTTTCCATGTGTGTGTCTTCTACGTGACTCCGACGTCTTGAGTAGCATCGATGTATTGGATTCCAAATTCCACCTCAAGCAACATCAATGCTGCCGCATGTGATGCAACAGTACAAAATACATCGCAAATCTGAGTAGCATCCCAGCCAGCACAACGTATGTCTTGGTGCTGGATGGATGGCGAGTAATACACCAGTCCTTCCACAAGCCGGCGCTCCCTTTGGGGCAGGCCTTGGGGTTGTGCACTCCATTGCGCACTCCAGAGCGCAGGGAGAAGCAAGCCAATGAAGGTTTGTGCTTTGTTGCCAAGGGCATGTGTTTTCTTATTACCTGGCCCTCACAAAGGGACCACGTTAGGGTACTTGCCCTCGCTCCACTCTGAAGGTCATGGGCAGTCACCTGGGAACAGCTTTGAGGTCGGAGGTCGTTAAGGCATGCATCACCTCTAAACCGCTAATATTTTGTCGGGTGAATTGTCTGATTCAGGGCAAACTTGTGAGCTTCTCCACGATGTACACTAGGCTAATAGAGCTCGCCGGGTGCTATCTGATCTCACCCACTACCGTTAAGCTTAATAGCACCCACCCACATTAAAACGGAGACATCGCGGATGATGGACCCAGGCTGCCCCCAAATACCTATCTATCGAGAAAATGCTAAAAAAAGACACAATGTGTGGGGAGAGAGCTACAAGCACCAAGTATGACTATCCGCAATTGACCCTAGGGATCTTGGCATTGGCTAGGTATGTGCTTCTATGAAGACACGGGCTATGTGTTTATCAGCGGAAGAGGAAACGGTGGAACAAACGGTTCAACGTATTATGTCTCAACGGCAGGTGGCAGATGGGAATCCTCCCACAAAGTACATCTTGATCGTTTGGTGGAACTTCGTGACTGCATCTGTTCTCCCTCGGATGTGGCAGCGCATTGCCAGATAGAACCAACCGATGGATTTCTTGATTGGTACGATCGCATCTCGCTGATGCAGTCTGCTGATCCCTTCGACCTGTAGGACGATCTCCCTCAGACGCTTGAGATCCTTCCACTGGTTGTACTCGACAACCTTGTAGACCTGTTGGTTCATCATGATCTCAAGGTAGCCAATGTAAACTCCTCTGCACTGGCCCCGACGGTGGTGCGGGCCAAGTTCAGCGGACACCCGTCGTGGGAGCGGGTAGCTGCAATAAAAGTACCCAGATGTCGTCACCATTGTGAGATTCTGGTGACTGTTTATTGCGCCCTGTAGGCAGCCGAACAACGCGTAAAGCTGTGCGAGTACTTGCATGGAAGCTGCGAGTAACGCGACAAAGAGAGCCCAGACTTGGTACCTTCCGCACTGGCCTGGTCCTTTTTGTCTCAGCAATACAACGCGCAGCCCTACCCAACGCGAGATTGTGTTCCCTAAAATCTGGGAAGGCGCTCAGGTCCCCGCGTTCGGGCTTTCCTCACTTACCGAGCCTTACGTTTCCGGCCCACACAAAATTCTCTCTCTCTCTTTCTCTCTCTCTCTCTCTTGCATCACCACTGTCCCCTTCTCACCTACTTCGCACCTCAAGCCCCTCCCCTGACCGCACGAAATCAACTCGCCGGTTCACATCCAACTAGGCAAATCACTACGTACTTTACGACGGCTTGCAAGTTGATACAAGATGGTTCAATTTTTGAGGTCAGGCCGCAATCTTGGAGAGTTTGTCCGATCCGCAGTCAAAAAAACCAAGCCCAAGCAGGCCCAAAGCCCCACGCAAGCTCAGGACCCTCATCAACCGCGTGAACAATCCGGGCAAAAGGCCCAGCCCGAGCAGAAGGCCCAGCCTGAGCAGAAGGCCCAGCCTGAGCAGAAGGCCTCGACCACCAAGCAGCAGACTGGGGTTGCCGCCCCAGATGCACCCCGGGCATCCTCCTCTTATGGCCCGGCCCGGATACCCCGCTCTCGTACCGATAGAGTGATCAATGGCGGGCTTTGCAAAGCTCGCCGAACCAAGCTCAAGTTCCATCCGAGGTCCATCCCGCTCTCGGCGGCACTCGAGGAAGAAAAAGACAAGATTGTGAAACAAAAGGAGACAAGAAGCAAAGAAGAAGACAAATGCTAAATGAGCATTCCTCGCCTCTGCGCGGCCCAGCCGGAAGACGATGGTCGGTGCCAAGACGGACAACCAAACTCTAAGGAAAGAGAGGATCGAGGCCGATGATGAAGACGAGGATGATCTAGAGGTAGAAGAAATCGAGGGTGGGTCGAGGCAAGATGGTGAAGATGAGGATGATCTAGAGGTAGAAGAAATCGAGGCCAGTTTCAGGTGCGGTGATATTCACGCGATCGGTGACAAGGCTAAGCAGCTCATGGATATTAGGATGATGGACAAGGAAAAAGTGACGATGACTATTCGGATTGTAATGAATCGACTACGGATGGAAAACAAGATACTAAAAGATTGACCTAGATATGGTGTTGAGGGGAGATACAGAGCAATTATTGTGCAAGAAGGACGACACTAATTCAATTTGGAGAATATTCGACATATGGTTCCTATTATTCAGATTGTGATGAACCACGAGAGAGTATCAAACGACAGAAGAGAGTATAGGGAATGAGAACATTAATGAAAGTCCAATAACAAAACACCGAAGCTACCCGCTATTCATATCCCGTACCCAGCACTGATTTTCATACCAGATCAATTTTGTGAACCCCAGGAAACAATCCAACATCATGTTACTGACTAACAAGGTGGTGACCTCAAGCATTCCATCCCGGCGTCGGGCTTCACATACTTCACCCACTCGTCAACGGGGTCGGCACCTTTGGCTGGCCGATCCTCCCAGAACAGAAGCTCCCTGATTCTCGCGTCACAGCTATCGACGAGGAGCCGAGACGTCTCCCGCGGCGAGGCGATGATGCAGCAAGTCTCGCAATGGGCAACGGGGATCAAACAGTGCAGGATCCCGAGCAGGACGAGGGTCTTGCACTTCTTGTCTGGGTTCCAGGCATCGGTGCATGCCTCGACGGCCATGTAGGCGGCGGCGACGTGGTTGAACTTGCACCGACCTTCGCAGTCTACCGTGTAGCACATGGTCGGATGGGATGGGTACTATATAGGATGCCTGGGCGCGGGTTAGCCCTAAGCTTGATCTAGTGTAAGGAGCGACAACCGTACGCAGAGCGTGTGTGCGGGTGCGAGGTGAGTTGGATGGTAGAGGTGCAGGCTTGGAACGAGATGAGCTGGGAGTCAGCAGTGTGGTGCGTGCCCACGTGAGGAGAAGAGGAGAGAGAGAGAGAGGTGGGAGAGAATGGGATGGATGGGCGGAGGGATGGGCTCAGGAGATGGATGGGTAGGCAGAATAAGTAAGTTTCGTGAATAAGCACACCTCAATGCAAGCTGCGTTCCGACGCTGCGCATGGAGGATATCCGATGCACGTCTGCGACGTCGTCATGGGTAGATACTACGCCCTGCCGCGCGAGAGTGTGATTGATCACATCTGGCCATGGGCAGTGTGAGTGAGACCACAATAGCCCTCCTCCCTGCGTGATCTGGGGCGGGGGCAACAGGCAAGGACGGGCGTACGTAGCACACAGCTGAGGGCGGAATGTGCAGACACAGCAGGCGTAGCAATGGGCAGATCATGCAGCTCGACACTTTCGGCAAACTCAGAGCGCGACGTCCCCCAATGAGATGCCAGAGGAGAGGCATCTGTGCCGGGAGCATCCCCGCCGGCTGACTCTCCGCGCGGCCAGTAGCCCATGTAACCCTGACAAAGGCTGTCTGTCCCCATTCTGCCTGGGATGGCTACATCCTTGGGTGGTCAGTCTCGCAGGCTCGAGATATCTCACGTACCCCAGCCTAAGGGGTCAGCCTGGTCAGGGAGGGAGTGGCCGAGCAGTCGGATAACCGACACGTTTGACCTCTCTTTCTGGCCTGGCCAACCACGTGGCGGTGACTGCCGTCGCTCAGGGCACGAGTGGATCTTTTCCTTGCTGGTGGGAGGGGAACGACAGAGGAAGTACCACTACATAGCATGGAAGTGGGTGAGGTGAACCTTCTTCCGCATATTGAAACGGACAACTCAGTCAGCCAGCCACTTCACCCATCCATCCACCTCTGGTCGTCCCTGATTCGATCTTGTGAAACACGGACGGCAGCCATCACGCCGCCACCACCCACCTTGACCGCCATCGGGGCACCCAGTTCAATGCTTCCAAGGCAGACAGGTGCACATTGGGAATGGGTCCGCTTGGACTTGCATTCAGCTGTGGCGAGAAGGTTTGGCGTCGGCTGCACCGGAGATGACAGGCAGAAATGCAAAAAGAAACTCACAATAACAACAGGGAAAAAAGAAAAGAAAAAAGCGGAGGCCTATCATGATGACGGTGACCTATCATCTCGGTGGTGAGCAGAGCACCAAGAGTGGTGACTCCGGCCAGTCCCCTCCGGCTACAGACAGTTCACGAGAGCCTGCCCCCGAGCCTCGGAGGGCATCATGATGTGAAATTAAAGTGCAGTGCACCGTAGTTCATGTATGCCAAGTGACACAGCTCGTCCCATGATCCTCTCCAAGGTCAAGGTCAGGGGGACAATCCGCAAGCGCTAGTCTGAGCCCCGCCCGGGTCTGGGTTCAAAGACGATTCGGACCGTGCCTTGGTCTGCCGACGGTCTCCTGCTACATTCCTGGTGCCAGGTATTTGTAGCCTAATTTAGACGGCCGATCAAGGGGACTAGAGATAAGGCCTGCCCTAGCCCCTTTTCCTTTTCCTTTCGTCACGAGGTCTACAATCCCCTAGCTCCTTCTTGGCTACCCTAAAGGGATTGGTGATCTAGCATGCCGTCAGACGAGAACTTAGGTGTATCCAGCTCGAATCTATCCATAGCAGACCCTGTATGCCACAAGGTGCACAGTTGGGTCGATCCCAAGACAGTCTTTGCTGGTAGAAGGACTGTTTTATCCCAGTAATGAATTTGAATGTTGTCGTGCTGTTGGACATAGAAGAAGACAGAGATTGAAACCAAGTATTTAATTTGATCATCAATATAAATCCCTTACTGTTTGACTTGAGAGATTGATTCTAACATCCACGATGGTATTCCGCAGAACATAATAACCTGCGTCCTTTATTGTATGTGATTATTGTCAATGAGAATTTGCCTAGACCTTTTCATCTTTGGACTCTGATTCAAATACGCTCGACGCGCTCGACAGAGCCTCGCTCCTCATCCTTGTCCTCTGCCGCTCTAGAATGTCGAGTTCCATCAGCATATGTACGTTCAAATCATTTCTCCGAGGCCTGGTACTTACGGATCTTCTTTACCGACGGGGATATCCTCATACGCATACTTTCGCATCTCGTACCAGCGGTGCTCGAAAAGCCTGTTCATGCTCTCGAGGCTGCGGCCACTGGTCTCTGGCACCATGATGAAGCAGTAGACGAGAGCGATAAAGCACCAGACGGCGAAGAAGACGAAGGCGCCCCATTTGTTCATCGACGAAAGGATGGAAGGAGTCGCTTTCGTAATGGCGAACAAGAAGAGCCAATGGAAACACTGGGAGAGCGCACCGCCGAAGGAACGGATTCGGTTGGGCCACAACTCTGCGCCAAAGAGGTATGGTAAGCTGTACAGACCTATCATAATACCTAGTTAGTATCGTGATTCAACTTATGTGGCAGTCGAACTCTGGAGCTTACCAACAGCCCAACCAAGGGCGTGAATATAGATTGCTGCGATTGCCATGTCCGAGGCGCCTGTGGTGACTGACTTACCAGACCCGGTAACATTGAGGAACGAGCCGAGATAAACATGACAGAACATCTGGATAGTAATGCCAATAAATAGAGACTTGCGTCGACCGATCGCATCGACGAAAAATAAAGAGGCAAGAACGCAGCATCCTAGCTTGGCCATGGCGTAGAATCCGGACGAGTAGATTTTGGCATCAGTTCCAGTGACACCAATATAGCCAAAGATTTGTGGGAGATAGTTGGTGATCGAGTTTGCGCCGGACATCTGGGCAAGAATGTAGGCAACGATGGTCAGCTGCACACGGCGAAGATTGGTCCTCTTGCCGAATGTCTCGCGAATAGTTGAGACCAACGTATCCTCTCCATATTCGGCCAGCTCCAGTTGAATAGGCTCATTGATGCTGTCGAACTCGGCAACGAGATGGGGCTCATCGCGAGCGCAACCACGGATGTTGGCTAAGGCTTCCAAACCTCCCTCGACACGGCCCTTCATGCAAAGCCAGCGGGGCGATTCATCCACGAAGAAGGACAGGAAGGTGGCAATGAAAGGGATGAAAGTCTGCACGAAGAAGGGTGTCTGCCACTGAAGGTTTAGCGTTGGGGATATGTTTCTATTGCAGCCATAAACAACGAATATGCCAATCATCTGACTGCTCAGCATGGCGATGTTGAACCAGAGAGTCATCAGACCTCGTGTCAATCGCGGCGAGATTTCGACGATCGACATGGGACCGGTGACGGTGAGTGCACCGATACCCATGCCAGAGACAAGACGCCCAACATACAAGGCGGCGATGGATCCATACGATAGGGTCGAGATGAGGGAGCCAACTGCCACGATGGCCAGATATAATCGGAGTGACCACCTTCGGCCGATTCGATCGTTGAGGAGGAAGGAGAGAAGAGCGCCAACACCGGCAGTCAGATTGACCAGCGAGACGATATTGGAGATGATTTCGTCGTCTTTGTCGGGAGAGACATTGAACTGTTTCTGGAAGCTTTTCAATTGGGTGATGGCAGAGGTTGAACCTTCATCCCAGCCTGGTTACCGAAAATTATTAGCATCGAAATAATAACACAGGGGCAAACGACGAGGTGAGTGAGCCAACCTCTTGAACTGCCTGAAAGCGCGTAAACAAAGACGGTGAACATCAACTTGCGATTGTAGATCCCTGGAGGTGACTCCTTGATAGCCTTCCAGTACTTGGCGAAAGGGGAGGTTGACAAGCCCATGGTTGCTGCGTGTTTCAGAGATGAATATGGCTGCAAGGTTGAAATTGAACAGAGAAGTCCGAGTGGCTTCCCAGCGGGCGATACTTATAGACGCGTTTCAATCCGCATCATCCCAAGGAGATGCTCACTCCGGGGGAACTGAGCTAGACACAGTCCCAATGGTCTGGGGTCATGATGTTGTGCGGGGATCGGTTTTGTCCCCCCAGATCACCGGCTCTTGAACATGGGGAAGTCGGGGTAATCCCGAGGCAACGCGTTCGAGTTCGGACGCAAATAGGAGCCCTGATAGGCCCAGTAATCCCAGTGGCGCTTTTCGAAGGAGCTAAGCTTAAAGACTGTTCCGCTTATGGTTCGTCGCATCCCATCAGCTGTTCGAACATCGGATATCAAGGAGCCATGAGAACGCCAAGAGTCCATGGCAAGCTGCATAACATGTGCAAACTGGACTTCAAGAACCTTTCTTAGTACAGTTCCAGAGCAATCTACCCTGGTACGCACATGATCTCACACAGTAGACCCAGCAATTAAAGTCTAGTAAGGATCCTGATGCCTATCTAGTAGACACTCAACCCATGACAGGTCCGATCTGAACAGTTGAAAAGACGGAGCTATAATGGGAAAGAAGTCTCATGACCCTCCATAAATGTTTCGTAGAGCTCTCTAAGTCTTTAAGGGATAGGTGTATCATAACCTTGGGCGGTAACAACAAGTTTCGCTCGTTGTCGGATCTATCCGAGGTGAGTAGCGTGTGCCGCCATTTCGGTTCCATTATATGGAGAAGTGAGAAAATATTGATATCCTCGGCACTCGTGGATATCGGCATTTCGCCGTCCAGTTTAGGATTCGCTATACCCCATGCTTGCTTGCCTTTGCTAGGAGCGATGATCCCTGGAGTGGGTAGCGTAGAATCCTCCAACACAAACGAAATCCCTCAGGTAGTATCGAGCAAGCATAAGTAGGCATCCAATGGCCATTACGGTAAGTACCAGGAACAAACCTCAATCTAAGCGTTTTTATGTCTTTATTTGCCTCGAGCATCCGTAAAAACGCTGATGAGGTGGTGAGAGAGGACAGTACGCTGACTCGTCCTTCGTACGCCTAGGTATGCAAAGGTTTCACCTTGGTTGAGAGAACTTGGTCCCTGACTCGTCATCAACGCACTTAATGGAGCAGAGTCTAGTAAACTTCAGTCATGCTGAACCCCGCAGATGGCGGGTTGGCGTTCTCCATTTCCTGGAGGCAGTGGGGAAGACAAGTTTGGGGGTTTCTACAGTGAACACAACTGCAATGGCCGGGGGTCATTCGGCTTAAAGCCGTAGGGCAACGTTTGTGTCGGAGTCGAAGTGGGATCTATGCCGGGTCAGCCCATTGACGTTCTTGTGCCTCCGCATTTTGGAGATATTTCCGACGCAGCATGCGATCCTGTATATAGGTAGGCATGTCCCAGACCCTTGATACAGATCCCATTGAAGGTTGTTCACGCACACTCGGAAAGAGAATCAGACAAGGCCCTTCTCTGAAACGTTTTTCCCTCACTCCCCCAAGATTCAAACCAAACTCACAGAGATGCGTGTCGGTGTCTTGAAGGGAAATGGCATAGGCCCTGAGATCACTGCTGCTACTCAGCATGTGCTGGAAGCCACAGGCCTGCCGCTTGAGTGGGTTGATATTGCGGTCGCGGACGAAGCCATTTCCGCACATGGCCACCCGCTCCCTCCTGAGACGGTCAAACAGCTAAGCGATGTCAAGCTTAGCCTCAAGGCACCTCTCATCGTCAACAAACTCCAAGGCCGCATCTTATGTGTCCAGCCCGACGGGACCTCGCAAACATACCCTTCATTGAACAATGCGATCCGACGTGAGCTAGGCCTATTCGTCAACCCACGTCCTATCCGAGGCTTCCCAGGGATATCCGGACACCACGAGAAGCTTGATGTCATCATCATGAGGGAGGTCACGGAGGACGTATACATCGGACACGAGCATCAGATAGGCGACGACATCGCAGCCGAAGCCATCAAGTTGACGACCCGCGCAGCTGCCACGAAGGTCGCCAAATATTCCTTCGACTACGCCCGCAACCACGGCCGCAAACGAGTCACCTGCCTGCACAAGGCGAACGTTCTCAACTTCACCGACGGCCTCTTCCTTCGATGCTTCCAGGAAGTCAGCAAGGACTATCCCGAGATCGAAGCGGACGACATGATGATCGATGCGGCATGCTATACCATTGTCCGCGACCCTCTTCGCTTCGATGTCATTGTCGCCTCGAACCAGTACGGCGACATCTTCTCTGACCTGGCTGCCGGGCTGGTCGGGTCTCTTGGCCTGGCCCCCGGCGCCAACATTGGCGATAACGCCTCCACGTTTGAGGCCAGCCATGGTGCGGCTCCCGATATCGCAGGGAAGGGGATCGCCAACCCTCTTGCGTTGATCTTGAGCGGCGCGGAGCTGTTGGATGCTGCCAGCCAGCCCAAGGAGGCCAAGGCCGTGCGAGATGCCGTGCGAAATGTGGTGGAAGCCAAGACGGCGCTGACACCGGATCTGGGTGGCTCGGGGACGACCGATTCTCTTGCGGCTGCGGTGGCTGCGGAGGTGAAGAAGCTGCTTGCATAGAGATTCTTAGAGATTGCATATAGACTTGTGTGATTACTGTGCCTGTTCAAGTGTGCTTTCTACTCAGTCTGTGTGGACTGTCGGTTAGATTTCGTGATGTTCTAAGTGAGCAGCATTCGTTGACAGCGCTAGTGGCAGGTACGATAGAAGCTAATAGGGTGTTGTGATCCTTTGTAGTGACGTAATGCCTATTGGTTAGGCAGCTGTGAGAGACTAGATCGAAATTTCTGTAACATTTGGCAACCTCCTGGATTGACACCCACGGCTAGATACGGCCAGCACCATCCAGCACCAGCGCGCTCACATTCTCCTCGACAAAACATGGTGCGACTCTTCAAGCATACACTGACTACTCCAAGCAGAAACATAGCACGAAATGGATCTTTTGGCTTTCTCTTTGTTTTTTTTTCCCGTCCCCCTCTTCGTGGTTGTTGCCAAGCATGCACTGGACAAAGGTTAGGTGATTCTAGAAAGAATCACCTTTCAGAGCGACGTGACTACCGCATAGAGTCCTGTATTAGGACTAATTATGTTGTTTTTATACTGGTTTCGTGTTTTTTTTTTAATAGACGAATTTTCGAACTGCGGCGAGCGTTGACAAATTCTACAGCCTGCCCTTCATTCTTTCTATATAAATCTGGCAGGGCAGTGCCAGTACCTCCGCCCCTTGTCTGTTCAGAACATCAGTGACTTACGGTATTCATATCAAGGATAAGTAGCGTGTTAGAGTCCCAACTTTTGCTAGCCAATATAGAGCCTCCAGTCTTGGCCATTTAGTCCTCGATCATCTACATACTTTCCATCTCAGACAGCGCCTTCGAGGGCCAACGTTCCAACGAGAAGGATACCTCCAGTCCTCACGTCGAGACGATCACTACTCTGACTTCTGCTACCGAGCTCTTTAGTCATAGCCCCGTGGCAAAATCCGAATAGAGCATGGAACAGAGCGCTCAGCATCCAGAGCCATGGAGGAGATACCTCTTTGCCTGTGAGGTCTGCAACAAGGCTCTTACCCACTTAAGCTTCAATAACGACGCTTTGCTTCCGTTCGCGAGCAGTTCGGCTGAGGAGCACCAGAGGATCCCTAAGGAGGCTCTGCTATCAGCCAAAGAACTGTCTAAGATGGATGACGCCGAGCTCGAGGATCACCTCTCTGCTCAGAAAGGACCACTTCGATGCAACGAATGCTGGTTCCAAAGAATGGGTCTAGACCATATGCCGTCAAGGTTCGAGTATCTCCACCCGAGCTGCTGTATGGAGTTTGACTACCCGCTGCCCCGGATGATGGCTAGCCAAGAACACGCCAGACTACCGACAGGTAGGATTCGCTGTACCGGATGTTACAAGTGGCAAGGCAGTGATCGGTATCGCTGGCCACGCATTGGTGCCGGACACTGTGATATGTGCCCAGCCACCGGGCCTCCAAACTTCATCAAGGTCGAATGGCGAGATCTTGGAAAGAAAAGCCACAAAATCAAGGAACTACCGGATGGACTTCGGGGTCACATCCCGTGCATAGATTGGCACGAAGTCGTCAATGCAGAACCGTCACTCAAGAATTCAGACAAGGAGCGTTGTAAAGGAATTTTCAGACAGTGGGAAGCAAGAGGTGATCCTCTCCGTGTTTGGGCAGCTCTCTTTCACCTCCGTGAACATTTTGGTGAGCATAGAGGGGAGCTGGAGAAGTTGTTTAGTATCATGGTGGGACAGGGCATCACATTCAGCACCAGAAGCTACTACCATTCCCGGCTCCAACATGTTCTGAGCTCCTTGAAGACAGATGCTTCAAACGAAGCGGCGAACTGGGTCTTTAGCGGGGAGTGGGAACGGAAGTGGCAGGTGTTCTCCCGTGTCATGGCACGGCATTTCGATAAGTTCACGGGAGTTAGCCAGCGAGAATAGGTTCATTCTCAACCCCCCATGTGGCTACGAGCGGAGAAGATTTTCGATCGATAAGTTACGAAGACCGAAAGCGGTGGAACGGCGGAGTGAGATGGGCCTGAACAGCAGTGGGAAAAACCTCCAAGTCATATTCAGTGAAAATAAGAATAACATAAACTAAATATCAGAGTTTATTTTGAGTTACCATTTCGGATCGCTGTCGCCGTCTGATATCTCGAATGGCCGCGAATTTCGTGCTGATGAAACATCAACCGTCACCAAGAGAGAAATACCAGCTACGTGTAGAGAGGTTAACTTGAGTACTGGAATCTTGTAGATTTTTCAAAAAGATAGGAATAGATATTGATCTGCCTCTATGACAAGAGAATGAGGTGTTTGAGAGGCCGTCAGAAGGTAAGTAAACAAATGATTATGTTGTTCTAAATGATCAGATCATCATGAGCCAAAATCATTCCCCACCATTCCTCTTAGAGATCATAGTAATCCACTGCTTGAAGAAATGTCGAGCAGGAGAAAATACGCCTATTTCCAATATTAGCCATGTCCGGTGAGGACGAGTCCCATCGGACTCTAGACTCTGGGACACATACATCGATTGCAAGATCCGCAAACCGGACAAAGGTAGCATTTGATACACTGTTGGGTCCGAGCGAAGTAGCAGCTCGTACATGTATAGGCCATCTTGTCGATTCTGCCAACCATTAGCACAGCCTTATATGCTTCAAACTAACCAGTCCACCAGCAAATGCCAGGTAAGTACTTGCAGTTCAGGGGGACAAGCTTCAGTCCAGAAGTGAATAATATGTTGGAATCAGATTGAAGAATAAGTAGCGGAAGATTGTTTCGAGTGGTTTTTTTCAAGTCCCAAATGTTCTGAGATGCGAGGAATGAAAGCAGACTTCGGCCAGAACAATGGACTATTTATGCCTCAGTCCCATTCGTGAGAAGGATCCAAACAGTCATAACATCAAAGGTGGTTTATACTCGTGCGACTATCATCCGATTGCTTGATCACTGGCATCACTCTATTGTCTTGCGTCTAACCGTTGGCATGTAGGGATATGGGTGAATGACTGTCACGGATTACGTCTGCAAGCCGAGCCTCAGGGTGACACGGCCTGGACCTCGACTCTTGCAGTGCATTTTCATCGAGAATGACCAAAGGACGGAAGGATCACGAGGATTTCGAATATAGAGAAACCAAACCTTTTCACAAAACTCAAGGCTAGGCAAGCAACCGCAATACACAAACATGCACGTTTGCGACAGAAAGTTTGTCACAAGCAGACGAGAGATCAACCGCGCTCACGCTTTTCAGGGTTGAGGAAGGCGATGGTGAGCTGGCTCATATAACACCGTTGTATAATGTCCATGAGGCTGTATAATTCACGTATACGAGACACAGACTTTGTCAGTTGCCGCGTTTAGGTTGTTCAACGAGATGGGGCATCCAGGTTGAGGCTGTAACTAGCTCACGTCCATTGATCCTTATACAACATCCTAGCACGTAAGTAAGGATATAATACTCCTCCTAACTCGTTTTTAGTGGTCTCCAAGGTTTGTGGAATGTTGTGGGTTCGGCGATGCGGTTCTAATCCGACCGCTACTGAGTGACGCAACAACCACGAAATACTCGTCTTTTATATTAGGAAAACGTCCTACCCGGAGTCCTTAGTTGTATTTCTCATGGGCTCAGAGGTGAGACACTCCGTACCGAAAAGGAGATCTTAGTTATCGTGGGGACTCTCAAAAAGGCCGCGTATTTGGCAACCGATACTCCATCCCATCTGTTCAAGGTGTGACCTGATGACAAGGGTATTATCAGCACCGTAGTAGAAGGAGCTCAGTACCCATGAGTATTGTTCACTTGTCATATCCGGATCGCTTGAAATGCTGGCAGCGGCCGCGAAGGTAGCTAATAGCTTCCTTGTCCAGATCTGTGCCTGTCAGTCAGTTGAATTCTTCAGAGGCTCGAACGAAGCTACTCCCGATGAGAAAGGTTCACGACACACTTCAACAAGAGAACAACATGGTCGATCCTCCGAAGTGCCTGCCTTTGTCCCTTCCTCCTCGGAGAAGAGACTCCATGTCTAGGCTTCTGGTCTTCGGGCCTTGTTGGCGGTTATGCTCGATGCGCAGGGAGTCGATGTGGGAAGAAAGGATCAGTCGATGGCTGCATCAATGGCACTACCACAGCGGGGAGGTTCATACGCCGATGTCTGAGGTAGTTCTGTTGTCTGAGTCCCAAGCCTACCACATGTAGGTACCTGGGGAAGAAAGGGTTGATACATGTGGATGCCTCAGGGTCTAACTCACGCGCCTCACACCAGCCACCAAAAACTGTGCCTGGGCGATAAGCCTCCATTGGTCGAGTGCACGGGTACGAGCTCCAACCGCCCGAGGTCAAGGACGAGATTATGAATTTCATGAAAGGCTGTCGAAGGGATATGTGCTCAGGTGAACTAACAGTTTTTCTAATTAAGCAAATGGTGGCCCTGTCCTCATGCTTGCTGTGGAGGGCGCCAAAGCCTCTCTGACATGCCAGTAATGATATGGTCCCACCAACAACGTAAAAGTTCAGGGGGAAAAAAGGCACCCTCATTCCAAGCCAGGCTTTTATTTGTGCATGATGTAAAGCTTATCAATACGTCTCAAAACCAAATGATCTATAGACTTCGACTCCCGTATAACATATACAGCCATACTCAATATCTTGTGATTTTGGGGCATGCTTCCCACTTTTCCCGGTATTTGCCTGAAGGAATCAATAAGCATCGGCACGGCCATCTCGGCGTCAGGGGCTCTCGGTTACTTTGTGAATACTTGCAAATCCAAGACCTCCAGGTTCTTCATGATCCGTAAAGTCTCTTCGAAGTAGCGAAAAGAATTATTGATCTGTATGGTTCTTTTTGCTGACCCACGGGTTGTTCTTCCTTGAGAGCCTCTTCCTTTGTGAGCCAGTGAGGTAATCTTTAAGGCTCACGATGGTTGTGGCGACGTTTGGATTTCCGTGAACTGCCACCTCCAGCCTCGAGTCGTTTGTGTACGGTGTACCCTGAGGGCTGTGATGATATGAAACTCTTAACATTTGGCTAAAAGTTTCTATTGTAATCATATCTTCGATCTTTCAACATGTGGTAATTGTACGGTTAGAATAGCCAACAAGGGCGATCTCTTTCCAAAAAGAGTGACTTACATTCTCGAGAGTCGCGTTTAAGGTCTGGGCACCGAACATTGCGGCTATTGGGTAGTACTCGTAATCATTTATCTTCTCGCTTCTTCCCGGGGAGGCCAATGATGTTGTCGATGCAATTTTCATGTTGGGACATTTGCAGACGGCAGCCGATATTGAGCTACCTGTCCCTTATGCATTGTGTTGAGATGTCAAATCTTGTACCTCTTATTGCAGTTTTGTGTACTGTATACTCGAACTCTCACCGGCACTACCTGTCTTTCCGCCCCAAAGAGCAAGGACGACACCTCGCTTCTTGACCCTCATCGTCTTTCGAGTAGAGCGGCATTAAGCGAGGTATACTCCTTATTCTTTGGAAGCGCTTTATTCGTTTCGAGCGTCCTGAAAACGAGCTCTAGGCCCCAGATCCAGGGTCGGGGGTCGCCTGGCTTTTCGCGGGTTTGTTGAGGGCGGATGGGTTCCAGGAAGCGCTTTGGCGCAGGTTTGGGGGTCAGCTGAGACTGGAGTGATAAAGAAGAAACCCATGTACCCTCTTGCCCTTTAGTAGAGAAGGGATCAAATTCTACCGCTTCTTTGGGGTCATCTCAAAGCCGCAGCCGAGAGAAAAGGTGGGTGGTGAAGGAGAGTTGGTTAGCGGGGTGCACACAGGAGGTAGCTGCACTGTTGCGGCCGCGACATTTGCTTTGGTTCGCTGCCAGCCGCGCATAGGTGACAGGCCCACCACCTATGTGTTGCCTACCTACTATAGGTACCTAAGGTTAGTAGGCAAGCACCTCTGTTTATGACGTATTCATTTTTTGGTTGGCTTGTGGACTACCCGACTTGATCCTCGCGCTGTTAGAAAGACTTGCTAAAAATTGACATTACGATGCTACGGCATTCAAGGTACATTTACTGAGCCCTACCCGATATGCTAGGAACTTGGGTATTTGAACTAGAGAAAACAATACAGAAGGGCCATTCAATTCAAAATCAGTATGTGTAAATGCTTACCAGAGAGGTTACTCTGCATCATTCCCATTATTTTGTTCCCTTGCTGGCTCGTTCCGCCGGAGCCCATGCACTTGGACGAGGAGCTCCCCCGTAGCGCTTCAGCCGTTAGCGCAGTCCTCGCATAGGCCTTTGTAGCACCTGAAGATGCGCGGGCAATTGATCGGAAATACCAGCAAATTGTGGTTTGCGTAGGATAGTAAAATGGAAGGAAATTCTTTTTATCGACATTCGATATCCGTTAGTTCGCCACAGCTCGATGTCATCCATTAAGTAAAGCCTAAGCTGCTGAAAGCTTGAAGTTCTAAGGAGGGTCCAGCCGCGGAAATTGAGGTCCCACTGATGAGTGCTGGACATCTGGCAATGGCACTGGACGTTGAGGTCCACTGTGCTTAAGTCTGATTGGCTGAAAATCCCCATATGAGTGGAACACACCTCGATCTACCAGAACCTCCAAGGCGTTGGGTAGACGGAAGGCGCATTGCTCTGCTCTGCTCTGCTCTGTTGACGATATGGCCGCATTACATAATACTCTTCGGTACGTACCCTCCCTGCCCTGCGCTCTCAAGATCCCTGCAAAGCAGCAGAACCCAAGAAACATCCTGGCAATCTGCACCATACATAATACTATTACTCCAATTCTTTTTGGGTCCCCAAGGTCCCGTTTGTGTGGATAAGATGGAGCCACGTGATAGCTGCAACATCTTCGTTCCCCGCGTCAGCAACAAAATGCGGCTGGATGCTCCGGAGCCTCGAACCGATACAACAGCTGTGGCCTGCGATCATGCCATTGCCACAGGCGACGGAGAGTCATCAGCAGCTGACCGCGAATATCCCAGAAGGAATGGACGACAATGTCACGAACAACAAGCACTCGCCGTTCCCCAACGATGCCTATCAAGTTGGTTGGATTTCGGCACTGCCCATCGAGCTGGCGGCAGCTCGCGGGATGCTCGATGAAGAGCACGGAAACCCACAAACCTTGCCGCAGAAGACGGACAACAATAGCTATGTTCTTGGGCAAATTCACAACCACAAGGTAGTCATCGCGTGCCTTCCTAGAGCTGAAGTAGGCGCTAGTTCTGCCGCTCTTGTAGCCCAAAACATGATGTGGAGTTTCCCTAACATACGCATCGGCCTGATGGTTGGCATTGGGGCAGGTATACCGAGATGTTCCAGCAATGACGACGATGATTCCGACGATGACGACGAGGAAGATGTCCACCTTGGTGACGTTGTCATCAGCAGCGACAAGAAGACCGGCGGTGTGGTTGCTTACAACTTTGGGAAGAAGCTAGCAGATGGGTCCTTCGAGGTCGCATACCATCTTGACCAACCACCCAGAGTTCTGCGTACCACCTTGGCGAACCTTGAGGCTACCCACGAAGTTCGAGACAATCTGATACCCAAGTACATTGGCCAAATGCTTGTGAAGCTACCAGGAAAAATGCGTTCCAAGTGGATTCATCCTGGGTTAGAGAAGGATATACTGTTTCCACCCGACTACATGCATTCGAGCGGCAAGACCTGCAAGAACTGCGACCAGGAGAGAGCCCTTAGAAAGGGACTCGACAGGCGAGAAGATGATACCCCAGTAATACACTATGGAGTAATCGCGACAGGCTCGGAGGTTGTTCGGCATGCGCCTACCAGGGACCAAATCAGAAGCGACCACAATGCCATCTGCCTAGAGATGGAAGCGGCGGGCTTGATGAACAACTTCCCCTGCCTTGTCATTCGAGGCATATCAGATTATGCAGATTCGCACAAGAATGACCGATGGCATCGGTATGCTGCAGCGGCCGCCGCAGCTTGCGCCAAAGAATTATTAAGTGTAGCCCAGCCTCTCGAAGTAGAAGAAAACCCGAGGGCGGCAGAACTCGTCGGTCTCCTCGACAAAAGTGAGTTGTTGGGCGTGAAGCAAACCCAGAGTCGCTCATTTGCTAATCCCATCACAGTCGACAGCAAATTGGACAATGTAGATGCCAAAATTAGTACATTTATGACAGCATCGCAAGAAGAGAAACTCAGGAAATGGCTCTCGGCCTCCAACCCTGAGACAAACTTCAAGGCAGCCTTGGGCACCTACCATCCTGGCACATGTTTGTGGTTCCTTGAGGGCGATCGATTCAAGGACTGGAAGCTCGCAAGTCGCCAGAGCTTGTGGATGCACGGAATTCCTGGGTCTGGAAAGACAGTGATGAGTTCGAAAATTATCCACAGCCTTCTCTCAGACGAGACGAACGTTCTTTACTTCTTTTTCGATACGCGAGACTCTGAAAAGCAGAGTCTAGATGACTTATTGCGATCCCTCATCTTGCAACTATACACCGAAGGGCAAGCAAGGAACATCCTCGAGAGCCTGTTTGTGGATAAATTTGGGGAGGGAAACAAGCGTCTCTTCTCCAAAGACCTTGAGACCACTTTTCTGTCCATGGTCAATTCTTCAGGACGAAAATTCAAAATCGTTCTTGACGCACTGGATGAATGTTCTACCAAAGAGGATGTGCTTGATTGGGTTCAATCATCCAATTCCAAATCCGAGCTTGCAGAGGTCGGCTTCCTCATGACAAGTCGCAACGATAAAGTAATAGAGTCTGGCTTCAAGAAGTGGCTCAACCAGGATTGTTTCGTACCTCTTGAGACAGAGACAATCAACAAGGACCTTACTGGGTATATTGAATTCTGCCTGCAGTCAGGAAGATATTTCGAACGATGGAGCAATCATCCTGGAGTCCTACTAAAAATGAAACAAGGGCTTGTCCATAGAGCTGATGGGATGTAAGTTACAGAGAGCCCTGAAACAACCATAGCTCATCAAATTGCTGACATCTATCTCACCAACAGGTTTAGGTTGGCTGTTTGCCAGTTGGAAATTCTTAAATCATGTATCGATATCGGTCAAGTGGAAGACGAAATCAAGCGACTGCCAAGAACCCTAGAAGGAGTCTATGAGCGAATTCTTCGCGACATCAGAGAACACCATCACACTAGGGTTGTCCGCATCCTCCAATTTCTGGTTTACAGCCAGCGGCCCTTGAGAATAGACGAGTTGGTAGACGCGATCGCTGTCGACCTTTCGAGAGAACCAGAATTTGAACCCGAAAGAAGGATGCCGGACCCACAAGGCATCCTGGAGATGTGTCCAAGTCTTCTTGCAAGTCGAGAGCTGAATGCGGAAGACAACAGCCAAGGCAACAAGACGGGGATTGTTATTGAAATTGTCGAACTAGCACACGCAACCGTCAAAGAGTATCTCGTATCCCTTGGTAGCGGCAGCAAGTTTTATTCTATCGCGGATCCGGTGACGGCTCAAGCTATCATAACCACGGTATGCCTCGCCTACCTATCTCATATCGATGAAAAAGAGGCACAGGAGAAGACCAGGGCTCAGTTTCCTCTTGCCCAGTTCTCGTCGAGGTACTGGCTACAATATGCGAAAGGTTCCGATGAAGTTCTCGAGGTTCGGGAGGCTACCATTCGGTTTCTGTCTGACGAACGAACAAGGCATATATGGGGCTCTTTGTATAATCCCGATTTTCCTACGACTGACATCGCAGGACCATATACAATGGCCACACCCTTGTACTACGCTTCGCTAGCTGGACTCGCGCACACGGTCACCAAATTGCTTCAGATGGGCGCCGACCCGATGAACTCTGATGGGGGAGAGTACGGAAACTCACTTCAAGCTGCCTGTGCGGCTGGCCAGGAAGAGGTTGTCAAAGTCCTACTTCTTGAGCGGGGCGTAGACGTAAACAGAACGGCAGGTTCACTTGGAAACGCGCTACAGGCGGCTTCGACACAGAAAAATGAGCACGTCGTCAATATGCTGCTTGAAAAGGGCGCCAAGTTACAAGCCAACGGTGGGAAATACGGCACGGCTTTGCAGGCTGCCTCCGCTCGAGGCAATCAAGGTGTGGTGAAGTTGCTTCTAGACAAGGGTGCGGATCCAAACTCGCTCGGCGGAAAATACAACAACGCACTCTATATTGCTTGCCTAAGAGGCCACGAACAAATTGTCAGATTCCTCCTTGACCGCGGAGCCGACAGCAATGCTGAGAGTCCGGAGCGTGGAATCCCGCTTCAAGCTGCGGCCGAGGGGAACCACACATCTATCATCCACATGCTCCTCGATAACGGGGCGCATATTGATAAACAAAGTGGTCTCTATGGCTGTACGCTTCAGCTAGCATGCGTGCGCGGGAGTGAACAAGTAGCAAGGGTGCTCCTCGACAAAGGAGCCGACCCCAACCAGGCGGGTGGCCTATTTGGCAGTGCACTTCAAGCAGCCTCGGCTCGTGGCGATGCCTCATTGGTGCGACTATTGCTTGAGAAAGGGGCCGATCCAAACGCATGGGGAGGCTACTACAAGACATCGATACAGGCAGCCTCAGCCAACGGTTTTGTGAAGGTCATGAAACTTTTAATAGACAGGGGAGTTGACGTGAATGCTCATGATAGAGCCGACGAATATGCGTATGGACCAAATCGAGATCTGGACGACGACGTACGCCGCGAGCCAGCAAATGCCCCGGTGGCTAAGGAGGATGCACATCAAGAAGAGCGCCTCTGGGTTGAGAAACTCGCTACCATGGAGACGAACGAGCTTCAAGAGGAAAGCTTGCTGGTCAAACAACTTTTGGTCGACGAATCCAAGCCGAGGCAGAAACAAAATGAAGATCCGAATCAAGGGTTACGATACGAGAGTCGAGAAACCCCCTGGGAGAGATTCGAACAGATCCTGCTCAGGAGATTGAAGAAAAATCGCCTACGCGATGGTATTCACAGCAATGCCCTACAAGCAGCATCGGCGCAAGGATGGACGGATGCAGTTGCTCTCCTACTCGAAGCTGGGGCGGACACAAATACTTGTGAGGGTATTTATGGAAACCCGTTGCAAGCTTCGTCAGCGCAAGGCCATGCACAAATCGTGAAGCTTCTCATTGACAATGGAGCCAACCCCAACAAGCTCGGAGGATTTTACGGTACCGCTCTGCAGGCGGCTTCGGCACGAGGCCATGACCAAGTAGTAGCCGTCTTGCTAGATAATTGGGCTGACCCCCGGCGAGAGGGAGGAGCATTCGATGCCTCTCTTCCAGCTGCTGCGGCGAGGGGACACACCCGAATTGTCGAACTCCTTCTCCAACACCCCGGCTACTTGAATCCAGAAGAGACCATGTTTCAGAGAGCTCTTTACTCTGCTACGGCTGGCGCGTATATCGATATTGTCAAACTGTTATTAGAAAGAGGCGCTGATATGGACGTCGAAGAACAGTGGTACATTGGCGCACTACAAATAGCCACAAAGCTCGGGCTTTTTGAAATTGTGAAAATGCTTCTAGAGAACGGGGCCGGCATCAACGTACCAATAATTGGAGACCGAGACGAACACCCCCTCTTCGTGGCCTTGATACAAGGGAATGCCGATATTGTCAGGCTGTTTATCGAGGCTGGTGCAAACTTGAACACGGGTAAAGAGACGAGCAACACCCCTCTTTGCGCTGCAGCAAAAGGTGGCCATGCAGAAATGATCCGGCTTCTGATCAATCACGGTGTTGAACTGATTTCGGACGACGATTTTTCGAGCCTTGAACTCTCGGCGGCGGTCAAGAATGGTCATGAAGAAGCTGTAGCTCTCCTGCTCGAGCTTGGTGCCACATATAATGGTTTCACACTTGAAGCTGCCTGCTACGGCAAGCACGAAACGATTTTGCGAATGCTGGTTCGCTCGCCAGCAATGCTGACTGCGATAGGTGATGGAAAGGTTGACTGGATGTCGTCCAACCCCTTGCAGATAGCCGCACGGGGTGGCGATGAGAATTTACTACGCATTCTGCTTGAGGCTGGTATCTTTCCTGGACCCGGCGCTCTCCAGGAAGCGTCCGCTAGGGGAGATATAGAGATTGTCAAATTACTCCTGCGAGCCGGAAGCGGCATCGACGAGCAGTACGGAGAGCATGGGACTGCCTTGCAGGCGGCGTCCAGGCTAGGGAATATGGACTTGTTGCACCTTTTGATTGAGGAAAATGCAGATCTGAATGCTTCTGGGGGGCAATTTGGAACTGCACTCCAGGCCGCTGTGACCAGTGGCCACGACCACATCGTTGACGCCCTGCTAAAGGTTGGTGCTGACATCAATGTGGAAGGTGGCTGTCGTGGCAGCGCGCTTCAGGCTGCCGCAGACAGTGGCAATGAGAAGTTTGTCGAGACCTTGCTTGGACTAGGATGCCAAACGATCAACACAAACCGAGGAAAGTACGGCAATGCGTTGCAGGCAGCCTCCAGACAGGGCCATTTAGGAATAGTCCGCCTACTTCTCGATCATGGAGCGGCTGTAAACACGAGGGGCGGAAAGTATGGGAGTGCTTTGCGAGCTGCCGTCAGTAAGGGCCATCTCCAAGTCACGGAATTACTATTGGACTCGGGCGCCGTCGTGGATATTGAAGCAAGAGGGGAAAGACACTCAGCACGATACTCATTTTCTTGGGGTGAAAGCGCCGGTGCCAATACTCTCGACTCTTCAGAAGACGATGCAGCTGATGAACGAATTTATGGGCTTTTTCCAACTAACCCTGCGGACAGGGACGGTGACGTTCGCGAAACCCACATTCCCGTTCAAAGCAATGAGATGGGAGGAGAAGGTTCACAGGACATGTTTCTATCCACTCCCCATTCAATTCCAATAGAGGAGCCCCTTAGGCCCGATCCGAGTCCAGATGATCAAAGAGGTGATGACCCAGGGGATGGAAGCGAAGAAGCCGATGATTTGGAATTCGAGCTCGAGCTGTCTTATAGTGAGTTACTCGACGAAGATTGCAAGTGGGAAAGACGTGGACTGGGCCAAAGAGAATGGAGACAATACGACGAAATAAGCTGGACGAATCAAGTAACGCACAGCACCCTAAAGTTGGCCGCGCTGTCCGGGAATGAGCTTCTCATTCAAGCTCTCCTAGATGCCGGCGCCAGCCTCGTGGAAATAGATATCTACGAAAAGTTCTCAACCGCTCTTGATCCCACGATCAAAGACGGCATCATTGAGCGCCTGGTTAACGCCGGCGCAGACCACACAATACTGGGCCAAGCAGTCAGAGTAGCAGCCCGGAACGGCGACGAAACAAGTCTGAACAGGTTGGTCCAGTGGGCCACAGCTCATGGGGTCAAAACCTCATACAGCGAAGCACTTTGTGAGGCTGCAAGACAAGGCAATGAAAAGCTTGTAAAAATTCTCTTGGAGAACGGGGCAGATCCGAGTGCAGAAACAGACTCCGTGGACAACCCCTTCTTTGTCGCTTTGGATAGTGGCGATGAGTCGCTGTGCCTGCTCCTCCTAGATGCGCGGGCCAACGTTTTTTCATCTTATCGGGACGCGTTCGAGAAAGTGGCAAGAGTGGTTAGGAGGGACTTCCGCCAACTTATGCCTGCTCTCCTGAATGTTGATATGGACCCTGATAAAAGAAAAGGGAGCTATAACTGGGCGCTCCGGACCGCGGCTCGCTGCGGCAAGGGGTGCATCGTGGATATCGTTATCGAGATGGCCGAGAGACATTCTGTCCCGTTGGATTATTCCGCTGCGTTGACCTCTGCTGCAAGGGGGGGGAATGAAAACGCTGCGATCCTTTTAATAAAGAAAGGCGCTCAGCTTAACTTGGATGACTGGATGGACAAAGCTGAAATGATACGGATCATCAACACTGGGGACGAGTATCTCGCGAAGCTGCTTCTTGGATCATGCCCTCAATTCAAACACCAAGAAGAGACCAACGTACAGATTCTGCACCTTGCGGCGAGGAAGGGTTTCACGCGCATCGTCAGCATGCTATTAGAGCATGGACTCGATCCGGCGAGTTCGTCCTCGAAATATCAAAATGTCTTCGAGGCTGCCGCCGCAGGAGGTCACAGTGACATGCTTGACCTCCTCTGGAGCACTTCTGGGCTCAAGGACGAGCATAGGGGGATAGCGCTTCGGTCCGCGTGTCGATACGGCAGTCCTCAGATGGTAGAGGGAATCCTGAAGACTGGTGTCGACGTCAACTCACAGGATGGAAAGTACGGAAGTGCGCTATATGCGGCTTCAAAACGAGGTCACAGACGAATTGCGGAGATACTGATCAATGCTGGAGCTGATGTCAACGGCCAGAACGCTACCTTTGGGAGCGCCCTTCAAGGCTCTGCAGCTCGTGGTCGTGCACGAGTAGCGGAGTATCTGCTCGAAAATGGTGCACGCATCACGAGAGAGGATGAAAATGGGCAAAACACGCTTCAGGTAGCTGCCAAAGGCGACCACATTCATGTGATAGGTCTGCTTCTGCGTCATGGTGCAGACCTAGACCCCAAGGCCGGCCGGTGGGGAGGCGCCATCCAAGCTGCTGCCAGCGCTGGCAGTCTTACGACAATCAATTTTCTGCTTACCCGTGGTGCCGATGTGAATGCCATGGGCGGCAAATATGGCTCGGCTCTCCACGTAGCTGCCTACCACGATAAGTATCGGACGGTAAATCTGCTCTTGGAAAAAGGCGCCTCCCCTGATGCAACGTGGCGCCAGGATGGCACCCCACTCCAAGCAGCTATAACAAAGAAGCATTTCGTAATTGCCCGGGTGTTGGTCGATAGAGGTGCGAATGTCAATGTACAGGGCGGCTTGTACGGAAACGCTCTACAAGCTTTAGCAGTCGTTGGGTCAAACTATTCACTTGCAGAGAACTTAATCAAACATGGCGCCGATATCAATAGTGTTGGTGGGAAGTTTGGGTGTGCTTTGCAAGCGGCAGCGAAGTTTTCTGCGGACGTTTTCAAACTTCTCCTCAAACGAGGAGCTGATCCTAATATCCAAGGCGGAGAGTACGGAAACCCACTTCAGGCTGCCTGTTGTTCTCGCAGGAAGAAAGCAATTCAGATGTTGATTAAGGCTGGAGCTGAGGTAGATTCCCAAGGCGGGATATTTGAAACTCCTCTCATAGCAGCATGCATGTTAGGGAGCAGGGAAAACGTCGAAGTGCTGCTAGACCACGGAGCAGATGTGGACTTGTACTTGCAAGATGGGCACCTAGGAAGCCCACTCCATGCGGCTTGCTTTGCCCAAGACAAAGAGCTCGTTGAACTTCTATTGTCTCGTGGCGCCGATGTTAATTTCCAATTCGGTGAGCACGGCAATGCACTGCAGGTCTCCTGTATGATGGGCAGGCAGGATGTTGTTGAAGTTTTGCTAGCGAAGGGAGCCAGCACGAACGCAAAGGGGGGGCAGCTCGGAGGCGCGCTCCAAGCCGCATCTTGGTCCGGCGATGTGGAAATTGTCAAAATGTTACTCGGTCACGGACCTGAGGTAAATATGGGGGGTGGCTTCTTTGGAGACGCGCTCCAAGCAGCTTCGAGCGGATCCGTGTTTCCTGTTGGACAGGCCTACCCTCTTGCATATTTTGAAGCCATCAGAGAGGCCGAAGGCCTGCAGCGACGGCCAGAGAGTGAAGGCAGCGTTTCCTCCAGCTCGTCTTCGGCCACGGCCGAAAGTCCTATCTACCCTCACCCCGCGTTGGCGACGCGTCGTGGATCTAAGGGCATTGAATATGAGTATCGTCCAGGGGATCATGCGGAAGTTATTCAGCTGCTGTTGGATAATGGCGCTCGTGTCCAGTCCGAGGGTGGCCACTTCGGCAACGCCTTACAAGCAGCAGTAGTTTCAGGAAGCGAGTCGCTGGTGGAAAAGCTGATGGATGCTGGTGCTCATGTCAACGCCAAGGGCGGAGAATTTGGCGCGTCTTTGGTCGCGGCTGCTACTTGTGGTCTCATGCCTATTGTCCGACGACTGTTGAACGCTGGAGCGGATATCAACTCGCAAAGCAAATCGTACGGAACCGCTTTGATATCAGCTTCTTCCAAAGGCTACAATGACGTTGTCGGGCTTTTGCTTGAGCGAGGTGCTGATGTGCACGCGAAAAAGCAAGAAACCAATGAATCAGCACTTGCGGTTGCAACTAAGCAAGGCCACGACGAGATTATTAAAATGCTAGTGGACGCAGGGGCTGATGTCAACAGACCAGTTGAAGCCAGTGCGGCTGCTCATTGATATCAGCGGGAGAGTAAAATTAACGATTAAATTGCTGCCTAGGTCTCCAGGTACATTCCCAAAACAAATGAGAATCCTATTACCAACCCTGAGATCTGCAAAACCTTACTTTACATTTCCAGTTTCACATCCGCCTGGCCATTCGTGCTCACCACGGGTAGATTTACCCATCAAGACAAACCGTCCGGTCAAGACGCCCTACGACTCTACCAAATAGGCTTCGGTCCATACTTGGGTCGTTTCTTCGGTGGGTAGCTTGCAACGATATAAACCCCATATAGTGACATCAGAAACATCACCACTCCAACAGCGTAGTAGGTTGGCTGCGTGAAGAGCTCCGGGATCGACAGTGCCCAGAAGCTGAATGGGGCGAAGGTGAAAATGATGGCGACAACATTGGTCAGGGCAAACCCAAGACTCAAGCCGTCCCGCGATCCCCTTTCCAGATATCCGGTGATTGGGCCGACAACGATGAGGACGTTGGTGAGGCAGAACCACTGCATCAGGCAGCCTTGGCCCATCAGAACGATCATCACTGCGACGACGGAGTACATGCTCAGCTGCATCATGACCACGTAGCAGAGGATCGCTGGGAGCTGGGGCTGAGGGCCGAAAAGAGGCGAGAAAATGTGTTCTCGGTTCTTGGTAACGTCTCTGTGGATGCAGAATACCTCAAGCGCCGCCCAGATTGCCAAGGCAAAGGAGGTGCCTCTCAGAAACCAGTGGTTGTCATATCGCGGCGCGGCACTCGCCAGCAGATATGACCATGTCGAGTCATGGGCGAGGTAGAATGAGTGCATCCAGAAGGGCATGGGGCCCTTGCCTTCTCGGAGAGTCAGGCGAATAGCGTAGACATATTGGAGATAGCCGCAGACGAAGCTTGCGACGCCCGCGGCGAGGATGGGCGTGTTGTCGAAGGTGAAGACTTCTGTCAATCGCTGGTAGTTGTCTATATCCATGGTGGTGGCTGATCCCAAATGAGGTCCGAGGAATCGAGATTTACATATCCAAAATCGGTGGCACGTCGTGTGTGGAGGGTCGTCGCATTATATCTGCAGCTGAGCGGCGTTTCTCACAAGCCCGAGGCAACGTGGTTGAATGCCGCACTTCGGCAATCGCACTTTGGCGCATCACCACACTTACATCTCGCTGCGCCGTATTTCGCTGTGGCATGATCTATCTATTCCGAGTGGCTACTCTCGCATTCCGCATGCCGATCGAGTTGGCATGTGAAAGCTAGTCACGCCAAGTGAAAAATATTTCGAGAAACCAGACATCAGATATTCCAGTCATGGTGTATTATGAATACCAAAATGACAAAGACTTCGGTGTTTTTGAAGCAATTCGCGAGGTGGTGTGGATGGTAGCCTCGGCAATCAACTCTAGCGGCGCCGGAATTCTGATCAAGCTCGGGGCCGTTTCTAATCATGACCAGGGTTCGGCACCAAATTTCGGGAATTGCCCAGAGAGTCGAGACGGTCCGGATTGTCAACTCCACTTCTTCTCTTCCAGAAATGCGGCCACCGATCCACAGCATCCCTCCTCTCCATAGGTACCTCCTAGGTAAGAGTTGAGAGAGGGGATAACTAGTATGTGTGAGACGATGAAGAGCTTGAAGCACCGCGGCTCTTGATGTAGCTCAGAAACTAAAACCACTTGGACACATTTCAAGGCACCCAATCTGCATCAAGGAACAATCCAGGCAAGTTTCCAACAAAGTTTGTATAATTTTCTAATAAAAAAACTCCCGCCTCCTTTTCTCTAGGAAACCTTTCCACCGGGTAGGAATAAAACCTAGAGAACCTAAGAACTAGGGATAAGAGGAATATCGTACAGTCCAGCCGCCTCTCCCGGCGAAACCTCTCAAGCACCCATCGCTAAATACAAAAATCTGGCACTCAACGCTTACTTGCGACCCTTCTTGGCTGGGACCTTCTTAGCTGGGGCCGCCTTCTTGCCTGCGGCGGCAGGGTTCTTCATGTTCTTGCCGTCGCCCCTGTGCGCAGCCCGGCTACAGATTCATCAGTCACAATCCCTTTCACAACTTGCAACGGATGGGTCATCAACTTACTGCTCCGTGAACTCTCCGATCAGGACGAAGCTCTGGCCGCAGTCAGGGCAGGTAAAGTCACGCTTGGAAAGCAGTCTCTCCTCGAGCCCGTCGTCGTAGCGGGCGACAATCTCCCTGGCCTCGTACTCGTCGAGGCTGCGGCGTGGCAATGCCCTTAGTTAGTCATGCCCGAACTATTACCCCGTCACTCTATACGCAAGAAAACAGGGATCACGATTTTCCTGGATAATTCGAGATGTTGGTATTTTTTGACACATAGATTCATATTGTATGCATCTAGACTTATCCATACCTTCCAAACAAAGTGTAAAGCCGCGGACACTCCAGATGGGACTGGACGTCGGCAATTTGCCGATATCCTCCAGTAAATGGGGTGAAATCATGTATGAAAGGGCCGAAAAAGAATTGATCATTGGATTCAATCAAGCATGCAACTCTCCCCTGTTCTTCCATTGTCCCTCGGCTCTTGTTATAATGCACGATCGTGGCGACGGAAGCAGCAGCCTGATTAATTGGCTGATACATCTACGTCGCCAAACGTTACGAGCCGCCTGGTATTGACCCAGCTGGTGAAAATATCGGTGTATCATCTCTTTTTCTTCCTTAGGAGCCGCCTTGCATGGGTATTTACCTAAGATAAAGAGAATAAAGTTTAACAGCAATGGAAGCTGCCAGAGCCCGACAACTCAACACAATGTGCATGGGTATTTAACTGATGGTTAACTAATGTGATGACCTAATACATTATTGAACAGTCCCGAGCTTTGAGGAGAACCTCTGCAATTCTTTTTCTCCAATTGAGCGGTGATGAGGTCGAACAATCCGTGAGTCTGTAGGGCGTTCGTTGAAACCGGAGACAAATCTCCGGTGAGAATTGGAATTGGAGTAGAGTAGTGTAAGCCAGAGACAACGAACAACCTACGCCCAAAAAAACACCCTTTGTCAAACTGCGCTACGATATCTTATTTTATAGTTGTATATTCCATTCATTTGATAATTAATTCATCTAGCCAAATATATAATTCGTCAGGCCAGAAATGAGAGGGCTTCTTCCCTGCCATGGGCGGATCAAACCATCCGATCGTGAAATACCTAGGTAGATTAGCATAGGCTCAACCAGGACATAGGTTAGACAAACTCGTATCATATGCTATAAGCTGGGACCCAAGGATCGTTCTACATTAGCGAGAGGTGGAATAAATTAGAAAAATAACGTGCTATATTTCCTGTGCCTACTTAAAGCACACATTGAATCTCGTTTAACTCGCGTCACTTTTCTGTATTCAGAGCCTTCATCCACCACCGGGACTGGCTCCTTCAGTTTATCAAGTCAATTCACTCCATTGCACACAACATATCAACTATAATTGAGGTCTACTATGCGCGTAGAAACATCGCTTCCTCATGTTGAGAGATCAGGTAGGCGGTATAGGGTAGGCTCGGCTACTAGAGGTTGAGTCGCCGGCAGAAAGTGGTCTTCACATGATCATATCGGCGACCTCGAAAGTCCTGCTCATCTTGGCATTTTGGGGTTGAAGATGAGGCAAAATGATAGCAAATCAGGGGTAATTTTTTTTCTCCATAAATCCGTCCACTTTATGCAAACCCCGATGATATCATAAAGTATTGGCCGACGGGCAACACCGCCCAAAGGTCTGGTGGATGGGGTTTTTCCAACAAAGGTAGACCCTGGCACGTGAAGGATTCGTTCTGGCCTTGGCCTTCCTTTGAAATAGGGATTGACGAAATTAAGATCTAGGATAACCTTGGTATTTGCTAGTTGTGCAATGGTTTATTATTCATGGTGACTTAAACGTCCGTAGTGTCTCGACCTGGAATAATAGGAAAAGTGTACCCGTCGAGAGTCTTGCATCCGTATTCCTACCGAAAGAAATTCTCAATCTACCTAGTCGATTGCTCGATACTTCCCCTCACTACTCTCTCTTGTGTAATTGCCTATATAACTTCTTGTGTTGTTCTAGCAAAAGCAACGTGGCGACTGTATGAGGCCCCAGCCTGCTGAAAGAAGGTAGCCAGCCTCTGAGCATCCAACGCAGGCCATCGGTCCGTGTCATGTCCGTCACTATTCTCATTACTGACATGCCGCTGGAATTACCGCTCATGATCCTCGTCTTGACGACGTCGATAGGGTTGCAAAGGGTGGTGGCCACAAGACCTGCAAGAATAGACGCTGAAAACTGCGTGGCCATCCCGCCGTTCCCCATTCCAGGGACCTTCTCCAGCATATCCTTGAACCAGTCGTAAGATCCAAGCTGGCAGCCGGTCATGCAGCCTGATCGGATAGCGTTGGGGACAATCCCGCGCACAAAGCCGCCGACTCCCTCCTCGCGCGCCATGCGGGCGAGCACATCGAAGATGTTGCGGTAGTTCTTCCGCAGGCTGTCCGGCAGCGAACGGTCATTTTGCATACGAACATTAGCAATGTCCGCAGGGTTTCCGACTATGGCTCCACATGCACCTGAAAACGTTGAGGCGGACATGAGGAATGTGATTGGTAGCTTATCGCCCCGTGTTTTTGCCAAGGCACGGTCCTTGAGAGACTCGTAGATGGCAAATCTTGTAGAGCCATATGTCACTGCGATATGTGGTTAGTGGTTTACTTGGGTGCAGCCGCATCCTCAAGGGCCAGAAGTGACTTACACTGTCTGAGCATACTCGCAGACAACTACAAGTTTTATATTGTAATTAGTCTTGCCCTTGCAACAAGCGAGCGGGAGTCACTCACACCTCGATATAGGCCCTTGATCCCCTCTATCCGAACCACAGAAACCATGGTGGAAGTAACGCTCTGCTTGGTCCCGGCTGCGGTTTGATGCCTGACTTTGACTAGAGAAGCATGAGCAAAAATGCATCCAGCCGTGGCCGAGAATTGACGGAGTTTGGACTAACTCAAATCTAAAGGGTGGGAGAATACGACAGCAAATAATGATGCCGAGCCTCCAAACCACTTGGGATACTGAATCTTCGCATTGGACAGCCTGGGTAGCTGCTTTGGCGACTCGGGTAGCGAGACGGTGGCAACAAATTTGGGGTCTTTCAATTGCTCCATGTCGTCTGTCGTTGAATCAAACCGTGAAACGCGACTTTTGATAGGATTTTAGGATAAAAGAATGACGAAAAAATGAGACCTGCGTGTAAACGATCTATCCGAAACGATGTTCTATATCAGCTCTGGCTAGTTATTCTAGTGGAAGAGGGGGTTGCTGTGAATATGAACAAGGGATCTGGATCTTACTCACGCATGCGCAGTGTGACGTTGAGGTGTCATCCAATCAACACTGACTCCGGGATTACAACCTCCTTGTATACAACCGAGTCACCGACGCATCGCAGCACGGCTGTTTCGAGGCACCAGAACACCACTTTCCGCGACTGGTCGTCTCTGTATGCCTAACGCACTTTCATACCGGGCCCCTAGCCTTTCTTAATTGCCGGACGTGGCTGGTCAAGGGTGCGGTTGTCAACCGATAATTGTGATCTTGACGTAAAGCAGAGCCGTGAGTCTGGCCCAGGTTCTGGAAGAAGAAGAAAACGTCTGCTATTACTAATTAGAAGCCTGCGGTGCTCGCTGATCCAATACACCGACCTGGGCCCCAATTCTCCTAGAAAAGGCGAGAAAAAATTGCGTGCTTGTTCCGAGGGCTAGAATCTCAATTCCACGATGGATTTGATTAATCGGCTATATGGATTGCATCGTCGGGGCAGACTGGATAGTACGGCGCGTCGTTGCTATGGGCCACGTCGGTCTAGACTTTCCGCTCGAAATATGACACTCTGGGTCGAATTATGAGAGAGACGTCCTGGTCGTATCAACGGAAGGTCAAGATAATCTGGCTGCTTATGAGTAGGTAGAAAGGGAGATGATTGTGTTTGGAGTGGAGAAAGATATGTCCGATCCGGCATTCTAGGGTAGGTAGGTACCTGCGACAGGGAATGCGCTGTGGTGGACCGTGGAATTGACCCCGGGATCTCAGCCTTGATTTATGCTGAGCGTCTGGGCTTAGTTCATCGGCCCGTTGCCGATCCACCTTGTCATAAAATCAGGCTTAGATGCAGGAGATCTATTTGGCGGCGAACTGCCCACAAGCTAGCTTGGTTTCAAAGCACTTCTTCTGCCGCACTCTACAAGTCCAACAGCTTTAGGGCTTAGCCTCGGGATGCTAATCGTACGGCGCGCCTAGATACGTGTTTGGTTATGCAACGCAGATGCTCACTGTTTTTGACCTCCTGAAGCTCAGGCTCTTTTCAGTGGAGCAATTGGCTCACTTCCGTGGAGCACTTTCCGCGCCACGCGAGGCAGACTGTGGGCCGTATTAAGTAACGCAATGTGATTGGAGGCTGCTGGCGAAGGCTCCACCATAGCAACAACCACCGTTCACGCTCGACACAAACACATCGTGTCTCTGGCAGCACAAGGTGATCTAAAGGCAGGTACTGGCTCTAACTTGAATGCAAGCATACCTGAACTAACTATTCTACTGAAAAATAAAATTGAAAGATCAGTCTTCAACAGAGGACCTTTTGCAAGAAGTTAATCATAAGTGCCCTATCTTTGATGTGCAGTCCCATCAATCCAGAAACCAAAGGCGATGATGATGCATACCGACTTCACCCAAATAGCCATTAATGCTTATTATTCCAGTCGTCTTAAGGTGCCCAGCTATTTCCCTGATTCGAGCCTGCCTCGCGGGAAAAAATCACTGCCTGAGGCAACACTACGTGTCAGTGTCTGAGGGCGCTGTAGCGGGCACTGTCACCTGCTGCCAACCCTTCTGATGGCCCCCAGACCAGGACAAACTGCAATGGAACCAAGCAGGGTCAAAAGAAAGAAAGGAAAAAGAATAGGCGAGGTCTCGAACGACCAGTGGGCAATTCGCCTTCGTGCGGCTACGAACTCAACCCATATTGTATACGAAGCTCGAGCTGTGGCATTACCAAATGCACCAGTATCTCACTGACCCCGCTTGTTGACTGAGGTGACTCTAGGTTGGCCTATAACACATGGACACAGCGCAGGCTACTTTTCCCATTACTAGTCAGGAACTTCTGTTTCTCCGGCCTACTGCCTTGATCACCGATAACTTTCCCACTCTAGTTGGGATTATGAATACATCAACCCAACACCCCCTCAAGCAGCCTACGAGCCCGAAGCGAGTTGTCCAGAATTCCCGCCCGCGGACCTGTCCCTTTACTTCCAACGCTATCTTCGAGATCAACGCTCAAGCTTTCGATCGTCTGCTGCTCAGCCTCCGGCACCACAAAGCAACCCCAAATCAGAAACAAGAACGAAGTTCCCGACCATAGTGCAAACGACTCGCACCGCGCGGCCTGGACGCACAATGGCAGGCACACGATGACCTGCATTGAAGTTGCTCGATCAGTGCGAACATGTCGCCACTCCCGCGTCACGCACGATCTATAAGACACAAATTCGTTTTGAAGTCCCCACGCAATAGGCCCTGGCAAGATCTTAGAAGAGTAAGATGGTGAAGTTGAAGATAAAGCCGGCTTTGGCTACGTGTTGGCGGTTGGTTCAGTCTCCATTCAAAGGTATGGCGCTCACGTTGACCGTATGGGAAGACACCATGATAGAAGCTCCTACGAGCAAAGGGTGATCACGACCCAGACGGCCAAGGATAATAATTGGAACCGCAGCTTCGATTAGCTGGACACTAAGTACACGATCATCAGCCCTTCCTTATCTTCCTAGCCCAGCTTTTGAAACAGCATCGTGGAATAGTATGTGAATGGCATTACCCCATTACTGAAAGGTGCTAATGCGATACCGGTGAGGAACTACTCAAAACACGTCTTGTCAAATTTCACCATCCACTTTTTCATCTGATTTGAGAAGGCCTTTCCTAAGGTCTCGGCTTTAAAATTGCCAAAGTCACTGATTCTTTCCTCAAGCAGAGATTCGGCCGATGCCTACTACAATTCTAGCTCGTGCATTCGGTGGTGATAAATCAAGGATAGCAAAGCTTCCTAGCCGTTTCTCTTGTAAACGTTGAGCAGTTATTCACGATTCTCATCGAGACGAAAAGGAATGAGCTCTTCAACTCCTATGATATTGTGTGTTCCATCGAGTACGCGGATGATGATGATCAGATTCAAATCAATGAGCATTCGCGATAGAAGAGACACGCCCAACGCTGATATTCAGTGGAATTGTTGATTCAGTACGGCTGTCTATAATGACTGAACTTTGCCGTACCCTTGGTTCAGCCCAGAGCTGAATCAAACTCGAAAAGCATGTGGCCTCAGTCTCCCCTTGCACGAAGAACGCTATTTAAACGATTTCTTATTCTTAATTGTACCCTTGCAAACACGGTTCACCATATTTCCTTCATATAGTTCCGGGCATCTTGAAATGGCTTCATTAGACTCTCTCCCGAATGAAATCCTCGGCAACTGCGGGTCGCACTGCGATATACTCAGCCTCGCCTCCCTCGCACGCACCAACCGCCATTTTAATGAAGTCTACACTCCTATTCTTTACAGACGCTCATTGTTCATAGACCCCCCTACCCGGCCCGTCATCTTTCAAGCGGCCGCGAGTGGGAATCTAGCTACTATGGAACTTGCAGTGGCACATGGTGCCGATATCAATGCGGTGTCCACGGAGACTTTCCAAGAATGCAACGAGATAGGCGTTGAGACACAGATCGAACAAGACGCCACAGCTCTACACGTCGCCTGCTACAATGGCCAAACCAATATCGTATCCTTTCTCCTCAAAGCCGAGGTGGATGTTCACTTCCCTGACGGTGCCACATTCACTCCATTCTACTATGCTATGCGGCTTCAAAACCCGGAACGCAAGGCAATCACGGATCTTCTTATCCAAAGTGGAATTCAATATGTGTCAAGCAACCCGCATAAATGGACACTGCATGCAGCTCTCGAGGCAAGCTGCTGGCCGGTAGTTGAGACTATCCTTTCAAATCGCCACTTCGAGAACCCATTCTTCACCGGGCCTTATGGTCAGGAAACCAACAACATGGCAGAAGCGGTCTTTGAAAACGGATACAATCCTCTCCACTTTATCTCGAAAAGTAGTGACGCTACAGGAATCTCAGAGGTGGTTCCCAAGCTGGTAGCTGCCGGAACGCCACTGGAACATGTTACCGACGACTGGGATCAACCGATGGCCCCTAATGGTGGCACCCCCCTTATTTACGCCGTGAAACAGCAGAACTGGGCTGCTGCTACAGCTCTTGTAGAAAATGGGGCAGAGCTAGATTCGATAGGTAACTCCTTGAGGCAAGAGATTGCTCTGCATATCGCCCTGGATAACCGATTACGGGAACCCGAAATCGGAATGCGCTCCATAGAGGAGATTAAACGCGACCCCAAGCTTCATCAGGAATTCATACGCGCTTTTATTGAAAAGGCCAAGGAAAGTAACAAGATGGAGCTGATTGAGCGCCGCCCTGAGAGGGAAAGAGGTTGGAAGGGGACACCCCTCTGGTACGCAGCGACACGTGCTTCCAATTATGATTGCATGAAGCTTTTGCTCGAGGAGGGCTCTGCCTCCCCCCATGCCACGGTCGAAAAATTTGTACCTGCCAATGCTAATGGTGTCGAAGATGGACAAAACTATCGATGGGTAGAGATGACAATCCTGCGCAGTCTACTCTCTCCTTTTGCCCATTCGAAAACTCCCATTCTGGCAGATGGAGCGAAATTGCTCCTTGAGCACGGCGCCCGTCTAGACGCCGAGGTTGACCAGGCCAATACTTTGTTCTCGACTGTGTTGGATAGAGCATGTGAATATTGCGAAGGCAAGAGGACGTGCTGGCTCTTTGGTATCATTTTGGAGAGTGCAACGAATAATAACGTGAGCCTCCAGTACGTTGCTGAATTAGAGAAGAAATATGTCGGTGACCGCTTTGTTATCAAGTTTCTCGACAAGTTGCGCGAACGGCTTAATTAATAAGACACATGTAATATCGTGGTAGACCCTCTTTAGCAACGTTATAAATCTATTTCACTGAACCTTGTTGCATACTATGAGACTCGCACATGATAGCATCAGAGCGAATTCCCCATCGACAAAAAAACCTCAGCTCAACAGCTTGAAAGCAACAATCCAGTTTATTTCAACCACATAGTGCTATTCGAGATGTAGAACACACATACTCTATCGGTATATTGCCTTGATGAGCCCAGTCGCGACTAGTCACACACAATCAGATAGCCAAGCTCTCCATGCGGGAAGCACTCCCAAAGATAGCCGAGTTCATTGTAGTCGAAGATATGGCCAAAATCTGCTGATTAATTAGTACTATATCCAGTGATGCTCTGTTTATTGAATTATCTTAGGCATGACCGAAAGGATAAAATACCTAGACTAGTCGGTACTCGGTATTGGCAGAACAGGTTCCATGCCGGCCCGAAAGTGCGTCGATTATCGCCATTCGCACCCATGTTTCTTGATTCTCATCTAGTTGCAAATTGTCATCTTCAAGTTAGCCGAATATCTTCATATACCAGAGAGAGCTATGGGTGGATAGGAATCAAGGTTCAGATTGGTAATGTGTTTTTGTATCATAGAAGATCAAAAAAGAGGGTTAAAAGAATTTGTCATCATATTGATTGACGGGATAGAAACTCCCAACGAGGAGAAGAGACGATGGTAGGAGAGTATGCACATACAAGTTTTTTGGGTTAAATGAAATGATCCAGGCAAACTGTCGGGGCATTCATAAGGGGCCGAAAGTATGTCGCTTATTATCATCGCATCTGGGTCCAAATTGTGATCTTGAAGTCAGTCAAATGCCTTCATGTGCCAGAGAGAGAGCTAACAGCGGAGAGAAATCAAGGTTCAGATTTGTGAAGGGTTTTATTTCATGTAAAAAATCAAACCAGAAGGACCGAATCGATCATCATGTTGATTGACGTAATAGAAACTCCCAACAAAGAGAGGACTATTGAGGAATATGCACATACAGGTATTTTGGGTTAAGTGAAACGAACCAGGCCAACTGCCGGGGCGTTCGTGGGGGACCGAAAGTATATCGATTATCATCATCGCCCCTAGGTCCGAATTATGATCTTGAAGTCAGCCAAATGTCTTCATATGCCAGAAAAAGCTGAGGGTGTAGAGAAATCAAGGTTCAGATAGAAGCGTGGTTTTTTTCATGGAAGGTCAAAGGAGAAAGAATGTGAAATGGATCATCATATTGATTTGATGTAACAAGAAGAAATTGAGGATGAAACGGCAGTTGAAGAATGTACACGTACAAGTTTTTATGGTTATTTGAGATGAACCAGGTCAGCGTCGATGAGATCTCAGGGAATCGAGAGCATGTCGACCGTCGCCATCGTGTCTAGGTCCAGAGTATGATCTCGAAGTCAGCCAAATGTCTTCATCATGCTGGAGAGAGTAGAGGGCGTGGATGAATCAAATATCAGATGAGTGAAGGGTTTTATTTCATGGGGGGTCAAAATAACAGCAATGATTTTTCGATCATCATATCCAAATGGTGTACAGTAAGCTCTAGGGAGGAGACAAAGGTTGAAAAATATCCACGTACAAGTTTTTGTGGCTTTATGAAAAGAACGAAGCCACGGAGCCAGCCGCGGGGCGTTCGTAGGAACTCCGTTTCCTTGTTGTTGTTTTTTGTGATATCAGCCTAATAAAAAAGATCGTTAGCCTTTGTTATCTCAGACTCCAGCACTGAATGCCCCAAAGGGAGGAATTGGAGAGGTCCAAAAGTTACCAAAAAGTCGGCTAGGCTGCAAAGTCAGAGTAATCGTTTCCACTAACCATTCTTCCATGTCATTGAGATCAAATCTCAAAAATGGAAGAGAGAAACACGAGAGAAAAGGATTAAATAGCTCTTGAAAAGGCTACATTACCAAGTGGTCGTTCTCTCTCCGTGGCTTCACGCAACTTCGCGTCACGCAGGAGTGACGGGAGTAAAGCGAGCAAGCGGCGTAGAAAGCCGTACCTAATCGTCTCATAATGTTAATTTGGTAAAAGCATTGAGTTTCAGATTTAGGACTTCAACTCACGGTGTTTTGCATATGAAACGCGTTCAGAAAACAAAGTGAAGTGGGATTTCTCTGCTGTGTGGAGAAAGGAAGATGACACGCTCAAGAGAAGGGAAGGGAAACGGGGGGATAATGGTGCGTACCCACCAGGTACTAGTCGGGTGAATGAAAGATACTTCTGATATGTACTGGTAGTCTTAGTGACCATAGCGTGAGGATGTTCCAACAGCGAAGTGCAACAGGCGCTCGCAGTCGGCCACAGCGGCGAGCCATGGCCTGATAAGTAACTATTGTACTAATTACAGCTCTCAATGTACTATATAATTATCTAGGTACAGGCCATGAAATTTCAGAGCGCATGGGCACCTTTTTAAGGCTTCCGTAGAGCCCCAGAGCCCTTGAGGCTCCCACTTTCAAGGGCCATCGACCTTCAGCCTTCATGTTTATGTCTGGTCATTGCGGCGACCAGGACGCAACCCTGATGATAATCGCCAGCTGCTGTTAGCGGGTTTGGAATTATCCAGCCAGCTGACATTGAACGACTCGTGATCTTACCTTTTTCTAGCATTCTTTCAAACATCAAAGGCTTTAATTTTTAAACATGGCTTGTTCTTAATATTGACGCCAATGAGGGTGAAAATGTTTGGTCTCATTTCCTACAATCTCTACATCAACAGATACAGGGTCTGGATAAAAAGCCACTGGGGTCTGGGCTCACTCCCGATAGGATGATTTTTATTTATTCAGCCAGACTTGGTTGGATCAGTAAACAACCACACGGCGGAGGTAGTCTAAGTGCATCCCGATGAGACGTCACGTGCCCTCCCAACTGCTTACTCACTATGGGTCCATCAGACTCCGTCATGTCCGCGATTTACCAGCAAGACACGACCGTCATCACCGGCATCACCAGAGGAGACAACTTTGATGAAGGGCAGTCCCACTTGTGAATAATCCAATCTGCACTTGAACCGCTCCTTTATCACCAGTCGAAACCATCGAAATCTTTCCCTGTGCTTGCTCCTGCCCTCTTGTAATCCATTTAAGTCGCGACTCGGCCGCATCCATCAGGAATGAGCAAGCGACCTCGACTTGAAAGCGACGAGAGTATCTCGGCCGCCGCCTGTGACCAGTGCCGGCTGCGCAAGGTTCGCTGTGACCGAAAACAGCCCGAGTGCTCAAATTGCTCCAAAGCCGGAGTAGAATGCAGCTCGTCAAACTCGAACAGACGGGTGAATCAAACCAAGGAGCTGTAAGCATGGAATTCCAGCATCGAGCCCAAATCAATTAACCTTCATCCATGCTAAATTCTGTCGTCTGGGCATTATCATAGGCGAAACGACCTCTCTGCTGTACTGACGCAGATCAGCCATCTCGATCAAAGCTTGGGCGCTCTGACGAGTCTCACTCGCCAGATTGCTGCTGATGTCGCAAAGCCCATATCGCAATCCGCACAGCCAGAAACTTCCCCTTACTTTGACTCAGTTCGAAATAAGCACCATGATGGCCAGGTGCCAGATGGTCAGGCGCCGAATATCAAATTCCCTCTGGAGACAGTCGAGTTTGACCGGGGTGGTGAATATTTATACAGTTATCCAGCACCTGTAGTGCTGATAAAATGCCTATTACATCAGACCACCGCGTCGCTTCTTACATATGATGAACAGAGAACCAATCGAAACTATGGCAACGAGGGTCTAAGCAATCATTTCAACACACTTCAAGATAGAAAAGCAAGAGCTACTCTCCAGCAGAAGCTCGACGCCTTCCCTTTCAAGTCGCCCTGTGTAGATTTCCTTCCGGCTAAGGATCGAGAGGCCATCACCTCACCAGCTCGTTTCATTGTCAATGCTTCCATAGATGGCTACCTCCAAGCTTTCAATACCAAAGTCCCTATCTTTGACGAGAACGACTTGCGCTGGGCCATAAACACACATTACAGCATCGAATCGGTAGCCAGGAATGATATGGCATGGCCGCTCATCACAAACGCGATCGTACTTCTACAAATCGGTCTGGAATTACGAGTAGCGCATACATCGCAAAATAACTCTCCTACCATGCATGATGGTATTTTATTTCCTTTTCTGGAAAACTGCGACCGAGCCATGCGGAATCTCGCCTCGTTTATGGTACCGACGATTGTCAATGTCCAGGCGCTTATTATCCTGGTAAATCATGCCCATCCCCTATCCTGCAATGAGGTTGAGCCTAGTAACTAACAACGCCCATGTCCTAGACACTCGTCTCTCGAGAGTTTTTCAGCAATGCCACAGCTGAGAGAGTATGCCAGGCAGCTTGCCAAGCTGGTCGTGCACTCGGCCTGCATCGATCCAAGGCTCGTCGTAACAGTGACGGCACGAATAGCCCAACGGAAACTGAGAAGGAAAGAGAGCGCTTGTTCTGGGCTCTTTACACCCTCGACAAACAACGAGTTTTCATGACGGGCCAGCCGTGCGATCTTTATTCGTTTGACTCGGACCACGACCTGCAAGGGCATTCCCTCGAGGATGCTTCAAATCGCATGATGACGGTATGGGAAGAGATCTATGTCAACTTGTACTCTTCAAAAGCTGCAAGTCCCAGGAGCCAAAAAGGCTCTCGGCAGATACACCACGTGAAGACGTTGATGAAGGAGTTGAGTCAACGACATCTGAACCAGAAACTTAACTACTGCGACGACTCGGAAAGCCTTAACCCACTGCAAGTCGAGTTTACATACGGCTGCTACGTATCTGAACTACTTGTTCTCGGCTCCGAGCAGACCTCGGAGCAGGTACAAAACCATAAAATCCAGATTGCCCGCTCAGCTCTAAAACTGATTCTCCGAGTCTCCGCAAAGACACCTACCCCTGCTCACATAACTGCGTTAGCGAGGATGTTCCGAAACTACCCAATTGTTGCCTTCATAGAACTAGTATCCTTCCACCTCTGGCACCTTTTCACGCGGAGGAAATACAGTGAAGATGCTCAGACTGATGTATCTCTCCTACGGGCAGTCCTTGATCGGCTCCAAATACTCCAACTCCGAAGCCTATCGTATACTTTCTACACTCGAATGAAAGTTGGGTTATCCTGGGCCCTGGATACTCTACGAGCCACCGGTGGTATCTTTGGTGCATCACTGGAACCACAAACAATCGCTGACTCCCACCAGACCAGAGGTCACAGCCGTCCCTCTCAGCCAACTACCAACACAAACTCCAGCCATCCGTCGCCATTCGACATCGCCAACCCTTATGACCTCAGTCTAATCCAAGAGGAAATATCTCCAAGCCTTGACTATCTCAACCCCGGAGGAGCTAGCCAGCAGCGCGGAGGCTCCGAGAATAAACCTCCTTCCCCTGAAAACGAGCAGGGAATTCATCTCTCGCCACATTTTCCGCCTGTACATCCATCCTCATTGCCATCGTCTTCAGCTGCCCCTCCACAACCAAAGGGCCCTTGCGCTCACCTGACAAGTAGGTTCGAATGGGATACATGGAGTGATCTTGGCCTGGAACTCGACGAATTTCTTGCCCAGCAACATCAGCCGAGACCTGAGTAAGGACGCCACCATGGTTTACTTGTTTCGGTCCTTCCGTGAGCCAGAAGATTACTGTTTGGCTCTCGACAAGGACGAGGCTTCAGAAGTGCTCAAAAATCATATTACCAGGGACCCCTAGTCCGGACTGGTAATCAAGCTCATTGCTTTGAGATACAGGATTGTTAAGATGTAAGGTAGAGGGAGTTGCCTCTGTCCAATACTGGAGAGGACCAGCCAATCATAATATCGCATCAATCTTGGAAGCATCCAAATTAGCAACTTGACGGTATAATCCCTGGTAATTTAGATACCTGATAGATAGTTACATACTTTCCGAATTTGTGGAGACCAACGCAGAAGCATAATTACTGGCGAGATAGTAGATCCCAAACTACCTACCTAAATAACAGCAAACTACCTGTTTCCCGAGTCCTTGCTAGAAATGTTGTCGTCACCAGGATGTGAATAATATTGGCGAATTGGGGCTTGCTTAACCCGACATAGTAATTTTCGCCGAAACAGGCTCTCTCCGCATCTCCATGCCGATCCGATGTAAGTCCGTCCCTTCTTCTTCGCCCTGGTTTCCTCCTTCCCCGGATCACAGTGTAACCCAGCTACCTCGTAAGAGAAAGAGAACAAAGTTCAACAGTAATGGAAGCTGCCAGAGCCCGACTACTCAACACAATAAAAAAACCTAACTACCTCCTCCAAATATCGCCGAACCTCTTCTTACACCATCCATCCCATCTACCCCAGCTAGCAGTGAGACAATGTCCCTAGTTCGTCGGCATAATGGCTCCCGCGGTCAAGCCAAACGGATAGAGACTAAATACGACGACAGTCCGGTCGAAGCCACTCCAGACTCCGCAGAGGAAACTATTCATGTGGACCTAGGTCAAGAGTGGTCTTCCTCTCGATTTGAAGTGGGTGGACCAGCCTCTCATGTGGCTTCCTCCCGACCGTGAGAAAGGAGAAGTCTTCCCCACGATATGGTTCCGCTCAGTGGCAGCAATCACGGCGATGCAACTGCGAGAATGATCCTAGTAGCAGAATCTCCTTTCCTAGCGTAGGTTACATCGCGCCTGAAGCATTTGAATCATGTCCGTCGCTAACTACATCGCTCCCAGACAAGCAACGGATCCTCGACTAGCGTTCCGCGAAGCCGAAAGCCAAGTCCGGAACATGGTTCTGGACATTTGCGGCACCTCTCTTCAAGAAGAGAAAACGCCACCGGTAGTTGTCAATGCTGCCTTGGCGATACACCTATACGGCCATTATTTCATCGACTGGTATGAAAGAAAGGCGCTCAAGGGTGTCATCAACCGGTTCAGCGACGCTCGTGCCTGGTCTGTACCGAAACAGTTACAAGACTTCCAATTATCCCCATAGCGTAATTAATGAGACAATACATTTTTACCCCCGTTACGTGGTGAACCAGTACCTCGGATGGGTGATGGTGGGTGAACTACCAAACTTGGAAAAGTCCGCCGCCGAATGGAGACATCCGCTTCCACACCATCCCCCGATCTTCAGGATCAGGCTACGGCACAGGAAGATGAGGACGCAAATAGGATCCCCCACTCTGGGGTTTTGTGGAGTTGAATCAGGATTGTCTCGGACCCAGCCCGGCGTCTACATAAGACCACCAAACCCCAGCACGAAGATTGCGCTTTTCTATATTCACATTTCCTCTCGATACGTGACTGCACCCAGCCGCTCAAGGTGTTGGAAAATGTGCCCAGAAATCAAAGGCTGGCTGCCCCGTGAATCGGGGGAGACTTATAATGATATCGGCAACCGAACAAAATGTTCGTTCCATCGAGCAACCGTCCGAACTTGATTGCCAAGCGATAGATCGTACCAGCGCCGACTCCTTCATTGCTACCCAAATGCAAGTAAGCAACTCGACTTTTCAAGCTGCACTCTCCGCATCCCCTACTGCGCGACAAGTCGTATGCTCCGTGTCGCCGGTCGGGCCTCCGATGCCTCAAATCATCTCATCGGTCTTCGGCACCGGACGCTCCGACAGATTAGGGTCCCAGGATAAGTTCTAACGTCAAAGCCCGCAAATCGGCGGGCGAGGTTCGATTCTATGACAACACAATTGCCACGGGTGCTGCTCACGAACATAAGTCCATGTCCACGACGGGTGAAGTAAGGCGAAGAGAGCGCGCAGCAGGGTCCAATGTGAATGCAATGGCTAGACGAGAACCACGCACAAGTTTCAGGCTAAGCACGCGGGACGGGTCCCTTTTGCTCACGGGGTGTTTGTCAAGTTTTCCCTAGCGCGCTGCCCGGTAGCAAAAGTCGTAACGGCTTGTAACGTTCCTATGACGCCACAGCAACGAGGCGCCGCCTCTGTCGTGGGAAGAAGGAGGTACGTTGGGGGCTGGAATTTGCTGACCCGTGCGTCAGGCGGTCGGCTTATACGAGAATGGGAAACGCGAGTAAGGCAGAGGCAAGGCGCACAACACGTGGTGAATCAGCACTGGCACATGACGTCTTCCGACGCGGATTGGGATATCTGATTGGGTGGCCACAGAAATTGCGTGAGAATTCCTGCATTTGGGCGCCTGCAGTCTGACAAAATGCCAGCACGGCGGCCTTTTAGCGTTCCCTTGGAGCAGATTGGCGAGCTCGGCGAAAAGTATGTCCGGGGCGAGTTCAAAGTCCGGCCCCTGCTCAAAGTCCGGTCCTGGAACTTGTGCCGTCTCAGCTGGACCAGCCTTCTCCTCGAAGCTCCGGCCTACCCACCCTTGCAGATTGGCAATGATGGCACACAGAGGCAGACCGGAAAAATCTAAAAAAGACCCCTGAAGAGCCTTGGAGAGGATGGCCGGAACAGTCTGGTGTGTGGGGAGACGTTATGATGTACATGTAGTTTGGTTTGCCAACGGCATCGCAACTATCCCTTTACCACAGGATTGGTTACTGTGCGCGACATTCCCCTTGGAATTTCTTGAGCACGCGCTTGAGGGGGAAATCAGCAGACAAAGTCCATTTCCTTGAGTTGGCCTTCGGTTTTCGAGGACCCCACCCCCTGGTTCTTAGTTCTAGAAGCTGACACCCGTAGTCACGTATCCCGTATCTAGCACTAGCAGCCAAACGGCGGAGGTAAGGTGGTGTTATTATTGGAAAGTAGGAATATTACGCCATGTAGTGGTGCTGGTGCGGGCATTGGTGTGAGAGAAGTGGGGGAGTGAGTCACTTTGGGCCGTGGGGCGTGTAAGGCGTTGGACTTGGAGGGTGTTCATGAGGCTGGCGGGCAATTAATCCTATATTGACCGCCTGGAACTGGGGTGTGCTCAATCATAAGTACATTCAGAGTGCAAGATGCCACAAACGTGTGTGTAGTAGCGAGATCTCCATCCAGGTGTGGCACATTTCTGAATTCCATGCACCCGAACCGAACGCGCTGTGTGTGCCCTACCCTACAGCCGAAAGGATTGCCACGGAATGGATGAGGTGGATTCATACAGGAAAGCGCCAACAAATAAAAGTCTGAGAATTAAAATGTGCACCAGGATCACTATTATTAAAATTTCAAAAGGCGCATGGTCAAGACTCGAAGGCAAGAGAATGGATCGGTCATTATTTCAGCTGGCATCGTGCTTCTTTCCCCTTCTCAAGGAAACCGGGTGGGAAGATTCCTACCCCATTGAGTAAGGGCCAGGGTCACCATGCCTTAACAATTGGTGTTAGCCTCCAGAAGTGCCAAATCATCAGTTTGATCAGAGCGTGCGCCGCCTGACCGGACCATAAGTTTCAACGCCCCCTTCATAGCTTTCTGTATGCAACTGCTCGTATGATTCCCACAGGGGGATTGATGATGGAGGGGGTGACCTTCGGAGGGAGATGTCATTGACGGAGCGGAGACGCGGAATACGGCCGGCGATTGGGTCGTTTTGATCATCGAATTGAATTGGGGGCTATCTGCCTGCCTCGATGCTGGACCCAGCCCACTTTGCACAGCTGGAGGGGGATGACAGACGCTGAGGCGGCAGTAGCTGGTGGGACTCCCGCCCCACCATTTGATCTGGCTTTACGTGCTTGTAGGCCGGCGCGAGGGGAAACAACCTCAGGGTGAGCAGCCAGCAGCAGGGGGGGAGGTGAGGGCACGGGTAGTGTAAGCCTCGCGCATTTCGCAGTGGCTTCATTCTGAGACAGCCTTTCCCCCATAATTGCCTTATTGAGAGATTTGATTCGCAGCGGAATCCCCGACACGTGCGGGAATTCAATACCCACATTACAGTCCTCATCCCCCCCTCGCTGTCGATTTGCATTAGGCGGGCCAGGATGCAGCCTGGACCCTGGCCGGATGGGCGAGATCCCTGCCAAACTGGCGAGATGTGTGTGTGCTCCAGCAAGCTCCACTTCAATTATCTCCTCTTTGGGAGATTTGGCTCGTTAGTGGGAGCCCAGGTGGGTGGATTATCTCGTTACACTGCCGCCCGTCGCCTCTGCTCGAGTATGACTGTCCATGCTGCCAGCAAGGCCTGCCGGGCTCAGTCGTTCTTGCCGGTGTTCATTGGCCGTGTTTCCAGGCAGGAACTTCCCCATTGGCCAACCACGGGCTCGCTAGCCGTTGGCGAAGCATTCCGCGGGTGGATTGCCTAGACGCAGCCCTAAATCAGGTACTTGGACCCCTGTTCCGCCCTGGCACCGTTGGTCGACTCCCGATATCACCACATCAGTCCCAGATGAACTATTCTCCAAATGCCCACCTGCAGGCTCTTTTGCATGCAAGAGGCAGAACCAAGCGGTGGCAGGCCTGCCGTGCCCTGCAAGCCAAACACACTCGCAGATCGATCACCACATAAATACATGTAGAAATCGCTTTCTTCTCCCTTTTCGACCTCCGACTCCCACCCACACGATCATCCCGAAAATCATTAATGTCCCCCGATATCTCTGTCTTCACTAATCAACTCTAGCATTCTATTAAAGAGCCTTCATTCATTTGCTGTATTTGTTCCTCGACATCCTGTTCGGTTACGCGAGATCACCATGCCTGGCATTCCCAAATCTCATGGCTGCCGAAGCTGCAAGGCGCGCAAGATCAAGGCAAGCATTTCTTTCGTTTCATCATCCAAATGCCGGTCGCTTTCCTAACCGCCCGGTATAGTGCGATCAGAAATGGCCCATCTGCTCCCATTGCAAGCGCCGAGACATCAAGTGCTCCGGTCCCACGTCTCTAGTCAAATTCGTCCATGGCGGTTCCAGAGCAGATCACAGAGGCTCAGAGCCCGAGCCGCTCTGGCAACACCACCAACCCTCGTCCAGCCCAGAGACGGCGACCACCATCTCCGCGCCCACAAACCACCGTTTCATCATCACAGACGGCACCCGCCCTGTGTTATCCGAGGACCATGCCTATTACTCGGCCATTAGCGTCATCGAGACCGCGCCGCCCTTTGCGCGAGGAGGGGGCAGGCCCACCACGATGGGCGACCGTACTGCTTCCCGGCTGCTGAATCTAGTCCAGCACGACGAGGACTTGGATTCCATCTTCAACATGAAGTACCTCAAGTTCCTGCCCCAGCGCATCCCCAACAGCGGCTGCCTTCGAGACGCCGCCTCCCTCTTCTGCTCTACGTTGACAGACTACCGGCGCAAGGTATCACCCTCGGACTCGCAGACCATGGACAAGTACGGAAAGGCACTTCGAAGCCTGAGGAGGGCGCTGCGAGGAGACCAGGCCGGGACCATTGAGACTCTTGCTTCCATCACCCTGGTGAACCGAGCAGAGGGCTACATCCTCGGGGACTGGCCGTGGAAGCCGTTCAACCACGTCCATGCGGAGGCGGTTCTCTGCCTGGCGCATCAGCTGGGTCCCCCAAGGCCCGGAGACGAGCTGTACGCCGGGCTCGTGTTCGAGAACTTTAGAAATCTGGTGAGTTTACCATTCTACGGTTGGGGATAGGCAGTAAACCCCTGAGGAATCCCGCAAACTCTGCCTAAAAGAGATGCTCTTTTACTAACCAGTGATTTCTACAACTAGGGAGTTCATTTCATGAAGAAAGGCACGGTCAATTATTTCGGCGAGGGGGCCTGGGGCCAAGCACTATCGGAAACGGCCCTGGGCCACCTACCCATGCGGATCAGACCCCACGCCGGGCCTATCCTTAGCTTGACAGCCCAGCACTATACCAACGTGCCCAGGGTGCTGGCCAGTCTCAACTCTATCTACAGTGACCCGCACTCGGGCACTTCGCGAAGCACGGCGCTTAAGCTTATGGACCAGCTGTCAGGGGAGGAGGCACAGCTGCATGATGAGTGGACGGCCCTAGCGCAGAGGGCATGCGAGGCGGACGAGCTGGTCGAGGTGCCGGACGTGTACAGCCTGGTGCAGAGCAGCTACAGGTTCCAGCCGGGGTTCCTGGGCGAGT